TGATGCGAGGCTTACTGTCAAAACATTCCTGGAGACAAGAAAGGACAGGAAAGCAGGTGTGTTTGTGTGTCATGGTCAAAGTAAGATATAATTGGTCTAATTAAAAAAGAGGAGTGTTTGAGGTGGTCTGACCTCACAGAGGAACATGAACATGCCCATGTGGAGCTGCAGCAGCCTGGTGACACTGAGCGCTCGTCTCTCTGTGCTGCCCAGCGGATCAAACAGCAGCTCTCGGCTCAGTGCTCCCTTCCTCTCCTGTGTCCACACATCTATCTCCTCCTGGCAGTAGGCAAATGTACAGTTCTCGCCGTACTGGCACTCCTGACGCTCCTGCACCTCTGTAACATGCAGAGGAGCACAAACTCTCAAAATACTTCAGCCAACCTTCACCTGAAACGGACATTTAAGGTTCAGCAGAATACCTTTACAGAGAACAAATGCCCCCAGGAAGTTATTCCTTGCAGGCCTGGGACGGATCCTCTTCCAGGTGGGATCATCTGTGTTTTTCAGACGACACAGCAGCACATCTCTCTTGCAGCGGTGTGCTGCCTCTGGCTGGTAATTGTAGTCCATCACTCGCGGACCTGCATGCAAGCAGAGAATGCATCCGAACGATTATTTCATCTTTGGAAAACACACGCTGCATTCATTGATAGCAAAAACAGAAGTACTTCTTGTGGATATTCAAAGTACTAGAAGTGTACTTTTTCATGCATGTCTTAAAGCCGCCAGTTATGAAAAGCGCTCTCCTCTGGAACAGGCACCATGTATGGAGTGATGACGTGGCACCAGTGATCACCAGAACATTATTACACAAATTAAATGTAGATTGGTGGTTTTTTTTAAGAAGATGCTCCTTATTTGGGTCTTTTCAGCAAAGAGCTGACAGCACCCTCTTTTTGTACTTAACAAATGTAGGAGGCAAAAGGTTATTAGCAGGTGCAAAGGAGCAAAAATGCAACTTTCTTTTTACAGATTCATCGACTTTACTAACAGAAATAAATACTTTAATTGTGAGCTATGACCCTGAAAACCTTTTGCATGTAAACAGTGTAAAAATGCATGGTTTTTGGATTTAAAGAGCAGGGAAAAAAAAGGAGCTAAAGGTCAACTTTTCCGACCTATTCGGCTGTAACAGGCATGGCAAGCCTGCCGAAACTCGTGAGTGGCTGCCAGAGGATTCCTGGAGAGGAGAGAGAGGTTGGTTCCTGCTGGTCCATTCTGGAGAAGACATGACAAATTCACAATTAAATGTCTGCAAATAAGATTGAAGAACCCCCCCCCCACCCGCCACCCCCCCCACCACCACCACCACCAACACCAAAAAAAAAAGGTATGTTTTACTCACGGAGTGTGCAGCACTGTGGTTGCGCATTCCAGGGATGAAGCTGTGACACACTCGTCCCCCTGAAGACACAAGGACACTGAAGTCAGACGACATTCTGCAAGGCTGCTGCTGACTCGGTCTGATGACAGAACTGCCTAGAAGCTGTGCTGAAACAGCTGGGAGGATTAATAGTTCATCCTGCAGAGACGACTCACTACACTCAAGTTACTATCTGAAATGCTGAAATGAAATGATGCATGAAAATCAAAACAAAAGCTTCTGTGATATTTTCCCGCTAGATATATGAGAGGTTTGTCACATATTTGTATGTAGATTAAAAGAACAAAGAGGAGGAGGAGCACACAGCAACAATCACCGTAAACATGGGGGGGGGGGGGGGGGGGGGTACTATCTCACCAGGGAGAGTGTACTCTGACAGCGAGTCCAGTCCACCAGCAGCACCACCCTTCCCCTCTCCCTCAGAGAAGCTTCCCAGAGCGTCCTGCGTCTGGGTGGAGTTCTGGTCACACAGTGGGGAGTAAGGTTCCAGAGAGGGCATGTCACTGATGGAGGAGCTGAAGAAGGCTGGAGGGAGCTGAGGGGACGGGGCCGGAAGGTTGGGCGAGTAAGGAGGCCGGAGACCGACGGCCGTGTTGGGAAGGTTGGTGGGGATTGCACCCTGAACTGGACTCTGGAATAAAGAATAAATCCCAACTTTGTTATTGACTTGGTCACAGAAACCACTGAAAAGTCTTCACCAGTGTCCTTAACTCACCTCGCTGACTTTCTTAGGCATGCAGTCCAGGATGCTGTCCAGTTCGTCTTTAATAACGCTGCTGCTGCACTCGTCCATGTGCTCCGACACCGGGACAGAGTACTGCATGGGAGACAGGGCCTGGCTGCTGGGGCTCTCCGACAGCTCCGTACACGACGTTACTACAGTGGTTGTCGGGTCGTCGCTGACCGGGATGGGCGTGGCCAAAGGAGCGGGGATACACTGTGCGTTGGTCAGGTCACCTGAAAGCGGCAGAACAAGCACAGTGGTTGGGAAAATGTTGGAATATGAGCGGGAGCAGCCAGACGTATGTTTTACAGGTGGGATATACCTGATCCCATGTCCCCCAGAGACTCCAGACCACTGGAAGACATCTGAAGGAAGAGGAAAACGGCTGCTTAGACCCAGACAGAACCTGGTGTTTACAGGCTGTTATTAATGAGACGGGAGCACCTACTTCTCCAGTAGGTGGGGAGGTCTCCCCGTGACTCTCCCCTTCTGCAGATGCCGACTCAGTTTGTGGGCTGACATAAGCTTTTCGTCCCTTCAGACCCAGTTTGGTGGCCAGATCCTGTGCCAGGTCAGTGACTTGCCGATCCTGTAACACCAGTCATAAACATGATCATCAGTTTAATTTGGTACACACGCAGACCAGTGAGGAGTGTGTAAATATCAAGCACCAGAGGGCAGAAATGGACGGCAGGTTCACTGCTGGCTGTAGCTAAACTGTCTCCCTACGCTGTGATCCTCCCCAGAACCTCAGCTGACAGCAGCGGGAGGATTAGACAGTTACTAAAAGATCACTTTAATGTGACAATGACATAATTCTGAGTAGGGCCGGGCAATAAATCTAAAATTTATCGTTATCGAAATTTCAGACTCTTATCAAGAAAAATTTTCCCATGTCAATAAATTTGATAGTAAAAAAACGAAAAGATGTCCTTTTAAGAAGCTGTACCATCTTGATTCATGTAAAAAAGTGACTCAACGTGACAGTCCCATCTAGTGGACAACTTCTGTTTCTGCTCATATGTGTAGCTTGGGATGTCCCGATACAACTTTTTCACTTCCGATACGATACCGATTTTGCAGCCTTCGGTAGCGACCGATACCGATATCAATCTGATATCAGAACAAATCATACATACTTTTACCTATTTCGTACTGTGGAATGTATAAAAGGCTTTATCAAGCGATATTACTCAATCGGAGAACGTGAGCCAATAACAGTAAGTATGAAAAAAAGACAAATTTTTCTTAACCATTAGCTGCAAAAATGGGAACCTTAACGGACCGCTTATATCGAAGATTTTTGATGCCGTCCGATATAATTCTATACAGGGTTTTTGGGCCGATATCGAATACTTACGATATCTGAACGGGACATCCCTATCTGTAGTTATCGTCTATTCATTGTTATCGAGGTGAAATCCTCAATATATCATGATATTGATTTCAGGCCATATTGCCCAGCCCTGGTTCTGAGTTTGGAAAACCAAATCAGTTCTTAAATGTTTTTTGAACCAGCTCAAACAACAGTCTCAGTCCATCACTAGAACCTCCTTGATGGACAAACCCAATACCAGAGACATGGCCTAAAGACAAGTGCAGTTCCTTCATCGCCAGAGTTTAATTTTGGTTCTGAATTTCCACAGATGACCATTGTGAGCTCATATAAACCCACCAGTGATGTGGAGACACAGGGTGGTGGTGTCCAACCATGGACATCAAGGGCCACCGTCCAGCATGTTTTAAAGGTTTCTCTATTTTAACACACCTGAATTAATAAGAGGATTCTGCAAAGCTCAATGAGTCAAGGTTGTTGGACCAGAGAAACAACTAAACCATGCTGGATGAGGGCCCTCTAGGACCAGGAGTGGACATTGTGTTATTATGGACCTGTGGTTTTGGGTCCAGGTCCTTACCTAGCCAACCAGGTCTATCTGGTACTCAGTGCAGATCTGCTGAAGGGACACCATCATTCTGAATGCATTATTGGTCAGTGAGTGTACCAGATGTTACATAAACAAACGCCTGCCCTCCATGTTTGAGTCCTAACATGAACCCAAATGAAAAAAAAAACTGTTTTAAAGAATGCTTACATGTGGTGCCGTGAGGAGACACTTGGTTCCGCTCTCGTAAGCTTCCCTAAATCGTCCCAGCTCTCTGAGACACAGGGCTTTGCGATACAGCGCCCTGCGACTGCCCTCAGACACACACAGAGCGTTGTCACAATCCTGGATGCCGCGCTCATACTCCCTCTGAGGAAGAAATCGCACAGATGAACATTAGACTCAGCGTTGGAAATAGAACGTATATTATTTTAGGAAGAAAAAGTATGCAGGAGTTGCAGAAAATGCGTATGCATCTGGCTGAAATTTGTTTTTAGTGAAGTTTCTAGCAGTGCTGCAAACTGCATTTTTTCCTAAATGTATGTAAGTTTGACGCAACTCGCCTGCATGAGTTACGAGGCCTTGCTGTCAGCTTCCTGAGAGTTTGAACTACTTCCAAAATAACTTTTCTACCAAAAATAGAAATCTTTGTCAGAAAGTGTGAAAAGGGTTTAGAAGAGGATTTAGTGGACAAATCACAAATATACGTCGACATAATTTAAACACTTTGTGACTAAAATTTGACCAGAAAACTGTCACAATTTGCCACGGTTCAGCAAGATATTGGCTTCAACAGCTGAATACAATCCCCTCCTCTCACCATTTGGTGGAAGGCAGCAGCCCTGTTAACGTAGAGGCTCTCCAGGAGCTCGTAGGGGATGATGACGGCCTCGGCCTGTGCATAGCGAGCAACACTGACCCCCTCTCCGTATTGCTGGGCCGCCTGATGCCAATCTCCGTCTCGGAAGCAAAAATTTCCCTCGTCCAGCAAGTTACACACCAGCTGGCTCAAAAATGCCTGAAAGTGAATGGAAACAAAAGACAAGGTTGATGTGGATAAATGGGTGTTAAAAAAGGTGAAATACAAGATATCAGTGTCCACCTCATAGCTCTCTGGTTCTGGGAAAGGTAATGATGACCTGCCAGACAAAAAAGGACCTTCGTTAGAATATTTATTCCGTTTCATTAATGGCTTTTAGGACTTTAAAAAAAATTTAACCCTCTTACTGGATAAAGCTCATTGCCTTCTGAATCTCCTCTCTTCGTTTCTGTCGTTCTGGATCCATCACCTGAGGATAAAGACAGAAATGATTTATAAAAAACTTTTAAAGACTGCCTTTTTAGCTCAGACATGTACAGTTTACAGTTATCTTATAAGGCCTGTCCCTGAAACAGTACGACTCCAATAACACACTCAACAAAAGGAGCTGGGCTACCTACCTGCATGATCCATCAACATCTACAAATAGAAAGACTACAACAACAAAAAAAAACCAATTACAGAATAATGATGGATCTGTTCATTTTTACTGGCATTTTGAGTAACCAGATGATGCCATTCTAAAATAAATGGATTTCGTTAACGTAAAAAGTAGGACATTTTTTGTAAATAAGGCTGTTAATATCTCGTTTAAGGTTTTTAACTACATAAAATCACACTCACTGAAACACAATTAGCTAATGTTAGCATACACAAGTAAACTGTCAACAGTGAATTGATGTCTCAACAACAGACTGACAAATTAAACAGAGGTATTACACTGAACAGACAGATTACTAATCGCGTGAATATTGCAAGTACCGCTACCTGAGTTTTACCTGCCCTGGAGAGGCTAGCCAACTAACCTGTTAGCTTAATGCTAATTCGAGCTAAAAGCTATTCAATCTAAGATTTACTGGAAAGACAAAATGTAGCTTCCAGTTTATACTTTGTTCTTATCCTAGTCACTTAACCCTGATATTATACTAGTTTGGATATTAACATAGACTTAACTACAACCAGATTGAGCTAGTTGGATGAATTAGCCCCCCAAAAAACAGACTTAGCATAGCAACTCACCGATAGTTATGCTGCTTCGTTTGTCAGATCGCAAATAGCTCTACGGAACCTAAACGATAAAAAATAACAAAAACCGCCAGACAAATATCAGTCAGTAATCAGGTGCATATTTGTAATCAAGGTGTCCATGTCGTTGGTGAGTGGACGGAGTTTGCTACAGCTGCAGGTTTTGAAGACTAGCAAGCTATCTGCTCCAGCTAGTGTTGCATTGCAACAAGTTTCCAGAACGAGAGCGGCCACAAGATGGCAGCAAAAAGCTCAGGTTCACAAGCGCCTATGACAGGAAATATTTTTAAATGTATATATTGTAGTGCTGGGTAATAAATAGAAAACTTATCATTATCGAATTTTCTGACTCTTGTCGAGAAAAATGTTCCCATGTAAATACATTTGATAATTTAAAAAAAATGAAAAGATGTGTGTTGGTTGGCAAGAAGCTGTACCACCTTGAGTCGCATAAAATGTGACTCAGTTTAATACATGTGACAGCCCCATCTAGTGGACAACTTTTGTTTCCGCGCATACCTGTAGTTATCGTCCATTTATCGTTGTCGAGGTGAAATCCTCAAAATATCGTGATATTGATTTTAGGCCATATTGCCCAGCCCTAATATATTGTGTTTTATAGCAAGTAATAAAACAGCTAAACATGTTTGTTTTTTTGTGTTTGAAGGCAGTGAAAATGTTACAATCAGACCTTATTTATGTTTATTAATAAAACGCAAATAACTCATCTATCAGTCCTTATTTATGTTTATTAATAAAATGCTAATAACTCATCTATCTATCTATCTATCTATCTATCTATCTATCTATCTATCTATCTATCTATCTATCTATCTATCTATCTATCTATCTATCTATCTATCTATCTATCTATCTATCTATCTATCTATCTATCTATCTATCTATCTATCTATCTATCTATCTATCTATCTATCTATCTATCTAGTTGAATGAATTGGTTACTGTAACCACTGGGCTGCCGAGTCTGTTATAAAACAGTAGTTGCCTAACACACATGTCAAGTGCTGTCCATTATGTGTGTCTTTGTGGACATGAGGCACGGTTTAATCTGTGGTGTTTTGTCCCCAATGCAGACGCCATCCACTTGGTACCTGTGGAGGTTTACATAAATTAGTCATCTGTGACATGAAGGTCACATTCTCAACTGAATCATGAAATAAACCGCTCTATGCCCGCAACTCGGAGAAAGTTGGTGCTAGTGACCTACTTCTCCAGATAAGAGAACAGCTGCATGGAGAGGAGCAATGCCTGATGACGCACATGGGCTACTTTCTTCTGTAAGCAGTTCTGAAATTTAAATTGACACTTTGCAACTTTTCACATTTTTAAATCATTTTCTTGAGCTAGTATGTTCTAAAATGATCCTTTACATGGTTAATGAAAGGCCACCCAGCCCCTATCGCTCCCTGTGGCCAGAATATCCCACTTGCAACTTTAAACTGGCTGGCTGCTCTGTTGTGACGTAGAAAAAATTGAGCTGACATACCAGGCACTGCACTTTTGTTCCAGCACGTTTCCTGCATGTTTTAGATCATGGACACAGCTTAATTTAGTGATAAAGCACTCTTTTTGATACTGAGGAAGGTTAGGGAGACATTTCAGCTGTTAGATTATGGTGTTAAAAATACGAATGAGCATAGAGGAGATATGTTTTGGTTCTACAAACGGACACTAGAGGGTGCTAAAGGCAAGCCAATCAAATAGAGCTTTTCAACCATTTGGCCAATTGGGTGGGTTCTCATAGGTCAGATGCCCACCCCCAAGGCGGACAGCATTAATTTTGATGGTTAGCAAACACCTGAGTTAGCTTTGTTCTGCTCTTTCTGCTGATTCTACTTTTCCACTGATACCTTTTCCTGTTTATTTTATTTTTCCCTTTCCTCACATCTTTTGCTTTTCTCATTTTTATGATTTTTTTGTCTTTTTTTTAATTTATTTGTTTTTTATTATTTTTGTTCCTGTGTTAAGTTTCTATTCATCGCAAGTAATATCATCATAGCAATATTAATCACTGTTTTCGCATATCGCATGTGTTCCTAATATCGTGCAGCCCTAATTTACATATATATTGCCCATCAACAACAAAATTCTCTAAAAATCGGTATCGGCCTTTAAAAAAAACATTGGTCGGCCTCTAGTAGAAATGTACCAACATGCATCATTATATGGTGAGATGCAAAGATAATCAGTTGGCTACAGCTTAAAATGATTAGTAAAATCAAAAATTTTCAAAGCACAATAATCTGTTTTTCATTTCTTTTTTCATGTTTAAGAGACTATAAATAAAAAACAAAATCTGATATAAAAAGATCCAGTTTTCTATGTTTACAGCTTAAGTCTCAGCTCAAAAATATGAAATGGACCCAAACTTGATTCTAATATTTAATATTCCCATCACTTTAGGTTGTGGACAGTTTCTGTGCACCTAGGGTGTACTTTTGTCTCCAACAGACAGAACTTAAGGTGTGGATCTTGGAAAAGAACATTTTTAATGGTCCCATGTCATGAAAAATCTACTTTTTTTAAGCTTTTGACATCATTTCCTAATGAGAAATACCATCAAACCCTTTTTTGGCTGCATTCATGCATTTTCCTGCCTCACCTTCTTTGTATTTTTCAAATTAAAGGGAGACTACTTCAGTTTGATTGACAATGGATTATGTGTAGCAAACATTTCAGCTCCATTCATTGCAATATTTATCTGTTCTTTGCGATAAGCTTATTGTGCATGCTGATATTGCGATTACAATATATTTGCGATATATTGTGCAGCTCTAATATAAGGTGCTAGAACACATTGTACAAAGACATATAGTCATAAAAAAGAGAAGTAAATAAACAGAACATAAAACTTAAAGCATAAGGCAAAGGAATAAAACAATGAATAAAAGTGACCTAACAAGGAATAAAACAGCAATTGAAAACAAGAACTCAAAATAACACAAAAACAGGCCGACTTCAAACATGCTCTGGAAACGCTAATTGAAAAAAAAATGAATTTTTTAACGAGTAAAGAAATAATCAGAATTTAAAAAAAATACATATGTTTCTGCTGCTCACCATTTTAAATAAGTTTTTATCTCCATAGTTTTTGTGAACACAGCAACAGGTGAATTAAACTAAAAAAATACATTTCAAAATAAAATTTGAAATAACATTTAAATAAGAAATGTATTTTTTGAAATATTTGTGTTTGTAAAATGTAAGTTGAATTCCTTGGATACGTACTGTTTTATTTAAAATAAAAATGAATAAAGAAGCAATGCAAAACATCACCACGGGCTAAACTCTCCCAGAGTTACCACAAGGACCAATTTGGTGCGCCACTCCAAAAAATTTGTTGGCCCCGTCTGGCCACCCCTATCAACATTTTCTGGAGGCGTCCCTGTTCACAAGCACACAAAATAGTGAATGCGTTTTTCTGTTCACCACTGGAAATGGTAAATTCTAATAACGTTTTTCCAATATGACTACGTATGTGAAAATTACATACGTTATTTATATGGCATCATAATTGAGCCCTACATTCGCCATTATGAGATATTTAGGTGTGTGTAGCATTTGGTCCAGGTAAATAACAAACTCTCTCAGTCCCACCTTGGCGAGCTACTTCTTCCGATAAGTGAACCGGGCTTGAACTATTAGAAGCCATGCTAAACTGGCAAACAACAAACACATTTTCACTCAGTCACTACTACTTTCCCTCCGTTTTTCATTTTCATTCACACTTTACGTCCGTCATGGCGGACCCATGTGATCAGGTGACGTAGTACTTTTCTTTTTAAACTTTATTACAGTAAGAAAATAGGAATAAAAACAAAAAGCCAATAACAATACAATAATCCAAAAAGTCGATTTAAATTCACACCATCTACAAGATACCAAATTAAAAGAGAAGAAAACTTCACAAATACAACCGGAAACGGAAAGCGTTGCTGATGACGTTTAATGATTTAGCAACCGGCGTTTCGCGCGGAAGAAGCAGCGCGTACTAACTTCATTTCAAAGAAAGTTTCTGAAAGGCAAGCCTAATTGCTAATAACACTTATCAGTATTCTATAATGAGTTGCGTTGTTGATCTAAATGACTGTGACATGAGTATTAGCCTCAACTAGTCGGGTTATTAGTCAGTTTTTAATATTGCGCCACTGTGCGAACTAGATAGCACCGGTATGCTAATGGATAACATACTAGTTTTGTGATAATCGAAGGGACGTAAATATGAATTTTATTTGTCTATCTCTAAATTTTGGAAAGTGGCTGTCGTCCTGAACATGTACTCCTGAGTAGGTATGCCATGTGTGACATTTTGTGGCTAATTTTAAATGTTTTATTAGATCATAAACATGGCCTCCCGTGACATCGCTCAGCTGGAAGATGCTCTCTCTAAGATCCATTTCGGGGATGGAGAGTTGAGCTTTAAAGGCCTGGGAATGAAACTAGATAACACAGAATCAGGTAAGAAAACTTCAGTTCTGTTGTTTTTCCTTCTTGTTGACTTCGGTCGGTCTAAAAGCGTACTCCGTTTGCTTTTAGTGGAGGAGATGGTCAGTAAGATAGACCAGTACCAGGGTCTGAGAGCTCTACGGCTTGAAGGAAACACCGTGGGAGTGGATGCAGCCAAAGCTATTGCTAAGGCTCTAGAGAGCAAAGATCTGCTTCAGGTAGGTCATGGTGTCCAGTCATAATAAAACATTCTTTTGAATTGACCGTCTAATAAGAAATAACATTTTATAAATACAAACTTTTGGGCCTGAGTGTGCTTTTGTGGAAAATATGACCAAATGTGACAAAGCAGGACCACAATAAGAATTATTTGTTACACATTGTGTTCAAAAATGTAAAAAGCAACATTTTCAGCTGATTCCACCTGATTTTCTTTAACACAGTCAGAGCTTGTTTAGTTAAGCAAATATAAAGTATGAATGAGGGCAGTAACAACATGCAAGAAAACTGACAATAGAGAGTTTGATAAACACCTGGGTAACATGGAACAAGCTCTACAGCATGAGTGTCCAAAGTGTTAGCCTGGCCTGCCAGACTTGTCCTCTGTTTAATTCTGCACAGAGAAAGCGCAGAATTAAACGGAGGACGAGTCTGGCAGGCCAGGCTACCAAAGTGCAGCGCTTCTGGTACATCTAGGGGACCAGTGGTATGCTGACAAATTAATCCTTGCCGTATTCTTATATTTAAATACTAACCGTTCCTTCTATTAAGGCGAAAAAATGTTTTTCCTTTAGTTATCTTGTGCTTATTCTGTTTGTCTTTCAGCGATGCTATTGGAGCGACATGTTCACTGGAAGGCTGCGCTCTGAAATCCCCATAGCCCTGGTGAGAACAGCAGGTCCCAGTCAATTACTGTTCATCTCAGATGCTGTGGTTAACATTAGGTAAAAATGGTAAATGGCCTGTATTTGATATAGCGCCTTCTAGAGTCCTGGAACCCCCCAAGGCGCTTTACAACACAATCAGTCATTCACCCATTCACACACACATTCACACACTGATGGTGATGAGCTACGATGTAGCCACAGCTGCCCTGGGGCGCACTGACAGAGGCGAGGCTGCCGAGCACTGGCGCCACCGGTCCCTCCGACCACCACCAGCAGGCAACGTGGGTTAAGTGTCTTGCCCAAGGACACAACGACAGTGACAGACTGAGCAGGACTCGAACCAGCAACCTTCCGATTACGGGGCGAGCACTTAACTCCTGTGCCACCGTCGCAGGGATGTGTGTTGGTGAAAATCTGGTGATACGATGTGTATCATGATACATGAGACGATACAATTTATCATGATTTATTGCGATACATTCAGTCAGACGTTATTAGCGATAAAAATGTTTTTTTAACTGAATTTATTGTAGGAAAATTTAATAAACAGTCCAAACTGATACTTTACCTCTTTAACATGTGGTATCTGAACCATCATAGAGGGTGGTGGCGGAAACAAAACCCATAACACACTGCTGCCTCTAGTGGTCGGCATTTGAATTGCACCAAAAGAAAAGAAAATACACCGATGTTTGCATGTAAATTCTTCCAAAAATTATGTACACAGCTTTTGAAAAATTGATGTAATATTGCAGGAAAAAAATTTCCCGATATATTGCTTTTACGATATTTTCTTACATCCCTAGTTAACATTAACATTTGCATGACAGCTAGTGCACTTCTCAAAGAGAGAGAGTTGGCATCATCAAAATGAAAGCGCTGACCCAACTGTCCATGAACAAGATAGCTTTTCAGCTTTTTGTGTCGTTATGACAGTTTACTGTGCAAAAATGTCAGATCTTGGTGATACTACCTAAGAGTGCTCAAGATTACAATCTAATTTACACACAGCTGTATTTGGTGAACTAAATGAGCACGAGACACTGAATCTTTATGTATATTTCTCACTTTTGCTGCATTTTATCTTTGCAATTCTGATTTGCGTAAAAGCAAAAATAATATATACGTGCTCCAGTTGAGGGTTTATGCGATTTAGCTCTGAGTGGAGAAGTGTCAGATGACTAAATGTTGTGGAGATATAACAGTTTTGAGAGATTTAATTCTGATCAGAGAAATTAACTAAAGCAAATGAGAAACACTGTAACAGGATGATCGATCCTCAGGAATTTACTCTGTCAGGTAGATGTGGTAAAAGGTTGCGTGTGTGATTTGGATATTTATTAAATTCCCCGAAAGTTACACTCATACATTTATTCATTCCTAAAATCTTGATTATTGTCTTTCCAGAGGACCCTGGGCAGTGCTTTAATGAGCGCCGGCAGCAGGCTGACCGAGCTGGACCTGAGTGACAATGCCTTTGGTCCAGATGGTGTCAAAGGAGTTGAGCAGCTTTTGAAGAGCCCCACTTGCCACACTCTGAGGGAGCTACGGCTCAACAACTGTGGCATGGGAATAGGCGGAGGAAAGGTGAGTCAACGCTCGTGGATGATGCTAAAGCAGTCCGTTGAACATCTAAACGGCTTCACGTCTGATAAAAACAGATCCTGGCTGAAGCTCTGACTGAGGGCTACAAGCAGTCTGCTTTGCTCGGAGCTCCACTGCAACTGAAGGTGTTCGCCGCTGGAAGGAACCGCCTGGAGAACGATGGAGCTAGCGCCCTGGCTAAGGCCTTTCAGGTAGGAAACACTTTACCCACATGGGCCTAACTCAGACCAACAGCACATAAAAAATATTTAATCATTTCACATAATTTTATACACACACACACACACACACACACACACACACACACACACACACACATACGTGTGAACCTCCATTGACTTCCATTCATTTTAGTGACTCCACTATGTGCTTAGCATTGTGTGGACCAGCAGAATGTCCCCACAATTTAGAAATGTCCGCACGTTACAGGTTAGAGTCAAAATTTGTCCATTTAAACAAAGACAAGTACACCTAGACACACACACACACACACTCACACACATTTGGGTTCCTCGTACTAATATGCAGCATCCCTACAATTTTGTCTAAAATGATCAGTCTTTCTGTACATGACCTTTTGACCTTTCAATGGAAGTCGGTTTTTTCCCCCACTCTGCTTCTAGAGGAGTTATTAGCTGTATAAACACATAAATCGGTATTTGTGGTTTTTTTTGTCCTAAACTCTTACAGATCCATGATCGAGGCCCAACATCACACCCCCTAATAATACATGTCAAGGGCTTTCATTAATACTTTTATCAGTACTCTGTATCAGCTAAAGTACTAAAATGTGAGTACTTGTACTTCTAGTTTTTACTACAATAAGATACACTCACTTCCATTCACACATTACCCAGAGTTCCTTCTGATTAGGTTTAGTCTCTTTCCACTGGTCAAGTCTGGGAGTTGAAGTATTTTGTCAGAAGAAACTAGTGAAGATTTGTCATTTATCAAATCTTTATATGAATATTGTGTTTTTGATGATGTAGAGTGTCAGTCAAACACACCTAACGTTTGTCTCTAAATGTTCTAGTAAAACATACAAATGTTTTCTCTCTTTTTATTATAAGTTGATGGGCAGCTTGGAGGAGATCCATATGCCCCAGAATGGAATAAACTACCCTGGTGTGATGGCGTTAGCGTCAGCCGTGCGCCACAACCCAGAGCTTCGCGTCCTCAACCTTAATGACAACACGTTCACCAAATGGGGAACGCTGGCCATGGCAGAGGTGAGACCTGCTGGTGTTTGGAAGATAACAGAGGTCATCTGTGAACCGCTTCTTTAAGGCACGCTCATCCTTTTGCTCCTGCAGGCTCTGAAACATCTCAGGAATGTTCAGGTCATCAACTTCGGTGACTGTTTGGTCCGGTCTGAGGGAGCCATTGCCCTTGCTGCATTGTTGAGAGACGGAATGCCGATCTTGAAGGTCAGTTTAAGATCATGTCTCCCTGTGTGTGTTACAGTAACGTCCTCTCTCATGGATCTCTGGTGTGTCTCATCTTCAGGAGCTCAACTTATCTTTTGGTGAGATCACCGATGCAGCAGCTCTAGTGGTTGCCCAGGCTGCTGTGGAAAAACCTGACATGGAGAAAGTGCTTCTGAATGGTACTTTTAACAGGCTGGAACTGGTTTTTTGTCAAGCAGACCCTTTTATGCTTCTAATGAATGCAAATCCTGCTGAAGTTACAGAACATTTATTGGTTTAATCCTGAAAATGATATCAAGAGGTTTTAAGACTAAAGGACAATGGCACTTGTTTGTCACTGTAAAAGGTAATTGTCTGGGTGAGGACGGCTGTGAGGCTCTGAGAGACATGATGGACGACATGGACAGAGGAGACATGCTGGGCTCACTCAGGTAATATCAGATCATCTTCTCAGGTGCAGCATTTTCACTGAGGCTGAACGATTTTAGGAAAAGGTTTAATTGCCATGTTTTTTTAGGAGAAATGGCGATTTCAGTTCAATTCACGATTTTCTTAAAATCAAGCTTCAACACATTCACAATATAGTAATATAATCTATAACCATACCATAAAAACATTCAAAGCTATTAATTTGAGTTCATTTACTCCCATTATTATATATATATATTTATTATTGTTATTTGTTTTTTTAATGAGCTAGTGATCCTTACCTAGAGAGGTGCTTTATAACAAACATGTTCTTCTTCTACTCTAAAGATGCTAGGAGGAGACCTGAAGGTAAAATAGCTTTCAGATGTATTTAATAACAAAAGTGCATACAGAGTTTTCCCTGCATTATTTACCAAGGCAGGCTGCGTTTTTCTGGGCCGTCTGATCTCACTGAAACGCCGCTCTAACACCGACCTCTGACACGTTTCACAGGCTTGTATGAATTACCGTGTGCCATCAGAAAAAATTAACTGTTTTTTGAAGACTAGAAGTTGTTCTTTCAAGTCCACTTAAGCGTGTGACTCCGCACTCGCGCTGACTGAGAAGTATAAATCAGCCTTTAGTGTTGTTATGGTGAACTAGGCGTTGCATCAACTAGTCGACTTCACTGCTCTGTAGTGACTTTTTATGCCTGTCATCGACTAGTCGTTGTCACATGATAATGACCGACAAGATGCAGTCCTCTGAAAAGACAGCAGGTGAGGAGCTCCTGCGCGTTGGGAGGCGACGCGCTGTGCCAGAGCGTTGGTACTGACGCCCGCAATAAAACGGACATTTGACCTAATTGTGACCTTTACCCTCTTGCAATTTAACCTTCCCCTCACCCCATCCTAACCTTAACCAGCTTGCGCATGCAAAGCTCTGATCGTTGACGCAGTAACATCAAATCAGGTGTCGCTACCTCAAAAACAAATTTAACACGGAATCGTTCATGTCGGCTCATTTCCTTTTATGTTTTCTGTCTTTTATTCTTTTATTTGTGCCTGATGCGTTTGGCTGCTGTGGAGCGGGGCACATCACCTGTTTCGTCCTCCGGTGACGCACCTCACCGGTGTTGCGACCGACGCGCACTCCGCTGTTTTTGCGGTCGGTAGATCTTTTAGAACTGCGGTTCAAAGGTAACTCATAAGGTGAATATATATGAACCCAGGTAGCAGTTTTTCTTTAGGATTGAGAGGAGATGCAGGAAGATAATAAACAGGCAGGACAGAAAAATATTCAAATAAAAACAAGTTAGTTTTTGTACCTGGTGGTTGCAACAAACAAACACCATTGAATGTAATCAGAAGTGAGGAACAGAAAATGAAATAATTATTTTAATGTTTAGATCAGCAGGAACTCCGAGAGGCTGCAGGCGCATCAGTGAGTTTGCGGCCGCTGCGCAGGGGGAGGGGGGAGAGGGCTGAAGCAGCTGGGGAACAGTAAAGATGCAGAAACTACCGTTGTTAAAAGAAATGTGTTTAACTTTGAAAATGTGGACGCAATTTTAATTGTCAAAATCTCCAGCAAACCAACCCGCTTCAGGTGTATGACGTCATCAACAACTAGTCAAAGTCGACTCGATTTTCATTACTAGACTGTTGACTATAAAAAAATTAAGTCATGCAGCCCCTATGGTGAACCCCGTTCTGCTGCTGGAGACGTCTCTGTCCCTCGCCCACCCACAGCGCTGAGAGACGGCATTCTGGATACGAGAACAGTCTTTTTAGTCTTTATGTCTAATTGTTTTTATCGTATCTGTCTGTTTATTCTTTGTTGCAAAGCCACTTAAGTGTCTGTTGCTGCTGCCTCTTGGCCTGATCGCCGTTGTAAATGAGAATGGGTTCTTAGTCGACTCCTCTGGGTAAATGAAACTCGCGGCAGAGACGGACGGCCACACTTTGGTGAGGAAAAATAAAAGGAGAAAGTAACCAAAATGTGCTGCTCTTGTCAGCTGAACTATTGGGCTCAGTTCTGATACCGGTACCCCCCTCCTCACGCTCTGCTGCCGCTGTAACGCAGGAGAAAACCCAGATGTCTAAAAAAGTTGACACAACAGATCCTGGATCAGTCAGGAGTGCTACAAAAAACACAGCTTTGATGATCACATTTGAAATGTCAATTTCGGTCAAAAAAGCAAAACAACAGCTCATTCAGCACTAGTTTTCACCCTAGATTTTACCACACAAACGTGTTTGTTCACAGTGATGATGAAGGTGAGCTGGATGAGGATGAGGAGGATGAAGATGATGATTCCAGCGATGAGTGTTGTGAAGAAAACGGAGAGTGTGAGGACATTATAAAGGAAAATGGGTTAAAAGGTGAAGACAGTCCTGCTAAAACTCAAAGCCAGGTAAGAATCAAACAAACATTTTTTATTTAAGGTGGAGGAAACAAAGATGAAGCATGGAAGACAACACTATCCAGCCGTTAAGTGAAGCCACTCTGACCGCTTACACAGTTGTTGAGAACCACCAGTGAAGGGTTAGTTAAAACAAGCGACCATTAGCACAACGTCCCAGAATCAAACCTGAGCAGCAAAGTGACGAGTCGGCCAAAACGAACAAAAGGGAGACCACACCCGTGTTGCAACATGAGTTCACTTCAAAACTAACACTGGAGCATAAACATAAGAGCAGAAGAAAACCAGCAAAGATCAGCTTCTAGAGTCCCAGCCACATTCTGCACTACAGCCTGCTCAGTGAGGATGAGGAGGGCCGCGGCATCTGTTTGTTCTCGATCTTTTAAATCCATCCTCAGATAAACTCTAAGCACCACTCGTGTCAGACTTCAGTAGTACAGGCTTCAGTTAACACTGACTTACTACCAGACTAGTTGAAGATGGGATGGTTTCATGTTTTAACTGATGACCACAGCTTCTTACGCGCTGAAGCCTTGGCTCTTCTCCATAACCAAACAAGTGTAGGAGGACCTGAATCATATTTCCTCCCTGCATTTGTTTATTTCTGCTGCTTAGTTTTCAGCCAGTTTCTCACCAGGATGGGACTGTTGTCCCCTCTACTATGAAAATATGCCCATTCTCAGATGGAAACACACTGAATTAGGACATAAAAGTGTCCCAATTCAGTGTGTTACAACTATCATGTGACGTCATGCATGTTTGGTTTCAGAGTCTCTCATTCGCCTGTTTTAAATGTGTCCTCGTCCTAAATCGTGTCACCTTTTTGGCTTTTTGCCTTTACATCAGCAAATGATGGTTAATTAGCTTTGTTTGTAGTGGATGGTACCTCCACAGCCGTCCTGAGTACCATCAGTGATACTTATACTACAGTTAAAGGACTGTAAAAGCATCCATGCCTCTGATTATGTTTTTGTAACCCCCCCCCCCACCCCCCCACCCAGGCAGAAGTTCTGACCTTCCTCAGGTCCCCTGCAGCAGAACAGCTGTTTCAGCTTAAAGACATGAAGTCAAACATTCAGCAACAGGTATGTTTTAGACGTCTACTTCCATGAAAGTCTCCTCAGGTTGGTGTGGACACTCACTCATCTGTCTTGACTCTGGTCTCTTTAGGTTGAAGCTTCTGACCCAGACAAAGCTGCTGAGCTGCTTCTGAAGATCGGCTTGTTGTACTGCGAGGATCCAGAAGACCGGACGACAGTTTTAGAAACCATCGGTAAATAGTTAGAACTCCCAGTTACGTCTGACAGCCGAGTGAAGAACAGCCATGTTTCTGTAATCTAACAGGTCTTTGGTGCAGGTTGCTGTATTTACGTCGCCTCTGTTTTACAGATGCAGTTCTGAAGAAGTTGCTCTCCAGTTCCAGCCTGCAGTCGTACCGCTTCCTCTCCTCGCTGCTGGTCATGATGGGACTCCTGAAGGTGCAGCAGAGCCACACGTGTCCCACCTCCATCTGATTTAAGAGTCTGGCACGAGCTCAACTCAGGGAAACACCACTTTTCATCTTAGCAAAGAAAACTGTAAAAACCAAAAAAAAAATCAAAAAGCTTTTGGAGTCGGTCTGATTCAAGATGGCCGCTACAGCCGATCACCCCTAGGCAGTACAACGTGCTGAAAACATGGTGTATTTAACAGATGCTGTGTTAAAATCTGGTGTATTAGTAACCACATATCCCAATGCTAACAGATCTTGCTACATTAAGATTCGCTCCAAACAACTAAAACATATTTTATCAACACAAGCTGATCTTAGTTTATTGAAAGTGTTGAGTTTTGGTTAGATTCTTCTGCCTAACATGTATATGTGTGTGTAGTTTTACACCAAACAGTAAATTTGTGGTGTTGTTTTTTTTTTTTTTAGGGAGAAGGGAAAGTAAAGAAGGCCCTGCTGGTCCCAGGTCAGCTGTTATGTTTGGAACATGCTGTCCAGCAGGATTACTTCTCTCGGCATCACGCCTCACTGCTTTATACCTTCCTGTCCAGGTAAAAATAAGAAAAACTGTATTAAACACAGATAAAGGGTTCAGCTCCTGTTGTTTTCAAATAAATCTATGCAGTCTGAGCTCTGAACAATGCATGGATGAGATTTTAATCCTAATTTTATGACATTTGTGTGTCAATCTGCAGAAACGGAGACGCTCTGAAGTCTTGTGGCAGTGCCAGGGACAGGCTGAGCTTTGCTCTGGAGAAGAAGTGCCACACCCAACAGTGATCTGCCACTGAATCGTCTCACTCACACACACACACGCACACACACACACACACACACACACACACACACACACACACACACACACTGTTTACCAACACACATTCTTCCTACAAGGAAAGCCACTATTTAAACACCTGAATTGTATATTTTAATGACTGTGCATAATGTCTTAATCTCTATTTTTCTAATTTTACTTATGACATTTATTTTTGTAGAAAATGGATACAAATACTAAAAAAATACTTAGCCTAATTGGAATGTAGATATTGACTAATAACAGCAGTCGGGCACAGTCCTGTTGCCGTAAACGTCTGGGGAACTATTTTTGAGGCAGAAGCGATAATTTCTGACATTTCTTATAAAAGTTGTGCCTTGAAGGGAAATGAGACAGTCGTGCTGCTTTAAACGTTCAGGAATACCGAGAAGGAATGTGTCACAGACTCAGAGGACCACGGTCAATTTTATCTTGTATTAATTACACTTTGGGGTCCAAAGCCCAAGAGTAAAATGCTCTTATTGTGTTGAGCAGCTTACCTCGGTAGCTTTGTGTGTTGGCGGAGAGGTGGAGCTTTGCTGGGAAAAGGAACCATTGGCTTCTACTGTTCTGAAAACAGGAAACGATAAAAACTGATTTTATTTTGTCAACACTGTTTTCTTTGTTTAATTGTATGGAGTGAACATTAAAAAAAAATTTATTTCATCAAATAAATGCTTGTTTAACATAATACTGTTTTCCTGTAATGATGGCTCTTAACCTGTAAACATGTTTAGTAAATACAGACCTAGAAGAGTTGTTTACCCTTCCAGTAAACCTGCAATAGTTTTGGTGTCTGTCCTGTTGAAGCACCCATGACCTGAGGCAGACGCCAGACAGCACATTTAGCTCCAGAATGGTGGTCTTGAACTGATCAGAGCTGACCTTTTAATCCCTAGACTCTGGTATCTATTCACGTTATTTGTCTTCAGAAGAAGAAAGTATCATTTCTATAGCGCCTCTCAAGATAAAAATCACGAGGCGCTTCACAAAAACAAAAAAATGTAAAAATATAAAAAAGAATTTAGAAAATGGTTAAAATATGACAATTGTGATTAAAAAACAAAATGTTAAGAAAGAGAGAGTGAATAGGAAAGAGGGAAATCAGTGGATCCTGAGGAAGGTGGAATAGGTGGGGAGAGCAGAATAAAGAGAGAGTGGTGAAGAAGGTCATACAAAAGCCAGCTTGAACAAGTGAGTCTTCAGCTGCTTTTTAAAGGAGACCACTGAGTCCACTGATCTCAGGCTCAGGGGGAGAGAGGTCCAGAGTCTGGGGGCCACAGCAGCAAATGATCTGTCACCTTTGACCTTTAGCCTGGTGCTGCACAACCAGTAGGCTTTGATCACTGGACCTCAGGGACCTGCTGGGGGTGTAGAGACTAAGAAGATCACCAATGTAAGATGGTGCTTGTCCATGTAAGGCCCTATAGACCAGAACCAGGATCTTGAAATGAACCCTGAAGTTGACTGGCAGCCAGTGAAGCTGGAGGAGAAGCGGGGTGATGTGGGTGTGTTTGGAGGACTTGGTCAGAAGCCGAGCACAGGCGTTCTGAACCACCTGTAGACGGTTCAGGGAGGTTCTGCTCAGACACGTGAAAAGAGAGTTACAGTAGTCTAAGCGTGAGGAGATGAAGGTGTGGAGAACTGTCTCAAGTTCAGAGCGGGACAGAATGGGACTCAGCTTAGCAATGTTCCTGAGATGGAAGAAGGAAGAGCGAACAAGAGAACTGACATGAGAATCCAGGGTGAGAGCTGGGTCAAAGGTCACGCCAAGATTCCTGACAGAAGGTTTGGTGTGAGAAGCAAGCTGACCAAGAGAGTCTCTGACTTTGGGAACCAGCTTGTCTGGGGCACAGATGAGGATCTCAGTCTTATCTTCATTCAGCTGTAGAAAGCTCCCAGCCATCCAGGTTTTAACAGTCAGTGATCGGTTTTCCTCTTGTGTCCACCACACCTGCAGAGGTTGTCTACTGGATCACAAACGTCTGAGATATTATGTCAAGCAAGCTGCTTGGAGAAGGTCTTCCCTTCTGTTGGTCCATGTCCAGTGTGGTACACACCCGGTCACCAAACAGCACTGTGACTACTTTACTTGGACTAACCATAGGATGGAAGAAACCTGTGATGCTGGCCATAGGAAACATCTCGTCTACCATGGATATGGTCAAAAATGATTTTTTTGTTGCTCTTTTTAGGAGAAACATTTCTGCCTACAGCCAGTTTTATTAGTTGTTTTTATTTATTTATTCTGTTGAACCAAAATTAATATCAGAACAAGAAGGTGACTTTTTTTGTCCTTTATATTTTATTGTTCTGTCAGTATTTTAGCGGCTGCTGTGTTTTTCTAACACTAAAGTACCAACAATTCTATCCACCCTTCATTTTCAGATATTACCATAATGTCTATGGTTATTTCTGAAGTATTTAAATGATTAAGGGTCACGTTCCTAGGTAGCCGTGTGATGTAGAAGACAGTTTGGCTTGAGGGAAGCTGCTCCTTTAACTGGCTCTGAGGTGCAGCCACAGGAGGTGGATGAACAGAGTTGGTGTTGGACGGGGTTCAACCTGGTACAGAAGACTCAGAGAGGAGGACGGAGCCATAGCAGAGCCAGGGTGGGTTAGAACGCACCTTTTTGTAAGGATCATGCAAAGACTGAAAACTTTAGAGATTTTTAAACATTTGTGTTTGTGATATTTAGCAGATTTTGTTCGTTCAAATCTTTAGTTCTTGTGATTTTATCATTGCTCATTCATGTGCTGAGATGACTACAGGATGAACTTTTTAGAGCTGAAAGCTTTCCTGCAGGTAGGACGCTTCTACAGGCAGCAGAGAAAGACACTGAGTCTTTGTGCGGAGCTCCTCGGCGGTACGCTGTGCTGATTCCCAGAAGGACTCGGACAAACAGTCCTGATGGAGGAAATTCCTCTGGCTCCGGTTTCTTGGCCCCTTGGTATTTTTTATTTAACTGGGTAAAGCATAATACGCTGCTGAATATTTGATTCTGTCTCCTGCAGCTTCAGAAAACATGTGTCACATTTAAAGTTTTTGGTTTCTTTATGGTCCAGCTCTGAAAAGATTTGATCTGGAAAATTTAACAGGTCACTTTATCCATGGCACCGATTGCACTATTCCATAATATGGGGTCCCACATTGCTGAGCTGAAAGGCTTTTTATGTCCATTCCTGAGGATCAACCGTTGATCCATGCATGGGAATGTGGTTTCACGGCATTCCAGTGAAGCTCAAATAACAAAATAAAAAAAGATGGTGCCTGTTCTGTAAAATCAGTGAATCAGAATTAGATCTTTCTGTCAGAGTTATGTTGAAAAACCCAAACATTTACAGTACTCCATCCATCACCAGCCCTGCAGAAACGGCAGTATTGGACAAACCATTAGTCTAAGTTTAGTTTCGGCTTGTCTCAGACTAGCAGAAAGGATTCATAATTACTAAACAGTCTTCAGAAAAGATGTCTTTTATTAGACACGCAGCTTTGCTTGAGAGCGGATCACCACTAAAGGGTGCTGCTTGTGTCTTTGTGGCAGATGTCCCCCCTGTACCTCCCTGACTCCTCGTGGATGCTAATGCTCAGCCTGCTGCTCCTCTGCATCCCTGCAGCACACACAGGAAAGTGTCCAGAGCCATGTGTGTGTGACCAGATCCAGCTCACCGTGGCCTGTGTGAACAAGAACCTGACCCAAGTTCCTGCTACTGCAGATGAGGTTTCATCTCTCCACACACACACACACACACACACACACACACACACACACACACACACACACACACACACACACACACACACACACACACACACACACACACACACACACACACACACGCACACACTCACAGATACAGAAAGATACAGTATACAGCTGTGCTCACAACTTTACAACCACTCTTCATATGACTTTCCACATGATTTGAGTTTTAATGACTCATTTCAGTCGTTCTTTTCCATGTTGGGAATAATTAGACAACATGCAATTTCAACAACATCAACAAAGAAAAAAAACGTCTAAAATTTAGATGTATACGCACATCCTCATTTAAGACTGCTTTATAAGCTCCATTAAACCAATTATCTATGGTTTGTAAGGTGTACAACTTCTTTATTTGAATGTGCAAAAAAAAAGGAAATAGAACATTAAGGAGTGGATTATAACCATTACAACATATAGCAAACCAACAAAAATCCAGTAAAAAGGAAAAACATTTTTTATATAAGAATAATAACTATTAAAGCTGCAAGCGTCGTTCGGCCCTCGCAGCTCCGCGCCGCTCTGGCCTGCCCGGCAGCCCGGAGCACTCGGGGACGTCCGCGGAACAGAAACGTCGACCACCCTAACACCAGAAAGCGCGAACGATCTCCTCGTCTGCATCTCACCCTGACTCAGCATCTCCTCTGAGGCCTCCATTAAATTATGCATCTAGCACTAGGGGATACTCTATCTTTACCACACTGGTGGTGTGATGACACAGACCAACTTTAATGCTATTCTGACTACGTTTTTAGAAGTTTTTGAAGGTTAAATTTATCTAGGGGGCGCTGTGACCAACTACAGAAAAAATCCCATTGAGATCATCTTTGGTTGACAAAGATGGTTTTCTGTTATTTTGACATCAATCAGACGTTGTGTGTTTTCTAGAACCAGAGAGCCGAAAGGGGGTGGAGCTAAAGGGGTTTGAACCAACAACCACATCAATGTGTTTGGTATAGTCATGTGATGACACAAGCCAAGTTTAATGCCATACTGACCTTGTCTTTAGAAGTTAATAAAGTTTGAACCCATCTAGGGGGCGCTGTGACCATTTACAACTAAATCCCATAGAGGTCATCTTTGGCCATTGAAGATGGTTTTCTGTTAATTAGGCATCAATGAAACATTGCATGGGTCATCTTGAGCCAAAACACTTGCGCGTTTGGTGTGAATTGCATTATGCATGTGTGATGGGACAGACAGATCTTGTCTGGTCCCATCTCAGTACAGAGCCAGGTGGCTCAAATTAGGCTGATTGCAGGGCGGGGTGAGCCATCCAATAAAAGGCAGGTGTCTGCTCTTCCAGCTTGACAGCTTTAGTATGGCACTTCAGGTGCTGGGGTACTGAGAGACTCCAACTGCAAGCTGCAATCATAAGTACACTCCCTCCTGTGTTGCCTGTGCGGCGTTAGTTCATGCTCATTTCTCCATCTTAATTTGTTTGTAGCGTGCGATCGCAGAATGGAGCTGCGCATAAGGTCATGGGGTTAACACTGCATCCAGGTACTCCTTGTCAGCTCTCTGCCGTGTGGGTGTGTCAGCCATATGAGGCTGATTTGATCCAGCGGCGCGACGACCATAAGTCCTCGCCTCTGCTTGGGAAGGGTTGTAACCCAGGGTGGTGTTGTTGCAATCTTTTTATCCTTTATTTATTTATGTACCGACCCTCACTTGCCACACATTATTCGGGGCCTAATACCTGCCAGGGGGTGGAGCTAAAGTGGTATCAACCAATAACCACAGGATTGTGTGGTGTGCCTTCGTGTGATGGCACATAGCCAGTTTGGTGAAGTTCCGACCTCATCTGTAGGAGTTATTACACTTTTAAAGGTATGTAGGGGGCGCTGTGATGATATTATACAACGTTCACCAACCGTTTGTGCCTCGTTGGCTAAAGGGCATGATTGTTTGCCATGTTCAGTCTCTTGCAGATCAGAGGCTGCTTGTGGAAGTTACAGTCAAACGTAAGGTCACGGTGTCACGCCAGAATTTGCCATGGCATCAAAGCCCCTCCCTTTCTGGAAAGCTATCAGAACAGCATCATGAAGACAGTGCATGACCTTGGTGTTATGTTGACTAAATTAGAGGGGACAAATATGGGCATTTTCGTAATCGTCAGACAAAGTATTGTGTGGAGCTGACAGTTTTAACGGTTCTAGGGGACGCTATTTCAGAAAATAGGCCACGCCCACCAACCTATGACATTCATTTCTAATGGGGGTTAAACTAGGATCACTCATCAGAAATTTTGTGACGATATGATAACTGACGAAATGGGAGGCAAATGTATTTCTGTGGCGTGATGGCGAATTTCACCATGCCCCCAAAGCCCCGCCTTTTTTTGAAACTTGACAGCACTGGACACCAAGTCACGCCAACTTGTCTACTGCTATTTGCCAGAGATTGCTGGTGATTAGGTGAAAGGAGTCCAATAGGGAGCTGTGAAAATAGAGTGGCGTGGCAACAGATCAAAGTTTGAGGCTTAGCCACGCCCATATCTTTCAAGTAATTTAAAATCCGACAGTTGACTTTCCCCCCTATGTCTTAAGAGTATATAGCAGAAGTTTAAAGGTGATCAGTGAAAAGGGCGACGGGGCATCATTCTCCAAACAACGTGTGCAAAAACTACTAAATCGAGTACTTGGACCAAAATGGCTGACCTCCTGTGCGACTTTGCACTTGGCTCCAAGAGACTTTTTTTGTAGGTCCTGAGACACTACATTAGTGTACCAGTGTACAAGTGTACAAAATTTCACTAACTGTACGATAAACTAAGGTTTATGGAGGGGAGTATTTTTCCACATTGTAGGGGGCGCTATTCAGTCACTGTCTGCGATTTTTTTGGGACCTTTAAAATATCAACTTTTTCACCAGGCCTGACAAGTTTGCAAAATATTGTGAGTTTTGGGGTATGATAAGGTCCCCAAAAAAGCCATTCAAAGCGGGCATGGAATAATAAATAATAAACGGAGGAAAAACAAGAGGCCTTCGCAGCGCTTTCGCTGCTCGAGCCTAATTATTACAACTGAGACCAATTATTTTGTGCGTATTCGAAGGGAGCAGGAAGAAGCCTAAACTTATATAATCTCACCCTTTAACAACTTGTTCAATAACTCTGTGTATCTGACAACAAAATCTTTTTTACAACACTGTCATCGTTCTGTCGCTTGTGACATTAGCCTTTGAGCAAAATCAGTCAAAGTCCGAATTGCAGCATCTCTCCATCTGGGCCGTTATTAACCACCCTCCCAAAATAGACAAAACATTTGAAAATGAGTTTTAACTAGACATACATTTGTAAAAGCTCAGAGAGTCTGCCAGAGTCCTGCAAAATGACATCCAGCGGGCCGCAAATGAGCATGTGTCTGCTCAAACGGTCAGAAACAGACACCAGGGCCTACGTCTACAGGTGGGAGATGTGCTTACAGCCCAACATCAGTGCCCTGTGCTCTCCACTGATGAAAGCAGGTTTACATTGAGCACGTGTGACAGACGTGACAAAGTCTGGAGACGCTGTGGGAAATGTTCTGTTGCCTGCAACATCCAGCATGACCAGTTCGGCAGTGGGTCAGTAATGGTGTTGGGTGACCAGAGGTGTAAGGGCTGAAAAGGGCACAACCAAGGGTCCTTTATGGACTTCAACAAAGGGTAGGGGACCATATTTGGATAAGGGAGGAAGGATTCTGTAATGATAACCAGGTTCAGACTGGGTCACTGTGGTCTTAGAAGTGGGCTCACTCTAATTGGGAAACTTCCGAATGGGAAGTGTGACTGTGGTGAACCGGGAATGATGTTATCTTGTACTCTGCTTAGAGGAGAAATGCTTTTCAGGATTATCAGAGCAGGGGAGGTGACTGTGTTTAATAAGAGTCCACTAATGAATCAAGAAGACAGGACTAGAGCCTAGACTGCATTACACTCGAGTGTGTAGCTGACTGTGAGTTTGAATGAACTCAACAAAGAAGGGGGTGGTCAAATATCAGCCAGAAGCATAGCAGAGGCTCAGTGGTAGCTATAAAAACATGTTGCCAAGAGACCTTTGAGCAAAGCTCAGATATATGAATTTGGTCTTGAGTGGATGAGAAAAACTGAAGTATTTTGCTGAATGATCATTCCTCTGTGGAAGTTCAGATCAGTCATTAAAAGCTCCAAAGCGATTCAGCACTCATACCCATGAGGATTTGTGAGCCTCTGGATCTTTCTTCTCTTCATAGATTACACTTAAGTTGGATCTTCGAGGTAATAACCTCCAGGAACTCCTCGCTGGAGCTTTTAAACACACCCCCTACTTGACTCACCTGTCGCTGCAGAGGTGTGACATCCGCAGAGTAAAGGAGGGTGCTTTCCGAGGCCTTGGTCGTTTGGTCTTCCTCAACCTCGCCAACAATAACATAGAAGTCCTCTACCAGGTGGGCACAAACTTACAATCCTGCTTTAGTGAGTTTTGATGCTTTTTGTGAATTCTCTCCACTCAGTCTTTCCTAAGACAGTTGCCCCCACTACATGTATCCATCATACCGGCAGGGTAAAACAGTTTTTTCTGTGTTTTGGGAGTCCAGGAGTCATTTGATGGTCTGTCCTCACTGAAGCAGCTCCTGATTGATCGTAACCGCGTGGAAGAGATCCAGCCTGGAGCTTTCTCCCAGCTGGGCTTTCTCAACCTCCTCTCCATCACTCACAACCAGCTGGTCTACATCCCCAACATGGCCTTCCAGGTAACAACCACTACAAAATATCTCAAAACCTCAAACACAGGTGAAGCGTCTACGGAAAAGCCTCCTGTGATTAGAGCGCTTGTTGAACAGATTTCTTCCTCTCGCTTTAGGGGTTGCAGAACATCAAGTGGCTTCGCCTGAGCCACAACTCACTAAATTACTTGGACACAGAGGCATTTGCTGGTTTGTTCACACTAAACCGGCTCAGTCTGGACCACAACGAGCTGCAGTTTTTCCCCACAGAAACCATGATGAGGTGAGGAGGCTCGGGGACTGAGGGAGTCTGCTGCCTCAGCTGGGTTGTGATGGTTTAAAGCTTAAACCTCAAGTCTAAATTACTTGATTTCTTTTCCTTTTTGTGAAAAAGCAAAATGTGCATGGAATAATTCAGAGAATAAAAGAGTTGAGTTTCATCTGTACGCTGATGAATGCCAGATTTATCTCTCTGTGAGAACAGGGGAATCTGGCTCGATTCAGCCATGAGTGGACTGCTTATGTGATGTTAGATCATGGACGCCTTTAATTTCCTGCATCTCACTTGATGACAAAACTGAGGTAATAGTTTTTGGACCCCAGGTTTTTAGAGTATATTTTAATCATTTTGTCAGGACTCAGGTATCTCCCGGCTGACCTTCGGACCACAACTCCCGACATGCTCCTCGTGGGGAGCTCCCAGCGTGCTCCTCGCGGGGAGTCCCTCCACGTCACAGCCAAGCAAGGCTATATATGGAAGACGCCGTGACCGGCTTCTCATCTCAGTCATCGTTTCTTCCTCACAGAGATACGACCAGAGAAATAATAAAACTGTTAAAACGTCTCACCTTGTTCGTCTCCTTCATCCAGTCTGATCAGCCTGACAGGATGACTGAGATCCGAGTAGATCCGACGGAGATTGATCGTCTCCGCCACGAGAACGTGCAGCTGCGTTCCATGGTAGATCAGCTCAACACCAAGGTGAACTCCTTGTCCGACCACACCCTGCGTCTATCCACGGCTCTCACGGCTCTCCAACAACAGGCAAACGATCAGCAGCAACAGATCGCTGCACTCCAGCAGCCAACCCGCTCTGCTCCTAGGGAGGAGCCCCACTTCAGCCTGCCGGAGAGGTGGAACGGGGAGACGGGGAGCCCCGATGGTCTGCTCGCCACGCTGGACATGCAGTTCGAGTGCCAACCTGGACGCTACCCATCTGCGCGCTCCCGAGTGGCGCATCTCACCTCCCTGCTCTCCGGACGCGCCGCGGAGTGGGCTGCTGCGCTTTACAATTCCAAATCCCCTGCCTGCAACGACTATGCTGCGTTTGTGTCCGCTCTCCGGAAGACCTTTGTTCCCCCCAGCAGCGAAGTGGGAGCAGAGACACGCCTTCTCAAACTCCGCCAGCGAGAACGCTCGGTGTGCGCTTATGCGTCGGAGTTTCGCACCATCTCCGCCAAGCTGCAGTGGAATGACTCCGCTCTGCGGGCCGCCTTCCTGGAGGGGCTGGCACCCTACATCCGTGATGAGTTGGCGGGAAGGGAGCTGCCTCAGACCCTGGATGAGGTGGTTGATCTGGCGCTGCGCATCGACCAGCGGGTTCTGGTTCGACCCAAGTTATCCACGCGTCCACCCAGGACGCCGGTGCCTCGCCCTCGTTCACCCACGCCAGCTCCTGTACCCATGCTGGCGGAGGAGCCCATGCAGCTCGGCCACCTTCCCCCCGAGGAGAGACAACGACGGTGGCGCGAGGGCCTCTGTGCCTACTGTGGCTCTCCCGACCACCGACGCCTGGACTGCCCGCTACGATCGGGAAACGGGGGGCCCCACTGAGTATTGGGGTCGCTCAGTCTGGGTCTTCTTCTACCCCTGTCGCTACTAACCGTCTCCTTATTCCTGTCACCCTCCTCCATGGTGAGGCCTCACTCCACGTAAACGCATTGGTGGACTCGGGGGCCGCGGACAATTTCATGGACCTGGATCTGGCAAAACGCCTACGGATCCCCCTACAACCCCTGGAGAGAGTTATACCAGTGACCTCGGTGGACGGTAGGCCTCTCCAACCCTACCCAGTCCGAGACCGAACCCAGTCACTCCGTATGATCACCCAAGGCCACCAGGAGACCCTCCATTTCCTGGTCATTTCTGCTCCCTCTTCTCCCCTAATCCTGGGGTTCCCCTGGCTCCGTCTCCACGACCCTCATATTTCCTGGTCCCAGAACCGCCTGCTGGGCTGGGGGACCTCGTGCCAGACCCACCTCGTTCCTCCTCCATCCTCGGCGGGTCTTCCGGACGGGGGCCCCGGCTCCACACCGCCCCACCTGCCGCTGCCCTATCGGGACCTGGCCGCGGTGTTCGACAAGCGGCGCGCCACCTCCCTGCCACCTCACCGGCCATATGATATGGAGATCAAGCTGCTACCCGGAACCAGTCCTCCCCGCGGGCGCCTTTTCTCTCTCGCTCCTCCTGAGACCAAAGCGATGGAAGAATACATTGCCCAGGCCCTCCAGCAGGGGTTCATCCGACCCTCCTCCTCTCCGGGTGCCGCTGGCTTCTTCTTCGTGAAGAAAAAGGAAGGCGATCTTCGCCCCTGCATAGACTATCGGGGTCTGAACAAGATCACGGTCAAGGACCGCCATCCTCTGCCGCTCCTCACTACCGCTCTAGATGCCATCTCCCAGGCACGGATCTTTACGAAACTGGATCTCCGGAGCGCCTACAATCTGGTCCGTATAAAGGCCGGGGATGAGTGGAAGACCGCGTTCATAACCCCCTCCGGCCACTGGGAGTACCTGGTTATGCCCTTCGGACTATGCAATAGTCCTGCTGTCTTCCAACGTCTCATTAATGATGTCCTCCGCGACATGCTGGGACGGTGGGTGTTCGCCTATCTGGACGATATACTGATCTACTCCAAATCCGAGGCCGAACACATCCATCATGTTCGCGCCGTCCTGACCCGGCTCCTGGACCACAACCTGTACAGTAAACCCGAGAAATGCTCCTTCCATCAGCAGTCCATATCCTTCCTGGGCTACATGATCTCGGACGAAGGGATAACCATGGACCCTCAGAAAATCCAGGCGGTGAAGGACTGGCCCTTGCCAACCAGCCTGAAACAACTGCAGAGTTTTCTGGGTTTCTGCAACTTTTACCGCCGTTTTATAAAGAACTATAGCACCCTCGTAGCCCCTCTCACCCCTCTCACTCGACCAGGCTCCCCTGGCCAGCTGTTTCGTCTAACTCCCGACGCCATTCGGGCCTTCCGCTACCTGGTCACCCGCTTTACCTCGGCCCCGATCCTCCGCCATCCAGATCCTGCAGTTCCCTTTGTGGTCGAGGTCGACGCCTCTGACGTCGGCGCCGGCGCCATCCTGTCTCAAGGTGGGCCCGACGACAGGCTCCATCCCTGCGCCTACTTCTCCAGGAAGTTTTCCACCACCCAGCAGAAGTACGGTGTGGGCGACCGTGAGTTACTGGCCATAAAATGGGCATTGGAGGAATGGAGGCAGTGGCTTCTGGGCACCGCTCGGCCTTTCACGATCTGGACTGACCATCAGAACCTGACCCACATTAAATCTGCCAAGCAGCTTAATCCTCGCCAGGCTCGCTGGGCCCTCTTCTTTGAACCCTACGACTTCCATCTCGCCTACCGCCCGGGAGCCAAGAACCAGAAGGCAGACGCCCTCTCCCGCCAATTCACCCACTCCACGCCCTCGTCCGAGCCAGCGCCAATCCTCCCGGAACACCGTTTCCTGGGCCAACTGAGGTGGCCGTTGGAGGAAGCTATCCAGAACGCCCTCCGGGACGACCCCGCGCCTTCAGAGACCCCCGCGGGTCGCCTCTATGTCCCCACGGCCTGTCGCAGCGAGGCGTTGTCCTGGGCCCACTCATCACGCCTGTCTGGCCACGCTGGTTTCTCCAGAACTCTTAAATTCCTCCAGCGAGCCCTCTGGTGGCCAGGCATGGCGAGGGATGTGAAAGAATACACCAGCGCCTGTGACGTCTGTGCCCGCTCCGAGAACCCCAACCAGGCCTCGGCTGGTGCCCTCCGACCTCTTCCGGTGCCCAGCCGCCCCTGGTCCCACGTGGGGCTGGACTTCGTCACGGGTCTCCCGCCGGTCAATAACCTCAACACTGTCATGACGGTTACGGACCGCTTTTCCAAGTCTGTCCATTTCATCGCCCTTCCGGGTCTCCCCTCAGCCCAACGCACAGCGGAACTGTTCCTGGAGAACGTGGTGCGCCTCCACGGGTTCCCAGTTGACGTGGTCTCGGATCGGGGGCCCCAGTTCACGGCCCGGTTCTGGAAAGCTTTCTGTCGGCTGATGGGAGCATCGGTCAGTCTATCTTCAGGCTACCACCCGCAGACCAATGGCCAGACGGAGCGGGCTAACCAACAGCTGGGTCGGTACCTTCGTTGTTTTGTCTCGGCTCAACCCTCGCAGTGGCCTAAATACCTCCTCTGGGCGGAGCTGTCCCACAATCTTCACACCTCATCTGCCACTCGGCTGTCCCCTTTCGAGGTCTGCTATGGCTTCCAGCCCCCGGTCTTTGCCCACCAAGAACCCGAGGTCGCCGTTCCGGCAGCGGAAGCCATGGTGAGACGCTGCAAGAGCGCCTGGATCAAAGCACGAGCCTCCATAACCAGAGCTAACACCAGCTATGCTCACCAGCATCTCCGTCGACACCATCCTGGTCCCTCCTATGCTCCTGGGGACAAGGTCTGGGTGTCCACGGCTGACCTTCGGGTCTGTGCCGGGTCCAAGAAACTCGCCCCTCGGTTCCTCGGCCCATACCCCATCCAAAGGGTCATCAACCCGGTCACGTACCGGTTGCGGCTGCCGGCTACTCTCCGCATCCATCCCACCTTCCATACCTCCCGGCTCAAGCCCTACGTGGAGTCCTCCCTTCTCCCGCCTCCGGCTCCGGCGCCGCCTCCTGCCCGCTTCCTCGACGGTGAGCCTATCTACACCGTCCGGCGCATCCTGGACGCTCGCCGCAGGGGTCGAGGCTGGCAGTACCTGGTGGACTGGAAGGACTATGGCCCCGAGGAACGCTCCTGGGAGCCGGCTCAGTCCATCCTGGACCCTTCCCTGATCTCTGACTTCTGGGTCCGCCGGGGTCGCGCTGGGACTTCTGGAGCCGTCCCTGGACCGGGGGGTCCTGTCAGGACTCAGGTATCTCCCGGGCTGACCTTCGGACCACAACTCCCGACATGCTCCTCGTGGGGAGCTCCCAGCGTGCTCTTCGCGGGGAGTCCCTCCACGTCACAGCCAAGCAAGGCTATATATGGAAGACGCCGTGACCGGCTTCTCATCTCAGTCATCGTTTCTTCCTCACAGAGATACGACCAGAGAAATAATAAAACTGTTAAAACGTCTCACCTTGTTCGTCTCCTTCATCCAGTCTGATCAGCCTGACACATTTATGTCTCTTAACCTGTTTGTTGTACTCTCTTTATTTTATTTTTGAAATATTTCACGTTGTGTTTTTTATAATAAAATAGATAGAATAGACTTTACAAATCCCACAGTGGGGAAATTCACACAAAGCAGTAAGCTGTTATTGTAACCTTCAACCACCAAAAACAATTGACAATGTGTTTCCAAAACTATGCAGCATAGGGGACGCAGACATACTAATACATCGCTCTACTGATGATGTTTTCCTGCTTTATGGTTAATCTGAGCTCAACCCAATGTCCCAATGTCTTTTGCTCTTAATTTAGGTGTGTGTGAGGTGGGGGATGGGTGGGGGTGAATGTGAAGTGGGGTCATTTTAATCTGTAAGGCACTTAGAGTTGCATTAACTGTATGAAAAGTGCCTTATAAATAAAGTTTGATTTGATTTACTGCACGAGTATTGAACACATACTGAGTATTGCATTGATGTTATTGTGTAGCAGGATAATACCAGTACCAGTTAAACTGACCAATTATACACTTTTACTGCAGAGGGGATGAATGACCTACGTTAGCATTCTGTTTTACATCTGGGATCAATCAATCAATCAATCAATCAATCAATCAATCAATCAAATTTTATTTCTAAAGCGCTTTTCAAACAAAGTGTTATTCAAAGTGCTTTACAAAATGACCCCAGATTCCCATAACAGGTTAAAAACATTAACAAACATATGCAATCACACGCACACACACACAGACTCACACACACACACACGAGTAAAAATTATATTAGGCTGAGTCCAGATGAGCCAAGTATGGTAACGCAAGGGATGTCTCAGTCTGCCACTGTTGGAGCTGTCCATGGCCTCCACAGTGGAATAGTGAGTGGAAGGGTTTTTTTAAGATGGAGGTAATCTTCCCGATCATCCTCCTTTCTCCTCAACTGAATCTAGTTGGCAACCCAGAATCGAGCTAGCTTCATCAACTAGCTTGTTCAGTCTGTTTCTGTCTTGGTCGGAGCTGCCTGCACCCCAACAGACCACAGCAGAGTGAATAACGGAGCCAACAACAGAATGATAAAAGGATTTTAGCAGCTGGGAATGAACTCCGAAGGACCTCAGCCTCCTCAGGAAGTGGAGGTGGCTTTGGCCCTTCTTGTCTGTATTGTGGGACCAGTTCAGTTTATTTTTGAGGTGAACAGGTGCCTAAGTATCCACCACCTCAAGATGTTTACTGATGACTGAGGAGTGTTTCTCTGGAAGTCGATTCACATTTCCTTTTTTTTTTTTTACTGGTGTTCAAGCGAAGGAGGTTACGCTCACACCAGTCCACTAAGTCCATGATGACTGACATGTACTCCTGGTCATTCCCCCAGACACACAGCCAACAATGGTCAAGTCATCAGACAACTTCTGGAGGTGACAGCTGCTGGTGTTGTAGGTGAAGTCCGAGGTGTAGAAGGTGAAAAGAAAGTGTGTCAACGCCATACCCTGTGGAGCTCCAGTGCTGCACACAACCACATCAGATGTACAGTTGTGCAGCCTCACGTACTGTAGCCTGTTGGTGAGGTAGTTGATGGTCCATGCAGTCAGATGTTCGTCCACTCACCCCTCATCTTCTGCTACAGTAGACACAGCTAGATAGTCTTTAGGGCACTTGACACATCAAAAAACATGGCTCTCACAGCGCTTTTTTGCATCTTGAGGCGAGTCAGCGCCGAGTCCTGCAGGTAGATGAGGGCGTCCTCCACCCCCATGTTTGGTTTATGTGCAAATAGCAGTGGATCCATCTCTTGGCTCACCACGGAGCGTAGGTGGGTGAGGATGAGTCTCTCCATGGTCTTCATTAGATGTCAATGCAATTGGTCTGTGGTTCTCTGGTTCTCGAGGATGTGATGTTTTGGGAACTGGAACCACACAGGATGGGGACCTGCTCCAGGCAATGGCTCAGGTTGAACATGCGCGTGACCACTTCACAAAGCTGGTCAACAGAGTCTCTGAGCAATCTGGGGCTGATCCTGTCAGTTCCTGTCGCTTTCCTGCTCAAACGATGCCTCAGTTCTCTCCTCACCTGATCAGATGTAACTGAGAGGGGGGAGTGTGTGGTGCTCAGGCGAGTTGGTAGTGGAGGAGAAGCCATTGAACAGTGTGAAATTTGGAGGGGCGAGGGTTGGCTGACTAGGTGGGGGCGGGGTGTGTGCTTAATGTGATTTTAATTCCTGTTTTCGTATACTGCCTTTTGGTCGACTGTTACAGTTGAGGAATGATCAATTAATAGACCTTAACCATCAGCTCAATAATTATAGATGTCTTGTCAAACTTTCTAATTCATCTGATGAAAACCGTCATTAGCTCCCGAAGATGTTCAATTAGAAAGTAAGGATTTTGACGAGTGTAGAAGGTTACTCTGTTTTCATTTTCTTTTTTAATTTACAAAGCAGACTTTTACCAGTTGATCTATTTGCACCTTTTGCCCTCTACTTGACTCTTTCTATAACCAGACTGCCAGAGGTGACTCGTCTTGATCTGAGCTACAACCCCATGACATACCTGGGAGAGGAAGTGGTTTCTATGGCCAAGCTGACCCACCTTTTCCTGGACCACATGTCCCTGCAGGACCTGTCCAACACAGCTGTATCTAAATCCCCCAACCTCGTGCACCTGGACATCAGCCATAACCAGCTACGTGTCATCCAGCCCTTTTCTCAGGGCTCACCCAAGCTGGCACGCCTCATTCTAGCTGGAAATCCCATCAGCTGCAACTGCTACCTGCGTTCACTCAGGTGAAATCAAATTTAGAGTATTTTTTCATTGTAAATGAGCTTTATTTACAAGCAGCTTTTGCTCAAATATTTTGACCACTAGGGAGTGGGCAATCCGTCGTAGAGTGAAGCTGATGGGAACATGTGGTGGACCGGCCCATCTCTCAGGAGAGAATCTGGAGGCTGTTTACCCTGCAGAGCTGCGCTGCCAGAGCCAGGAGGCCATGCTGAAGGCAGAATTGGAAGAAGCAGCCAGGGTGACTCCTCCACCAACTGAAGAGCCAGGAAATAAGGTCAAATGTCCTTCCAGCTGTGTCTGTGAGGTGAGTTCTCCTCATTTCCCATCTACTTTAATATTAGTGGTTGTGAAGTTTCCCCCAAACAAGCTTGCTTTGTCCTGCAGCACGAGATATTCAGTCATAGTTAAAATAAAGTACACCTTCTTTCAAAAATCTCAGGAGAAAACATTATTGTTTTGATATTTGAAATGTGAAACATAAACATCCAATAAAGCAGATGTGTTGATATCTGCTGGCATTGTACACTTTGACTCTACAGTTTGTGACTAAACAGGAATAAATCTTTGAGTTTAAAGGAACACCTTTTTCCTGCTGTAATCCAAGATTTATTTGTAGAAGTTGTCTCCTGAATAACCATCAAACTACTAGTAATTAGGTATGAACAAAGTCCGACTTTAGAATAGGGAACATATTCTTGCTTACAAGTGGTTAATTGATTGTTGTTTAGGCTGTAGTAACATGTGGAGTTTGGAGTTTATTTATATAATACCAGAACATAATATTTTTGGTTATTAATGCAGAATAACTCATTCCCCTTGAATTACTTCGTCCAAAGCCACATATTGATTTGAGCCAATTAATATGTGTGTTAATCAGCAACAAACCATTTATTTTCAGTTAACGAATGGCTTATTTAGAAAAAAACTCTTAATTTATGGCCTGTTATTATTAGAATTACATCATTAGTAGCACCTAATAATAGCTTAATAGTGACTAATTCAGACTTAGTAGTCCACTAATATGCATATTAATTGGCAGCTAATTAATGGTTAATTTGTGTTCTCTAAACTAAAGTGTTACCGAATGCTTTTACCAATCCTCCAGCTTCACCTGTAATTTTGTAGAACTGAAAACTTAAAGAACCCTCGAACACATTTACAACACAGCTGAGCTCACTCCCCAGCCCCGTCCGCCTAACAAAATAAGCTCTGCTGTTTTCAGTGTTGGTCATTTTTTATCAGGCTATACTGAAACAAGTCAACACATTCGTAATGCACACCAGCATCAGAGTTTTAGTTTAGCATTCCAACGTTTTGACCATGGCACAAAACACATTACATTCATGTGACCCAGAAATTTTAGGGGTTAAGGTGGAGGGAGTTGAGTTTGGTGGTCCATCAAACCGCGACCTTCCACTCCTGCTGGGTAGGTTCACAGCTGAGGGGGATGCAGCTCGGGTGATGATCAGCATCTCCTAATATGAGATTGTGGTTCTTGATTGATAAAGGGTTGATTGCAAACTCTGGGACAGAGCAGAGATCTTTCTTCAAGTGGAGGACTTAAAGTATCTTGGGGTGTTGTTCATGAAGGAGGGAGGGGGAGATCGACAGGTGCGTCGGAGCTTTTGATGTGGATGCTGAACCATGCAGTCTTATGGTGACGATGGAGCAAAACCAGAAAAACAAAGGTCTCAATTCATCTGGTGATATTCATTTCAGTCCTCACCTATGATCAAGGGATTTGGGTAGTGACCAAAAGAACAAGATTTTGAATACAACTGGCCCAAATGAGTTTTCCCCGTCGGGTGGTCGGGCTCAGCCTTTGGAGATAGAGTGAAGAGCTCAGATATCCAGGAAGGACTCTGAGTGGCAGCTCCCTCATGTCAGGAGGGTCTGGGTTAGGACTGCTTGCCCAGCAACCCAAACATGGATAGGTGATAAGAGGTGTGAGTAGGCTGCAGAGGAACTGTAATAAATTTGAGTACACCTGAATTTTAGGTGCCAAAAAGTTAGTCTAGAGCTCTGAGGGTTAGATTAATTTGGATGTCGTTCTATTAGGAGCTTGAAGAAGTTGATTACACCCTAAATATGCCATGCCCCGATGGGTCATTTCTCTTGCACGCTTCAGGCACAGCAGTTGTCAGACCAGGAAGAGATGCAGCTGGTCACGATGGGCCCAACAGTAAAAAGCCATGAGAATAATGAAATTCTTGCACATTTTAGCCTTCAGAGAAAGTCTGTTCTCTACTGAGCTGTTTGATCTGGTGTTTGGTTTCCAGCTGGGATCACAATCAGCTATTGAGTTTAAAGTTAAGTTCACTAATGTTCTAGCTCAGCTCTGGAAGATGTTTCATAATCACTGCCGATGAGACTCGTAACTGCTGTGTCATCAGCAAACTGAATGGAAATAAACTGGTATGGAAAGAGTCAAGCACAGAAAAAGGACAGAATTGAAACTATTCAACATGTTGATTTTGTTTCTGTGTGTCCCCTTGTCTCTCATGTCCACTATCTCCCCCACTTCCTGTCCACAGGCAAATACACACCACTCCTCATGTGAGAATCGTGGCCACATCAAAGTGCCTCGAGGTTTCTCCCCTGTTACGCGCCTCTTGGACCTTCGTGGAAACCACTTCCATTACATTCCTAGCAACAGCTTCCCTGGTTTGTCCCAGGTGGTGTCCCTGCACCTGCAGCGCTGCAAGATCGTGGAGGTGGAGGAAGGAGCTTTCAGCGGCATGAAAGGACTGATCTACCTGTACTTGTCTGAGAATGAACTCACTTCTCTCAGCCCTGATGCCTTTAAAGGTCCTCCATAAGAAGATTCAAGTTTGTAGGAGACTTGTTGAACTTGTTTTACAAGTGTTGGTGTCTGAATTCACAGGTCTACCTCAGCTGACTTATCTCCACCTGGAGAAGAATCGCTTTGTTGATTTCCCCAAAGGAGCCTTTAGATTAGTGCCCGGTTTACTGGCTCTACACTTGGAGAATAACGCCATTACCAAGCTGGAGCCTGGCATCCTGACTGGGGCAGAGGGTCTAAGAGCTCTTTACCTCACCAGAAACAACATCCAGCACATATCACCCAGGGCTCTGGATCAGGCCAGGGATCTTGATGCACTCCACCTGGGGGGAAACAAGCTAAAGGAGGTGCCCACTGAAGCACTGGAAAGGGCAGGGAACATCAGGGACCTCCGGCTGTCTGGTAATCCAGTTCTCTGGGTGGGGCCGAATGCTTTCAGACCTCTGGAGAGATCCCTGAAGGAGCTATATCTGGATAACATGGGCCTGGAGAAAGTGAGCAGGCAACTCTTAAGGCAGTTTTAACTTCAGACGCATCTGATCCTTTATTAAATGGATTCATTTTGTTTTTGTGATCAACTAACATTCTTTTTTTCATTTAGTAAGTCAAACATTATGGTTTAAGAAATGTTTTCATAACTGCTGACAGTTTCGACTGTGAACTTCAACCTTCCTCAGAGCACCATCCGACCTGCTGCAGCTGTGTCATTTATCAGCTGGCAGATAATGCTCTGAGGAAGACTGAAACACTGTCAGCAAGTAAGAAAACATATCCAAAACCACAACTTTTGTTTTACTGAATAAAAAAAAAAAGGAATATTATTTGATTTGATCCTGTTTCTGGTGTCATCTTTTACACTGCAGATGTCCAAAGATGCCCTGGCAGGTGTCGGTCCAGAGTTGAGGAGTCTGTTCCTGGAGGGTAACAAGCTGGAGGAGATGCCTGACTTCCGCCCTCTCTCCTCCCTGGAAGTCATCAACCTGGCTGACAACCCTCTGATGTGTGACTGCCCCCTGCTGCCACTACGCCTGTAAGACAACCAACACAAAAACTCATTTGACTAGAAAATGTTTCTTCATTCTATTTGTTCTTTAAAGGACCTGTATCATGCTACTTAGAGCACCAGACACAATATATGATAAAACATTACTACTGGCACTTCTGAGATGTGAATTTGTTTCTGAAATATAGGGTACGTTTGTTTCTTCCATCCTTGAAATGCAATGAAAGTCTACCTCCATCAGTGTGAATTCCCCCCATTTCATAACGTAACCCTAGAAAGCAAAGCTGCTTTTCAACACACCAGCAGTGGTGAACTGGCTATCTGGAATATCAGGACATTTCCCTGTGGCTGACGTAACATTTAGCGATCGCTGAGCACTTGTTTGAAGAAGTAATCCATTTGAAGACCCACTCTGGTACTAGTGGAATTTAACAAGCAATCACGATTAAATTCTGGCTCAGTTTTTGAGCGCTCCCGAGAACGAAATCCAACCATTTCTGCAGATTAAACTCTTCTTCAGGAAGACTGGACAGGGATCCTGTACCTCTTGCAGACAAAAATACATTTACAGGTTCATTTTTAGTGCAAACTATATGGGAAAGAAATCACTTCTTCACATCTGTGGAGATGAAACTCCCTGCTAGCTACACGGAGAGGCGGGTGCTAGTGTTTACAGTCCAGGGGAGGAGGGAGCTGGATTCGACACTCAAATATGCCCCATCCAGGCTTTTGCAATAGCTTAGCAGAGCTAAAGGGAAGAAGCAGCTGAGACATGAAAAAGCATGAGTGACTCCATGAGGAAATAACAATAACATGCATGATATAGTCCCTTTAAGAGAGCAAATTTACATCGAGAGGAGCCAGTAGAGGTGACTCGGGCATCTGGTCAGGATGCCTCCTGGACGCCTCCCTGGTGAGGTTTTCCGGGCATGTCCAACCAGGAGGAGACCTAAAGGTAGACCCAGGACATGGTGGAGGGACTATGTCTCTCACCTGGCCAGGGAATGCCTTGGGATTCCCCCGGAGGAGATGGCCCAAGTGGCTGGGGAGAGGGAAGTCTGGGCCTCTCGCCTTCGGCTACTGCCCCCGCGAGCCGACTCCAGATAAGCAGATGAAAATGGATGGATGGATGGATAAGTTATTGCATCCTTTTGTCTGCAACAACTAGAATCTTTCTCTTTATTTAGGTGGATTGAGAAAATCAACCTTAAGGTGAGAGCGACTTGTGCCAATCCTCCTGAGCTAAAGGGTCAAAGGGTGAAGGATGTCCACGTGTTCAAGGCCTGCCCTGGAGGGGAGAGTCTCCCACCCCCACCCACCAGCACCTCAAAGCCAGCCAAGCCCAAACCAGTACACCCCACTGGCCTTCGGCAGGTCAAAACACTCAAAGCAAAATCCAAACCGCACAAAAGTCGAAACAAGAACAAAAATGATAAGAAATGGAGCAGAACATAAAGTGAATCTGTCTTGAGCCAAGAATCTCTACAAACGTTCATGCGGTACACTGGCCCACGAACATAGACTGGGATGACATTGTTGGTGCCATTTGTTGAAGAAAGAGTAACCCACAATGGTTGTTAAAATAACTTCAAACAGTCAAAGGTAATAATACTTAAAGACTTGATGAAACAAATCTAGTGAAATTCAGGCTTTGCTTTTGAAGTGTGGTTCAACAGGATAATTAGTACTAATGAATAAAATTTTCTGAAATGATGGAACTTGTCCCTTAATGTTTTATATTTAAATCTTTTAACACAATCACTGGAATCATAATATTTGCGGAGGAAACTTCTGCACCTGTCAAAGATATGAATGGTCACTCTTCATGAGCAAACTGCTCAGGCTTTCTCAGGGTGGGGCTTCAGGGGGCTACAGGGTGAACCATTCATGTGGCCTAGTCCACCACAGACAGACCAGATTAGGGCTAATACCATGGTGATTTTCGTAGTCCCTACACCCCCAGCAGGTCCCTGAGGTCCAGTGATCAAAGCCTACTGGTTGTGCAGAGCACCAGGCTAAAGACCAAAGGCGATCATTGGCTGCGGTGGTCTCCAGACTCTGGAACTCTCTCCCCCTGAGCCTGAGATCAGTGGACTCAGTGGTCTCCTTTAAAAGCATCTGAAAACTCACCTTTTCAAGATGGGTTTTGTATGACCTTCGTCACCACTCTCTCCTTATTCTGCTCTTTTTACCAATTCTGTCTTTCCCAAGATCCACTGATTACCTTTATTAAAATAAACTTTGTTTTTCATTTTCCTCACATTTTTTAAAATCACAATTTTCACTTTTCCCATTTTAAAAATATTTAAAAATTACTTTTTATCTTGAAATATTTTTTTAATGAAGCACCTTGTAATCGTTATCTTGAAAGATGCTATATAAAAGATAATTGCTTCTGCTAGGCTGAGAAAGTGTGGGAAATAAATATTTTTAATTACGTTTATTGTATATTTTATAATAACTGATGTCATAATGGTTTATTTATATCTCCTATATAAGTTTTTTGTATTGTTAGAATCTACACTACTATTGTCAGTAACTATTTCAGTTGCAGTTTTATTTTTATAAATGTGTAATTATTGACATTCAAACTAATTTTTTAAATTAGACTATAAGGAAACATTTCCGAGTTTGTTTTTCATTCATTCATTCATTTGAATATGGTGGACAAATGGACCTAGAATGTGTGTAAACTCATGTCATGAAATTGTATTTATATCATCTTTTTTCCTTGTTTGTTTTGCTTTACCTTTTTGTTTACCATGATTTTACCCTGTAACATCTAGCATTTTCTGCAATAAAAAAGAAAGAAGGTTAAAGCTGAGGTTGGATCTTTGTGAACATATTGTTAAGACCAGCGAGGATGAACAAGGCAGCAAGGTATAGAAACATACAGTATAAAGAGTTTGGGGCCCAAGGCTAACCCCTGTGGGATGCCACAGGTAATTTCCAAATATGTTGAAGAAACATTGCTCAATTTCACAATGCTTCACTACTCTCTGCGCTGCCACCTTATTGTGGTGGAGGGGTTTGAGTGTCCCAATGATCCCAGGAGCTCAGTTGTCTGAGGCTTTATGCCTCTGGTAGGGTCACACATGGCAAACAGGTCCTAGGTAAGGGATTAGACAAAATGCAGCTCAAAGACCTCTTATGATGAACAATACAAATGGAAACAGTGTTCCCTTGCCAGGACGCGGGTCGCTGGGGCCCCCCTCTGGTGTTATGGGGATCTCCATTTTTGGTTCTTTTTTAAACACAGAAAAGGTCACCATCAGCATCAGCTCTGAAGATGTTTGCAGCCGCAAACGAAACTGTCAGTAAGGTAAAGAGAAACCTTTTCTGTGTTTAGAAAAGAACCAAAAATTGAATTAGAAGTAAACAGCAAGAACATACCAAAGATGTTATTGGGGATCTGTTTTGGTGGCCTAAGGATCAGGTCTCCGCTTTTTGCTTTTGGAGCGCTTTGCAGCCGAGTGTGAAGCGGCTGGGATGAGAATCATCTCTAAATCCAAGACCATGGTCTTGAAATGGAAAAGGGTAGAATGTGGAGGAAATTGAGTATCTCAGGGTCTTGGTTCACGAGTGAAGGAAAATGGAGCGTGAGACTGTTAGGCGGACTGGTGCTGCATCTGCAGTTGTACAAGCGTTGTACTGATCTGTTGTGGTGAAGAGAGAGCTGAGCTGGAAGGCGAAGCTCTCGATTTACCGGTCGATCTTTGTTCCTACCCTCTCCTATGGTCACGAGCTTTCGGTAGTGACCGAAAGAATCTCGTCTCGTCTCGTCTCGTCTTCCTCCGCTTATCCGGGTCCGGGTCGCGGGGGCAGCATCCCAACTAGGGAGCTCCAGGCCGTCCTCTCCCCGGCCTTGTCCACCAGCTCCTCCGGCAGGACCCCAAGGCGTTCCCGGACCAGATTGGAGATGTAACTTCTCCAACGTGTCCTGGGTCGACCCGGGGGCCTTCTGCCGGCAGGACATGCCCGAAACACCTCCCCAGGGAGGCGTCCAGGAGGCATCCTGACCAGATGCCCAAACCACCTCAACTGGCTCCTTTCGATCCGGAGGAGCAGCGGTTCTACTCCGAGTCCCTCCCGAATGTCCGAGCTCCTCACCCTATCTCTAAGGCTGAGCCCGGCCACCCTACGGAGGAAACTCATTTCGGCCGCTTGTATCCGCGATCTCGTTCTTTCGGTCATTACCCAAAGCTCATGACCATAGGTGAGGATTGGGACGTAGATCGACCGGTAAATCGAGAGCCTGGCTTTCTGGCTCAGCTCCCTCTTCCCCACGACAGATCGGGTCAGCGTCCGCATCACTGCAGACGCCGAACCAATCCGCCTGTCGATCTCCCGATCCCTCCTACCCTCACTCGTGAACAAGACCCCGAGATACTTAAACTCCTCCACTTGAGGTAGGACCTCTCCCCCGACCCGGAGGTGGCAAGCCACCCTTTTCCGGTCGAGAACCATGGTCTCAGATTTGGAGGTGCTGATCCTCATCCCAGCCGCTTCACATTCGGCCGCGAACCTACCCAGCAAGAGCTGAAGGTCAGAGCTGGATGAAGCTAGGAGGACCACATCATCCGCAAAAAGCAGAGACGAGATTCTCCTGCCACCAAACTCGACACACTCCACACCACGGCTGCGTCTAGAAATTCTGTCCATAAAAGTGATGAACAGAACCGGTGACAAAGGGCAGCCCTGGCGGAGTCCAACCCTCACTGGGAACAGGTCCGACTTACTACCGGCTATGCGGACCAAACTCACGCTCCTCTGGTAAAGGGACTGAATGGCCCTTAACAGAAAGCCATCCACCCCATACTCCTGGAGCGTCCCCCACAGGGTGCCCCTGGGGACACGGTCATAAGCCTTCTCCAAATCCACAAAGCACATGTGGATTGGTTGGGCAAACTCCCATGCCCCCTCCATCACCCTTGCAAGGGTATAGAGCTGGTCCACAGTTCCACGGCCAGGACGAAAACCACATTGCTCCTCCTCTATCTGAGATTCAACTATCGATCGGACCCTCCTCTCCAGTACCCTGGAGTAGACCTTTCCAGGGAGGCTGAGGAGTGTGATCCCCCTATAGTTGGAACACACCCTCAGGTCACCCTTCTTAAAGATGGGGACCACCACCCCGGTCTGCCACTCCCTAGGAACTGCCCCCGATGACCACGCAATGTTGTAGAGACGTGTCAACCATGACAGCCCTACAACATCCATAGCCTTAAGATACCCAGGACGAACCTCATCCGCCCCCGGGGCTCCGCCGCTGTGTAGTTGTTTGACTACCTCAGCAACTTCTGCCCCCGAGATCGGACAGTCCATCCCCAGGCCTCCCAGCTCTGGTTCCTCCTCGAAATGCGCATTGGTGGGATTGAGGAGCTCCTCAAAGTATTCCTTCCACCGTCCGACCGAAAGAATGAGATTGCGAAATCAAGCGGCCGAAATGAGTTTTCTCCGCAGGCTGACTTGGCTCTGCCTTGGAGATAGGGTGAGAAGCACAGTCATCTGGGAGGGGCTCGGAGTAGACCCGCTGCTCCTCCGTGTTGAAAGGAGCCAGTTGAGGTGGCTAGGGCATCTGGTTAAGATGCCTCTTGGACGCCTTCCTGATGAGGTTTCCCGGGCACCTCCAACTGGGAGGAGACCCAAGGGAAGACCCAGGACACACTGAAGAGACCATGGCCCAATCCCAATACTCGCACTGGCACCCTTTATTTGCTCGTTCCTGGCCAGGGGTGCGAGTGCGAAGGGTGTCTCGATTCTCAAGTGCGGAAGTTGACCACGCCCCCATTGCACCCTTAATCTGCACTTCATCCAAGTTTGCAGCGATGCGGACCTCGGGCAAGGGTATTACCCACAAGTCATTGCTGCGGGAGAAAAGGCTCAAGTTCCTTTTCTGAAAACATGTATTTTCTAATAAAATTAGTTCGTTTTAGGACTTTAGAACTTAAGCAACAATGAAGTTAAATTTATTTCAAATAATTGCTTTGTTATTTGTTTGAAAGTTGTTAATAAAGGTTTTTGAAAAAAGTTTCACAGCTACCGGCACAAGGCATGCGTCGCAATCGATGACGCAATGCTCCCTGTCTCATTTCGGCAATTATTTGCACACTTGTGTACTACGCACTCGAACCCTACTGAGCACTTTCTCCAAGTGCACTTTGCTGAAGACCGCAGGGCGCAGTGTGAGTATTGAGATTGGGCCCTCGTTTCTCGGCTAACCAGGGAACGTCTTGGGATTCCCCCGGAAGAGCTGGTCCAAGTAGCTGGGGAGAGGGAAGTCTGGGCGTCTCGGCTTAGGCTGTTGCCCCCGCGACCCGACTCCGGATAAGCAGCTGAAAATGGATGGATGGATGCTTCACTTTTAAACCAGTCAAGTGATTTCCCCCTGATGTCATGCTGGTTTAATCATGGTTAATTATGTCAAACCTTCATGATGACAGCTGTTTTTTCTCTGCTGTTTCTTCTGGACAGAGTGTGGCAACTCTCAATATTCCCAAAGTCCAACTCAGTTCCCTTGGTCTGTAAAAAAAATCAGCCATCTGTTGCTTTATGGAGCTGACATCCAGGTCATGGGACTCTTCCCCGTTCACGGCGTATGATCTGAGTTTGATGCTGAATCCGGTGATAATGAGATCATTGACCTTGGTGTCAACCAGGAAAGCAGTCTTCTAATCCTTCTCCTAGTTCTGGATACCTCCTCTACCTACATGCACCAAGATGCCTTTCTGCTGCATTCGGACAAAAGAAACCTCTTCCGAGAGGAAATCAAGCAACGTATCTCGTATCAATCAAACCAAATCCAAGCTTTATTTATAAAGCGCCTTTCGTGACCCTGTCGCGAAGCCCAAGGTGCTGAACACGGTACATGAGAAAAACAGGTAAAAACATTAAAGTAGAAAACAAATGGGTAAAACAAGAGATAAAGAGACCAATGAAAGCAGGGAATTAAAATTAACATAAATGAAGGCCTAACTCAAACATATTCAGGGAACGCGAAGCGGAGGAGGTGGGTTTTTAGGCGACTCTTAAAGGCTGGCAGAGATGGGGATAGCCTGACTGAGGGTGGCAACTGGCTCCAGAGTGACGGGGCTATGACTGAGAAAGCCCGGTCCCCACGAGTACGACACCTAGAACGAGGGACAGCGAGCAGGCCTTGGTCAGAGGAGCGCAGTGTGCGTGATGGGGAATGTCTGTTCAGGAGCGTGGCCAGATAGGGGGGAGCACTACCCTGGAAGAAATTGTAAACAAAGACGAGGAGTTTAAAGTGTGAACGATAACAGACCGGAAGCCAGTGCAGGAAGGGCAAAACCGGATTGATGTGGTCCCGTTTCCTGGTCCCAGTCAGTAACCTGGCTGCGCTGTTCTGCACAACCTGTAGGCGGCGCAGTGATGATTGACCCAGTTCATCCAGGTGTGCTGTTTTGTGAAGAGTCAGTCCAATTTAAAAAAAAAGTAATACGAAGAACAAACATTTTTTTTAATATAGTGCCTCTCAGTTTAGTGCCTCTCTACAAGAACAAGGCTAAGTCGTCAGAGTCATCGATGTTATAGTTGCTCCGTATGCCCCGTCCCCGCCCCTTGCTACGAGCCGCAGCCAGGACCTTCTCGCTAGTCGCTGCTGCTGCTAAAGGCATCGCTATGGCGGAGCCCGAGTCCCTGAGGTGCTCCAGTGCTAGAAACCGAGGAGGCGTTCAGAGGGTCGAAGGGAAGCTTCGAGCAAGCGTAGAAAAGGGAGATTACTATGAAGCCCACCAAATGTATAGAACTTTATTTTTCAGGTGAGACTTCACAATATGTTCGTTCTAATGTGCTTTTGTAGTTACGGTCAGGCCGGCCTGTTCCAGATCATTCCGCTGTCAAACCTTTGACTGGTGCTTGTACGTGATTGGTTGTATTCGCTCTGTGTCCCGCCTTCCCTTGATGGTTCTTGTGTTTGATTGGACAGTGATCCTTTCTATCTTTAGAAGAACAATTGCTATTGGCTTACCGTAATGATACCGCTAGTACCGAGCTGATGATAGCAAATTTTTTGTTAGCAGAGTGAGTAAAATGTGACAACGATAACTTATTTTTGGCTGTATTAATCATGAAATGTATACTGAAAACAAACTGAAAATAGCGACCAACTGTTTTCGTTGGTTTACAATGCAGTTATGTGAACGAGTACATTCATGTTCATTTGCGTTAGCATTTCGCTAGGTGGGAAGCAGCCTTCTGCTATCTCCTCGCAGTAAAATACGAAATAACGACGTGTTTCTAAACAGTTTGTTTTATTTTGAGCTATACCAGACTGATTTGATGCATTTCACTTCTATATCATATTCCATAAACTATGTCATATCCCACCCTACTATGGTAGAATACTAGTTTTGTGGTCTGACTTAACTGCTTACTCCCTCTTGAAAAACGTACTAAGCTGTCGAGAAAGCTCCCAGTTTAAAGCCAATTTCCCTCAAATGTATGTTCTTTCAGTTAATTCCGTCCGTTTCTTGATTGTCACAATCCTATCGTTTACTTTATCAGATGTATATGGTCATTTGGCCTTAGGGAGATTTAGGAGATTGTCTTTAAGTGCACGACTCCGTTCCCCTTTGCCTTCCATCAGGTATATGTCACAAGGAAAACATGCAGAGGCGAGGGAGCTGATGTACAACGGTGCTTTGCTGTTCTTCAGCTACAACCAGGTACAGACCACACCCACGTTTTTGACTAGAACATCCGCAGATTTCATGTTTAAAATTGCATTTCATTAGAAATTAGCATGTACACAACAGCTGTCAGGTTTACAGTTTTGATCTTTGCCTGCTGAATTAACCATAACTTTAACTGTACAGCCTGACTTGTGGCTTGGGTTAAGTTTACCGATTACAGTACGTTCTGTGACAATAATGCTGCCCCAAACATGAGTTCATTGTGGTTTACTTTACAGCAAAACAGCGCAGCAGATCTTTCCATGCTGGTGTTGGAGGTTTTGGAGAAGTCTGATACTAAAGTTGAGGATGAAATGTTAGGTGGGTTTCGAGCTTTCATTGTGTCTAAAAATAACTCTTACTGAGTCTTTTGTGTTGATTTTGATCTGCTTTCTTTTCATTATGTGACAATAGAGCTGTACAATTTATCACATTTTTATTTGAACTTCGATTTAAGAAATCACTAAAATAATGAAACCAACAACAAAAAGGTTAAATTGTTTTGCCAAGACAAGCTTGGTCTTGTATCGTTATGTGATCCAATTAACATACACCTGCCTCCTCTGAAAACTCACCCATACTTCACACTGGAAGCATCAGTGGCACGGACTGTCGCTGCTTCAAATGAGAAGACATTAAAATCTATGGGGGGGTTTCAAACCAGCCACTATGCGGAAATTTTCAAGCGCGTCCCAGAAGCAGCTGGCCATGCCACTAAAGATAGGATGGGTTCTATTTTTGCAGCAAGCCGCATCTGGGACACAACAATTTACACAGTTAGCATAGGGCTAGACAGGAAGTCGCACACGGTTTCAATGTAAAACCCCTGGTAATTCTCAAAATAAGACTACTGCAGCAATGCGATTTCATATCTATGTAGATTACATCAAAAGAAGTTACCTAATGGTTTGTTTACTCCCTGCATTGTTCCAGAAGTGCAATAGTGTGTTTTTTATGGCTTTAATCCTGCAAGTGGAGAGGAACAGCCTCATATGGCAGCAGCAGCTCAGGAGGTAGAGCGACTTGTCTGGTAATCAGACAGTTGCAGGTTCGATCCTGGCTCTGGACAGAGAATTCTGCTGTTGTGTCCTTGGGCTAGACACTTAACTCACCTTGCCTGCTGGTGGGATTCAGAGAGACCGGTGGTACCTGTGCTCATCAGCCTGACGCCTCTGTCAGCAGTGTTTCCATAGTTACCTTGAAATAGTAATCTGATTTCTGACTACTGATTACTCCTTCCAAAAGTAACGTAGTTACTTTACTGATTCATTCATTTAAAAAGTAACTGCCGTATTTTCCGCACCATAAGGCTCACCTGATTATACGGCGCACAGCCAATCAGCGTCCTAGTTAAAGGTTTGGTCCGCACATTAGGCTCACTGGATCAAAACACGCACCCAGCAAAGCAAACAAGCGTCCCGGTCGGCACAATTAAGGCAAATTGGGCAATTAGATCAAAGTCAAACGTTACTCCACTCATTATCTATACTAAAAAATAAATTTCTCATTATTAAAGTAACATAAATGGCCCAGTTTAATGCACGGGTGCTTTTAGCAGCAAGAATGAAGATTTAAACTCTGGTAACGGCATGACTGACTGACTGACTGACCTGCAGCAGCTGGTCTTCCAACTTTCTCCACTTGCAGACCATCGACTCGTTAATCTTGTATTCTCTCGCTGCTGCTCTGTTTCCATGCTCAACGGCGTGAGCGATGGCTTTGAGCTTGAACTCTGCCTCGTAAGTGTGTCTCTTCGCTGGTGCCATGGCTGGTTACCGGTATAGCTGTGTGGAGCAGTGCCACACCTTTTATTAGGTGAGGGTGATGAGGACGGCGCTGGGGGGTACCGTGCTGGGCCAGAGTTACCTTAATACATGTATAAAAGGCGCACTGCCGGTTCAGGGGAAGATCAAAGGTTTTTAATAGCGCCTTAAGTTAGATTACGAGTTACTTTATTAGTTACTTTCAGCATCTATCAAAAACACTCTCCACTGCCTCAACATAAAAACTACAACAGGTTTTGCCAACACTCACTTTATTGCAAATGTTTTTTAACAGTAATGTCAACAACGTATCTTCTTACATTTTAAGTTGAACTTAAAACCTATTGCCTGACGTAATGCTTGTTTGTATAAAATAAAATAAAAACAGTTTTTCTTGACCTCACTTAAAATAAATAGTATTCATAAAAAATAAAACACACAGAGCCAGCACAGAGTGTACAACGAACCTTAATATTTTCTTCTTTAGCTGATACAAACTCAAAATAGTGACTATATTTCCAGCTAGAAAGCGTACCTCTCTCTCCTCCCACCATTGTTGATGACGCTGTAGTTCAGGGGTCGGCAACCTTTTCCCATCAAAGAGCCATTATTACTCATTTCCCACAGTAAAGAAAACACTGGGAGCCGCAGCAGCCGGGGCGTTGTGGGCGTGGCCTGCCCTCAGACAGCAGAGAGCTGCTTTAACCAATCACAACAGGTGACAGCAACCAATGCCAGTCGCTCATGTACCTTAAAGTTATCTTTCAACAGAAGATAATAAATAAAACAGTTTGTATAAAATTGACCCAGAACTTGTAGCCCGTCTGTGTCGACAGTACTTAGATATTTTTCACTCGGTTAGTGGTTTTAATGTCGAGCAGGTGACGCTTTTTGACGTGTCACACACGTCTCCTTTTAAAACAGGTTTAAAGTGTTCAGAATACAAATCCAGGCTCTGTCTCGTTGGATTGTTGTAATTAAACGTTGTGCTGAACTAAACTTTACATTAAACAATGTTGAAAGGGTAAGAAAAGGCTCAGATCAATTTGTTTTTGCGTCATTTACAGAGATGGAGATAATGGCGTAGTGCGCATGGCTCTGGTGTTAATCAAGTTTAATGTTCCTGTTTGCAACAATCTTCACAAGAAGGCAAAACAGTTAAATAACAGGGTTCACAATGACGGGACATTTCACGATTTTGATCATTTATTTTGATGGAGAAACCTCAAGGCTGCAGATGCGCTGATATTTTTATCGTTACGCACATCGCGGCGGTAGCTACATTAATCAGTTAATTAATGTTGAAGGTTACGTTGAAACCGAATTCCTTCCCAGTTGGCTCAGTTGTCAGTTTTTCTCCTTTAAAAAAAGTTTTGTTTACAATCTGTGAGCCCGCAGGGTTGCCAAGTCTGTGGCGGCAAACGCTGCTACACCAGCATGCTGGCCGGGAAAATGTTAACCAGCAAAAGGAGCGACCAAGAATTTATATCTTGCACTCCTAAGAAGACATGGCTTCCTTTATTATTTTTTTTACTCAAATATCAGGTAAAGATGGACAGAGGCTAACACTGAGCTAATGCTAATGGCGAATAAAAACAAAAACAGCTCAAACAATATCTTAAGCTACTTTTTCAAACACGCCAATATAAACAGTAAAATGTATTTATCTACTTATCAACTTACTGTAAATGTCTTGTCTTCACTCGTTATCTAGAATCTTCTGGTGCTGATCCGTAGCTGGCAACTGTTGCTGAATCAGGCTTGTTTGTTTTGATACGTGGACTGCAGTACCCACATTTGACCACAGGATGCCATTCTTATTTACGCATCTTAAAAAAATCTGTGCTTTCCAGGCATAGTCCAGTGATGGAAGTAATATTTGTGAAGATATTTCTTTCAAAATATAGTTTCATAATAATGGAAAAACTTTGGTAAAGCAAATAGATCATAAAGACCCTAATCCACAGCTACGGTGTAATTCTGCTGATCACAGTACACATTCTGATGTGGTTTTGGTTTGTGTTTGTGGAACAGAATGTCTGGCTAAGCTGTTCAGTCTGATGGATCCGAACTCTCCAGAGAGAGTAGCCTTTGTATCCAGAGCTCTGAAATGGTCCACTGGAGGATCCAGCAAGTTGGGTCACCCCAAGTTCCACCAGCTGCTGGCTGTCATCCTGTGGAAAGGTAATTGGCTCATCTTTTACTTCATTTATTTACATAACCTCTCCTTCCCAAGGTAATTAGTATAGAGTCGCTAACGTAACTTGACAAAGCAGACCCCTGAACTAAACGCATCATCCTTCCAGGGCGGTTAGATCGATGGTGGAGACTGAGAGGCTTGGAGTATTTTATGACAGATGAAAAGAAAACGGTCAAATCTTCAACCCTAGCTAAGCTAACTGATCAACAACAACAGTCCAGGACTAGTGAATACTAGAGTCACCACTCAGGGCTGTACAATAACATTTTTAGCTTGTAGCACTGGTGCTACCAAGACTGTAGGTTTTGTAGCACAGAACAAAAACGTGTAGAACAGCATAAAAAATCAGTAACACTTAACAATAAGGGTCCCTTTATCAACGTTACTTGGTTACATTATTGGGATTAATAAACTATTATATAAGTAGCTATTATTAATAAGTACAACTGCATAATATTAATGTCAATATTAAGTAATGCATACTAAGCAGGGAAACCACTCCCTTTCTCTTTCACCTCTGTCTCCGTGTCTGGTCGGAATTAAAAAGCATCCAAAAACAATAACAATAAAGTTTTAAGTATCAGGCGTGACATTAAAAGCAGACGCTTTGATGCTCCACCTGAGAGTAAATCTGTAAGGCTTGTCACCAGCATTCAGACATTAATTCTGCTTGCTTCACAGCCAGACAGGACACGGGAGAAAAAAAAAGAGAAATAACGATATAATCGATGTCTCCGTTACTAGTTCATCGCTGCTGTATCATCAGAAGCCTGCCGTGTTTAACAAGATCTCCAGAACATGCTTACACCACGGTCAGATTGTGCTGAAAGATGCGCACGTTTTCCTGTGAAGTATTTTCTTTATTAATCACAAAGTTTACATGGAAAATGAGTTGTTTACTTTTCTGGCCTTGTGTGTGTAAGCAAGCTTTATAAATGAGGCCCCAGGTAATTTCCTGCCAAGGTCTTTTATTTATTTATTTTATTATTTATTAATTTTTTATATTTGATTTTACAGACATTTCTTGTACTCTGAATGTGAGGATAAACACCTGTGAAAACCCCTCATTTCCTCAGATGTTTATTGGTTCCTTTGGCTTTTTGATGTGCATTGTTCATGTGTGGAAATCATCACCAGCGTACAAAGCAAGAAAATCCCCTAAACTCACCTTGAAAATGACTGAATAAAATGTTGGCTGATCCATAAGGAGCAAGGCATTCTTTTTACTTGCCAAACATCACTAAATGTTATCTGTGGAACGTCTTCAGAAGAGTCCTGAAGCAAAATATTTTACAATTGTCAACAAATTGTGTTGACGTGGAGTGTTGTCCTGTTTTTCTGTTTCAGAACAAAACTACAGCGAGTCTCGTTATCATTTCCTACATTCGTCTGACGGGGAGGGCTGTGCTCAGATGCTGGTGGAGTATTCGTCGTCACGAGGCTACCGTACAGAAGTCGACATGTTTGTGGCGCAGGCCGTCCTGCAGTGAGTAAACCATCGACTCCAATAAACCATGTTATCCTGTTTACAGACTAGGGTTGTCACGGTGTGAAATTTAACCTCACGGTTATTGTGACCAAAATTGTCTCGGTTTTCGGTATTATCGCGGTATTTTTTAAAAATGTGTTAGATTTTCAGGTAACTAAATAAACCCTGTATATAAGGAAAATATTGTCCTCAGTTTGTGTCTAACTTCTGCCTAAAATGTGTTATTTTGTAATTATGTTGTTTATTTGTTTACATATTTCCCCTTTAGTCTTTAAAATACCAATATTTGCCCATAACTTCTTATTTTTTGTCTGTTTGATATCATCATTTTAAAAATATTAGATCAGATGATACTCAGTACTCAAGTAGCCTTCTAATCAGATACTTTTACCCTTACTTGAGTAATAAACCCTATATCAGGAAAATATTGTCCTCGGTTTGTGTCCTTCCAGTGAGCTTTGCAGATGTGGGAAAATGTCATCAGGCAGTAATCATTGCTAAATTCATAATTATTCTCGGAGAGAGACCAACTCTTATCTGCCCCTGGGAGCCCCGTAACGTATAGCGTCATTTCAACATGGCGGTGTCCGTGACACAGTTTATATGCAGGTAGCGGCGCTGCGGCTGCTTTATATAGCGACTCGTTGCATTCTCCCTCAACCCAAATCCTGGGATCACACATTTTAGCTAAAACGCTAACGTTAGCTTGCCTTGCGTTGACTGTAGAGTTGTGGGTGATGGTCATGCGGATGTGTCATGAGATTTGAAGCGTTGCTGCCTTTCACAGACACTTTTTCCTGAACGTGCTGCAAACAGGATAGCCGTCTTCTATCAACTGTCCCTCGGCATTCTTCAAATATCCAAAAGATGCCCGTACTTCCCACTTTGTCTTTTTTGAGGGATAACAAATGTCCTGAGCGCTGCCGTCTCCTCCTTTGGCCATTATTTCAGCTTTAGCTTCAAGAAAGTCTTGGTTGTAAACATCAAAGTGCGCATGTGCCGCCGGCAACTTCAGCAGATGATACGGTGGCTGGTAAGGGTCACCGCACCTACACCGCAGCCACAGTAATCCACCGAGATAATATAGTTATTAAAAAACTAGACTGTTATTATTATTGTCAACTTTTTTTTTTACCGGGGTTTATCGCTACACCGGTTACCGTGACAACCCTATTACAGACAATCCTATCTTGTATTCTTGGATCCAGAGGCTGTGTCCAAACTCAGGGGCTGAGGGAAATCAGGGGAACATCAGTGGATCCCATGAAAGTGGGAACAGGTAGAAAGAGCAAAATAAGGAGAGGGTGGTGATTAAGCTTGCACCAAAGCTGGAACAGGTGGGTTTTCAGCTGCTTTTGGAAGGAGACCACTGAGTCCACTGATCTCAGGCTCAGGGGGAGAGAGCTCCAGAGTCTGGGGGCCACAGCAGCAAATGATCTGTCACCTTTGGTCGTTAGCCTGGTGCGATTTGGTCAGAAGTCGAGCACAGGCATTCTGAACCACCTGCAGACGGTTCAGGGAGGTTTTGCTCAGACACGTGAGGAGGGAGTGGCAGTAGTCTAAGTGTGAGGAGATGAAGGGGTGAATAACAGCCTAGAGCTTATTTACAATGATTTTTGGCAAATTATTTAAAAATACAAATAGAAATATGCAAATGTTAAAAGTCTGACAACAAAAATGCTTTATGCGTTTAATTTCTGTACCACCAGATTTGATATACTTGCATTTAAATCTAAACCTCTTCTGCTTTGTGCACCACTAATACAAGACCTAAAGTCTTCCCTTTGGCACAGAGTTAATCCGGGGATAGTGTAGGCCTTGAAGGATGAAACAGAACCATCCTTCACACCCGGTGAAAATGACAAATTAGGAAAACCTTCATCTCTGTGCTGTGATGCAACCTCCAGCCTAGACATCTGGACAAGCTGTAGACAAAAGATCTTGCTCTGCAGGCCGGTCCGGCCACGTTCCATTGTAGCCTCAGCATGTCTACTATTGTCCTGAAATCTTTTTAGGCTGTGCCAATCACAGCTTTCATGTTAGTTGAGAGACGTTGGGCAGCCCTGGCACCAGAGTTGCGTTGTTCTGATTGGTCCTAGTGCTGTCCAAATGTGTGCAGACAAATTGAAAGACAATCGTAGATTCCACCCCATGACTGAGTTATGTCTATTTAGCATGGCCAGACTGTATAATTACATATATGGGATGGCTTGCCAGGCAATGCAACCTCTGAATTTGGACACAGCCGTAGTCTGAGCTGGTTGTGGGGCTGAAAATCCCACCTACCCCTCCGCACACGATTCTGTTTCCAAGTATCAAATAACTAATTACAGTTAAATATATTAGAAATGCACGATTTAAATGTTTTCAGAAACCTCTCATTCATGTACAGGAAGGGGGCAGGGCATGAAATTTGTACTGCAGCCGGCCACTAGGTGGTGCTTTTGCCCCCTTTGACTCTTATTCTGTTCATGGGTCTAGTTTTTATGAGATACAAATGTGAGCCACGAATGTTCACCTGATTGCAACCGTCCTGTTTTAGGTTGAGGTTTTGTATCTCATCCCCGTGTCTTCATTTTCCTCCTCTGTTTCTCACCTCTCTACCCGTGCAGGTTCCTCTGCCTAAAGAACAAAAGCAGTGCTTCCGTGGTGTTCAGCACGTACACAGACAAACACCCGTCCATAGAGAAGGGCCCTCCCTTCGTCCAGCCTCTACTAAACTTTATCTGGTTTCTGCTGCTGGCAGTGGATGGGTGAGGACCTGACTTCTGCCTATTATAACTAATACTTAACTGTATTAGACAAGTAACTTGAAATGTTGTTTAAAATTGTTCCTTTTTTCTCTTTAGAGGTAAATTAACAGTTTTCACAGTGTTATGTGAACAATATCAGCCTTCCCTGAAGAGGGATCCCATGTATAATGAGGTGAGATCGTTTATCCATGTCTAAGTAGAGCTGGGTGATGGAACCATAATAACTTCTCCCAAATAGACATATGAGAAAATGTATTCCATATAGCTCTGTCTAGAGTCCTGGAACCCCCCAAGGCACATTACAACACAATTAGTCATTCACCCATTCACACGCTGGTGGGGATGAGCTACGATGTAGCTGCCCTGGGGCGGGCTGACAGAGGCTAGGCTGCCGAACGCTGGCGCCACCGCTCCCTCCGACCACCACCAACAGACAAGGTGGTTTAAGTGTCTTGCCCAAGGACACGACGACAAACTGAGCGGGGCTCGAACCGATGAAGTCTTCCGATTATGAAGCGAGCACATAACTCCTGTGCCACCGTCACCCCAAGTGGTGAACAGGTCGACGGAAACCTTCCATATAAAGGAGATGAGCAGCCACTCATAAGTCCAGTCGGCGCTGGCTGGAGTAGAGCTACACAGCGCAGTAGCAATTGGATACGCTAATTGCTAATGTTAGCACAGCTGTAGACTTATTGCAGCTCACAGGTAGGGCTCGGCCGGCTAGGCGACTGAACAGTCGTGCACGTAATTAACGTTGGACAAAAACGAAGGAGCTGTGGCGCCGATGATAAATGCAGGTTGTGACAAAGTCGGGGAAAACCCACCGATCCGTTCGAGCCCCTGAATCACCAGCTGGAGCTGGAGGACGTAGGACTTTATAATCCCAGAGACACTCCTACCATAGAGGTGGCTTTCTCCAGTGTCCTAAAGAATTAAAATGGCTCTTCTTTCTGAACTTAAATAATAGATCATTTGACTGTTTCTTCTTTAAAAGCTGCTAAAATTTCCACAGATTTTGAACATTTATATTTCAATCCCAGCTTCATTAATTTGATGTCAGAAGAATGTTTTCATCTTCCTTCTGTTCTGATGGAGAATGTAGTTTATTCTACACTTTTTTAACAACAATGTTTCATGCCATGTTCTGCTTTTGAAAACAAGTCTAAAAAAACATCATATCTTTAAATCTCACTTGAAAGTACCAGAGAACATTAAAGACAGACAAAAATGGTGATTTGTTTTACATCTTCAAATCGACTGATGAAAAGTAATATAGTGATAGGGTATTTATCCACATCGCCCAGCCCTACTGCTGGCTGAAATAAAAGTTGCATTCAGTAAGGTTGTGTTTTCACGGTTGTCTCTCCTTGTTTCTCTTCCGACGCCCGTGGCTGCTCAGTATCTGGACAGAATAGGGCAGCTTTTCTTTGGTGTTCCACCCAAACAGTCACCATCGTATGGAGGCCTGCTAGGTGAGTAAACTGTTTACTTGCTCCAGACTAGGGTCAAAACTGTTTTTATACATCTGCATTGGCTGATATTTGTCCTTAGTAAAGCTGATTTAAAGTCAGGCACATCCTTGGGCAGCTCAGCACTGCTGCAGAATTTAATTTGATATATTTTTTACGTTCACTAATAACATCTGCATGATAAATACTTATCAGGTAGTCTAAACAGTGACAGTCACATTGCAGCAGGACCTGTGATGCGACCGTCACTCACAGCTTCAAATACAAATCTGATATAATGTTACAGCCTCAATTTTGTGCAATGGCCTCCAGGATCACAGTGTAGGGAGACAGTTAATCTACACAGAAGTTGTGTAAAAAAACAACAAAAAAAACATCTTTTGTGTCTATTTGATAAATGCCATTTTAAAGACCAAGTTCACTTGTTTTTTCAATACATTTGCAATGATCTCTAGTATAAATAAATGCCTTGTGAGAAGATCTGAGGGGAATAAAGCGCTAGCGCTCCTGTTACAGGAAGCCCTTTTTTTAAGACACACCATGCACAACGGTGTGTCTTATAAACGCGCCATGCTGGCACGGTGTTGCGATAATTTAGCGGCATTGGTTCCGCCTCACTTGGTAGTAATATTGCGGTAATTGTTTTTCTTATAAACCGTGATTGCGCCTTGGCGCAACAGAGCGAGGTGTCATGATGACGTAGGGAGATAATGCCAAGCTCTGGCTGGCAAAAATATTGAAAATGAAAGTAAACACGGACCGTAAGTTTTGCTTTTTAAACAAATCAGCCCAGACGGCGAACTGGAGCGCTCCGGCACTGCAAGAGCGTCTCCGTTAGAGCTGGAGCTCAGATCATCAGAGACTGTGGAGGACAGACACCATTAGGAGCTTGTTTAAAAAAACTTAAGGAGCACAGCTTCGATCGCAATAAAACGCAAATTATGTCCAAGATAAACGGAAGTCCCCGGCGGTGCAGGGGCCGTCCCCATACCCCCTTTATGCCGCCATTGCATAATCTTTTATAAAAAAGGACACAGTTGCGCCACGGTCTGACCACTCATAAATGACTTATGCCGCCACAGCGTTGTTTTGTAAATACAAATTTATTCCCTGATATTTGAACATCTCGCCTCTCATTGGCTAACAGCAACGGGACTCCGCTTTGCGTTGATATTTTATCTCCACGAAGAACTTTTCACGTTCAGCCTGCGTGTGAAACTGAGTTTCGATCATGTTTCAAAGATAATAAGTAAAATGGTTTCTCAGTGAGCTAACCCTAACTAAACAACAGTCAGTTGTTGTAAGCATGCTTGGGGAAGCGAGCAATGAGCGCACGCGTTTTTGCTGCAGCTTGGGTGGTGCAGAACGGTGGAGAAACGCGTTTCAACAACACTGGTGCGCGTTTCAATTAGCAACGGGAGGGAGGGAGGGAGAGAGAGAGAGGGGGGGAGGAAGAGAGGGAGAGAGAGAGAGAGAGAGAGAGAGAGACTACTAAACCCAAGCAAGCGCGAGAAGAGATTTTGACTCGCTGATCTAAATGCAGCTGGAGGAAATGCCATGAGAGCACTTCCTGTAATACTGAACTAAAAACACTTCCTAAAAAGCTCAAGGTCACTGTGGTGATGTGAATGCATTAATGAAACGATGCTGATGGGTTCGCCACATCTCGGCAGGAAATTTGCTGAACAGCCTGATGGGTTCTGGTGAAGAGGAGGACGGTGCTGAAGAGGCCCATGAGGACAGCAGCCCCATAGAGCTAGACTGAGCCTGCCGACCACGACGGGAAGAGCAAACACAAGGGGGAGAATAAAAAATAAAGAGGAAGAGCACCCCACCTCCCCTCCTTCACCTCCACAGACGGGGGTGAGAGCGAGGCGCTGCTCTTGTGATTTCAGAGGTGTGCTGTTTGATTCAAGTCCAGTCATCCCAACTATTCAGTTCCAAACCAAAACAAGTGTCATTCCACCAAAAACACAGCTCTGCCTGGACTGAAGCACCAAACCCTCCGCCTGTTGAACTCTTGTAAGATTATTTTATTCTAACTATACTTTTGTTTTGGTAGTTTGGGACTTTTGCTTGCTGTTTAGGAGTGAACGATCAGCACATGAACTGTCTCCTGTGTGAAAACCTGCCTACAGGAGACGGGAGTAACCCAAGTGCGTCTGAGAGAACGGCACTACCACAAGCTCGACAAGCCTGGTTGACACTAAGGGTTTAGTCTGCTCACTACAGTTCTTACAGTGTTTTGTCTGTTTTGAGAGCTCGGCACAGCTCCTGATGGCATTCTTCAACATACTCCATTCTGTCTCTTCTGTCAGATGTAAATTAAAACATACTCCTTACCAAGGCCATGTGTCAGCGTTTCCTCTCTACTTACATTAAACATCACACTCATGTGGATTAGATGGTTTAATGTTTCTTTACAGCAGCGTCACTGAGATGTTAACGTGGTACACTGCTTCTGCTGAGCTGCTGTCGTCAAACGTTATCGGTGTGAATCGGAGTCTCAAAGGAGGATGTCAAAATCACCTGTTGGACTTAAACTTGCTGTATGTCTGAAGAGGATTTGAGAAAAAAATCATCTTTCACTTTAATTTGTGATCAAACAAGAAGAACCATCGGCTCTGAAAAAGCTGCAGATGAAGTTTTCTGTTTCGTAGGAAACGGCTTAGATTGTGAGCTGTGATCTTCATCTTTTGTCTTTAAAGGGACACGTAATCGGTCCAAGTTTCATTAGTCTGCGCCTGTCTGAAGGTAGTGCTGCATCGATATGAAGTTTTTGGGCTGATACAGATATTAATCCCACTGTTATGGCCGATACCGATATACTGACAATGCTTCTAAAATGAACAGATTTTGTATAGAATGAAAATGATTAAATCTGAATTTAAATTATGTACACACACCACTCAAGTTTACGGTTCTGGGATTATTACAATCACTGTCACATGACTAAACAAATACACACCACCCCCCTCACCCTCTGAAACGGATAAACAAATGGAGACGAGCTGGAAAAAATGTTGGTTAATGTCAGCCCGGTTTTATTTATCGGACCGATACCGATATGTTAACTCATTCACTGCCATTGACAAAGTCGTCATTTGCATGTTTTTACTGTGTGGGCGTCGGAATGAGCCCCCGCACCGTGAGAACAAACATCTCAGCTCTAAAGCCGATCTTCTTCCGCGTACGTCACACATCACATGATCAGGAAGCAGAACATCCATGTGATAGGAGATCATTTTGGGCCGCTGCTGTAAAAGTGAGGCGCTAACCGGAAAAGCTTCTGCCGATCACATTTCAACACCGGATTATGAAAGAATGGATAACGCTCGAAACGCGTGGATTCTTCCTGATGTAAGAGGTGATTCTCCGCTTTGTTTTAGTTGTTTTGGCGTCATCCTAGCGCGCAACGTTCTGTGACTCAAAACAGTAAAAAGGTGAAAACCGCTGGCAGCGAAGGGCTTTACCGATCAGGAAACGGCTGGCAGTGAATGAGTTAAAAAATGACTAACATTGGCCGATACCGATATTAATGCTGATTTATTGTCCACCTCAATCTGAAAATAATAATTATTCAGTCTTTGCCAAAACCCAAGAATGTCCAAATATGAAACAGGACAATACTTATGGTTATGAAATGTTTTAATTCGTTAAAGTTTCATTGAAAACATGTAAAGAAAAGCAGCCTAAAGTTTAAATGTTTTGCATAAAGAGATGGTTCAAATAAAGGAAAATAAATCTGAGAACATGAACATTTTGACCTGTCAGTTTGGAGTAACATACTAGGTCTGACTGGATTGATATGCTAATGGTTAGTGTGAATAAGGGCATGACAAAGTTGGTTTGTTACATTCAAACTGAAGGTGGCGTGAACATAACTTTAATATAGCTGAATAAGTCACATTACCTGGGTCACTATTTATGTAGCTCTGTGGTCCATTGTGAGCAAAGCTAGTATTAGCAACAGCTAGCTGTGCACTGCTCACAGGAATAATGGAATGTTTTAGCTGTCAGTAAAACCAGATTGACATTTGTGTAAAGACTGATTAAGCACATTACGACTAAACACATTTTTGTTTTGGTCTAGAACTAATCTCGTTTCTTTAAACTGAGGCTGTTCATAGACCACCCACAGCTGCTGAGATTTGAATTGTTCACATTTCCACAGAACTCCTCCTATAAAAAGTGTGAACTATCGCTTTTGTAAAAAGCTTTGATCTGGTCCCTTTTGGGTTTCCGTACAAGACGACGAGAACTACATGAAGTCAGAGGAGTGTTTACTTGTTAGGTCTCTGCTGTGTAGCACTAAACCCTCCCGCATTCCTAATGGGGTCAGATGGACCCCACAGTTTTTGTTTTTCCTTTTCAATTTTCATTACTTGTCCAGTTTCTCCACTAATCCAGATGTGATGAGTCCTGTGAGAGTATCCTGTGTCTTGGTCCAATGGACCCCAGGTGCTGTTTTCGAGTGAGGAATGAGCACTACCTCACCCCTGCTACGTTGTCCCCAAGGGATAGACCATCAACCCTGCTCAACCATCTCATCCTGGAGTGGTCACCCGCTAGGACAGTGGGAGGGTTGACATCACAAACTAGGAAACAAAATACTGAAGAAATTAAACAAGTAAAATGAAGTTGTGAGTCAAGATTCTAGAGCAGCTCATCCTGCACAAGGTTTTTCTTTCATTAGTGACTAATAAAAGGTCCGTTTGCGACCATTTTCCACAGAAATTGAGCAGGTTTTTATTTTATGTGATGCTGACACTTTATTAAATCGAATGTCATTTAATGAGAATTATCCAGCTAAGAGGGCCTAAAACCCAACTGACATATTTAAGAACTTAAAGAAACGTGTTTTGTCCTTTCAGCGGTTCATTTATTAATACGTGTGTGTGTGTGTGTGTGTGTGTGTGTGTGTGTGTGTGTGTGTGTGTGTGTGTGTGTGTGTGTGTGTGGAGAATCCATCTGTGAAACAAGTAGATATAAAAAAGGGCGAATGAAATGCCCACCCCATAACTGGAGGGTTGCAGGTTCGAGCCCCATCTGTTGCAGTCATCCTTGAGCAAGACACTTCACCCTCCTTGCCTGCTGGTGGTGGTGGTTGGATGGACCAGAGGTGTCAGTGAGCCCCAGTGCAGCTGTGGCTACATTGTAGCTCATCACCACAAGTGCGTGAATGATTGAATGGCTGGTTGTGTTATAATCATCGACATATAGTTCCTTACTGCTGTTTGTTGCCAGCAGAGGGCGCAAATTTCCCATTCTTTTAAGAAAACAAACGGTGTTTAGAAGAATTCAGATGTAGTGTCTCTTCCAAGAAAGTATTTGAACTTTATTAATCAAGATCCATCTTCTCCTTCAAATCCTCCACTTTTTCCTCCACAATATTAATGTTCCCAAAATGTTTAAAATAAAGATTGGGATTTTTTTAAAGCTTCATTAAAATAAGGAGGTTAAAACATTTTCTTCTAAATGGCAATAACGACCAAAGTGCTTTTTCAGGATACAGCCATTGAAGGACAGCAACTCCCCATCTTCCTTTTATTAACTGCTATTGGAAATATAATGCTGTTCTGTTTATTGCCAACATTGAGATGAAAATTTTAAAGGAAAAAAACAGTCTTTGGAAGAAATTAGATAGTCTTTCTACTAAGGAAGTCTTTTACCTTTACTAAAACAGGTTCATCTCCTTCAAATCCTCCTCCTTCGTAATATTATAATTCCCAAAATGTTTACTAAAAAGATTAAGAATTTTTAAGCTTCGTTAGGACAAGGAGGCTAAAATGTTCTATTCTAAATGGCTAAAATGAAAAAGGTACATTTACAGCAAATAGCCACCGGAGGGCAGCAATTTCCCATCTTCTCATTATTCCTTACTGCTGTTTGTTGCCAGCAGAGGGCGCAAATTTCCCATTCTTTTAAGAAAACAAACTGTTTAGAAGAATTTAGATGCAGTGTCTCTTCCAAGAAAGTATTTGAACTTTATTAATCAAGATCCATCTTCTCCTTCAAATCCTCCACTTTTTCCTCCACAATATTAATGTTCCCAAAATGTTTAAAATAAAGATTGGGATTTTTTTAACGCTTCATTAAAATAAGGAGGTTAAAATATTTTCTTCTAAATGGCAATAACGAACAAAGTGCTTTTTCAGGATACAGCCATTGAATGACAGCAACTCCCCATCTTCCTTTTATTAACTGCTGTTGGAAATATAGTGCTGTTTCCAGGAGAGACCGAGGCTCTACTGAGGCCTTTCCACGGACCACTCTATGGTCACGTGGGTCTGAGGCTGTGGTCACGTGGGTCTGATGCTCATTAATTATACAGAATTTTAGGCTTTCAATACACTTAAACAGAAGAGTGAGAAAAAAATTCACCCCCCCTCAGAGTTGTCATGAGTGTAAACTAGATAATTTAGACAAAAAACATGTTCTGGTACCAGGCTGTAAACATGTTTATTTCTGCTGTGAAATAGGTATTTTTAACATGGGAGTCAATGAGGATTTGCTCGCTTCTGACACCAGCCCCCAGCGGATGAGGGTGGAACTGCAATTTCTGGTACTTCCGGGTTGGGACCAATTTTAGAGCTGCATTGTTGGGGCTTGGTTGTAATGCACCTTGGAGGGTGGTGGTGCCATGTCAAACACAGGCCATTTACAAAAGCTGGAATGAATGGAATCACCTCCTAGAAGGTGAAGAACGTTCCGTTTAGAGACACATTTAATCTTGTATGTTTTTATTTACATCAGTCTGACTGCTGGAAGTATTTTTGAACATTTAGCTGAAGTTCAGGTGCGGGACTGCAGCGTGAGCCGTTGGACCGTGTCTGAGAGGTGAGCCAAGTCGGGCTGCCGAGCCTGAAGTTTCATGCTCTCCAGAGTCCGAACCTGGTAAAGACGACACAAGTCGGGGTGAATTTACAGCGCTGTGGAAGAGGATTTGCCCCCTCACACATTTTTGTTTGGAATCACAAATATTTCAGATCAGCAAACACATTTAATATCAGCCAAAGGGAACCTGAGTAAATACAACATGTGTTTTTCAAATGATTTTCTTTATTATTAAGTGATAAAAGCTACATAACCAACCAGGTACCATGTGAGAAACTAATTACCCCTCTCTCTATAAAATCCCACGTTTTAACCAGATTACCAGTCAGGTTTATTTAAAGAGCACTTTCCACACACATGATGCATTTTGTGGTATTTACAATTTTGTACTTGTGTGTGGAAATGTTCCTAAATATAAGAACAGTTGGTGCAAAAGACAAGATACCAGCTGGACTTAAATGTGGAGTCGTTTACAAAATACCAAACTCTGCAATAAAACATACATAGGAGGCACCGGACGCCAACTCAACACACGAACAATAGAACACAGAAAGGAGTGCGAGAAAGAGGCAAGTCAAAAACACACAAGAGCAGCAAAAGAAGAAGCAGAAAGCACAATAAAGAGGTCAGCCGTAACAGATCACTGCACAAGAGAAAACCATATAATGGACTGGGACAACACAAGGATCATAAACACCGAACAACAGAAATACAAAAGATGGATAAAAGAAGCTATCGAGATAAGGAGACGTGGATGTGGGACCATGAACAGAGACGATGGAGTTTACACGCTGGACCACGCATGGGACTGCATCGTCGGAGAGGGGAGAGCGGGCAGCAGAGGGCGACAACGTCCTCTGCTGCCCGCGGATAAACGGAGTAGGAAGTGACGCCACCATCAGCGTCAGCTCTGAGGATGTTTAGCAGTCGGCAAACGAAACGTTAGCAAGGTAAAGAGAAACCTTTCCTGTGTTTAAAAAAGAACAGAAATGGAATTTGACAGAACAGACACGAGCACCTGGGTACGCACAGGTGGGATTTATCATCACTCGATTGCACAGGAACATGCGTAAGTGTGTCCAACCATGTTTCATACATCAGGATTTTGATGGTTCGTGCACTTTTGCTTTTCCTAAGCAGGGATTAGTTAAGGATTTTACATTTTATAAATGAAGCTCCAGGACAACTTGCTGTAATTCTGCACTCTAGCAGAACATCCTGAAGGAGAATGTCTGACCTTTGACCTTACACAGGTCGTTCATGCTAGAAAACCCTCCGATGTGGCTGAATTAGGACTGAAAACTGAATGTTATGCATATTAAACTGTGTTTGTTGATCTGAAACATTTGAACTGGGAGGCGTAAAACACCAACGATGACCTGATCCTGTCAATCTGAACTCACAGAGACTCTGGTCTCACAGTGTCCATGTTTGTGGCTGAGGTTCCACAGGTTGATGGCCAGCTGGTTCAGCTTGATGTTCCTCAGATCTCCGTGAGCCAACAGGACTCCGAACAAGGAGAAGGCCAGGGTGCTCTGACGGCGAGCGTTCTGCTGCAAGAGAACAGATGAGTGAAACTGCAGATCCGAGCAGCACAAACACCAAAACAGAACCGTTCTGGTCTCGGGAAGTGGTCTGACCTCATCCCGAGCGAGGGCCTTCAGATGGTCCAAGATCTGTCCGATCAGAGTCTCACACAGCTTGTTGATCTCTGACAGAAACTTCGGGTCGCCTCCGTACAGAGTCTCATTGGAGTCCACTACAGGAACAAGTTACATCCTGATTACTAAATTCTTTGGGCTGCAGTTGGTTAGACTGTGGTTACATGAATAAGAAGTGTGTGTGTGTGTGTGTGTGTGTGTGTGTGTGTGTGTGTGGTTACTTTTGGGGATGGAATAGAGATAAGTCTCCTGGCTCATGGCAGCCAGCAGTGGCAGAGCGCTGACATAAACCCGCACTTTCCCGTCGCTGTTGTCTTCCCAGGTGTAATCCTGGACCATGTTGAGCAGTCCGCGGACCAAGTAGAGCACCCCGTGCTCTGGATGGTCCTGGAAACGTGACAAAGGACTCATCAGACAAGACAGGACCCATTGCGTCTCTCATAATCCCAACTGGGTCAGAAATAACTAGAAACAGAGGTTTCCTTCTGAGGATGATGAGTGTTACCGGCACAACTAGCAGCGTGGCCAAGAAGTTGTTGATGAAATCTAGCAGGAAGCTCTCAGAAGAGCGAAACTTCCCTTCAACGCTGATGGAACGAGGAACCTCTGGGAGAACACCAACTGCTGTCTTCAGGAAAGCATCAGCTGGAGATAAGAGGTTTTTAGAGGAAGCAGTGCACAGATGTGGGAGTGCGTGGAGATGGAAGGTAGAAATCAGGTGCTTACCCTGAGAGAGACACTGATTGGCCAACGCAACCTGACCCGACAGCAGATAGAGGTTAAGACGACTGAAGATGCTGCTGAGAGACGGGATGGTGATGAAGCTATAGGCAGCACACGCCTGGCAGACGAGACAGACACAAACCCATTACATAACGGACGTCCTGGTGTGACCAGAGGACGTGTGTCGAACTCACTCTGACAAAGGCAGCGGTCTTACGAGAGTGATTCCCTCTCATCACTCTCCTGGTCTCCATGGCCAGCTGGTTCACCGTCTGGACAACAAGGTTACAGTAAACATGGAGCTTCTGGAGAAACAACCTTCCAGACTTGCACTGACATGGATGAGCTGCACCAGAACAGGTTCCAGGTTACAGAACGTGGCTCTGGCCTCCACACAGAAGCTCAGCTGCTGCTCAAAGTCCCGACCGAAGGAAACCTGAGAGGAAACAAAGCTCAGGAGTTTATCCCGACGTTCATGAACTAAGTTTCTTCCATTCATTTACTTTCTGCCTTTGATCCTCCCCTCGTGTTGCAAAGGTAACCTCCAGACCAGATCCCATGGAGTCCCCAGGACATAGGGGACATTTAACCTCAGCAAGTTCTAGGTCTAGCTTCGGCTCTTCCAAGCAACCAGAAGGAGGCATCCTAATCAGAAGCCTGAACCTCCTCAGCTGACTGCTGTCATCAAGAAGGAGCCGCGGCTCTACTTATAGCTCTAACCAAGCTCAGCCCCGTACGGAGGAAACTCGCTTTAGCTGCTCGTTTCTAGGAAGTTCTTCACCTCTGGGAACCAAAACAAACCCCACATCTGGTCCATCACTCATGAACAACAGCACAAGATAGTTCTAACAAACATTTAATTACACTCAACCAATTTAGTGGTTAAATCAAACAAAAAGATAATGCTTCTATTCAAATCGACCAGGTAGCTGGACAGGTAATGGAGAAAAAGGCTGTGTGTGGAAACAAAACACGAGCTTTAAAGGTGTGGGACACTCATTTAATCAGTGGTCTCTAGTAGAAATTAATTCCTTATTCCTTGTGAGTTGGGGGGGGGGGGGATGCGCCCATTTCAGGAAACATCAGAGGAGAGCTTAACATGGGAGGATTTGGAGTCTTATTTCCTGATATTTGGACATCTCTCTTCTGATTGGCTAACAGCAACATGACTCAAGCACTGACTCTGTTTGCTCTGCATCATTGATGTTTTATCTCCACAAATACCACAGGCCGGGAGGAGTTCTGCTGTGTGGTGGAGTTGCTAATGCGAATGGTTAGCTTCTGCTAATCGAGACATTCTCTGCTGTTTCCAACAACAGCCTTTCCCGTCGTGAGTCAAGATGCGTTAGTCCATGAATGTTAGGTGAAAGTGTGACGTAGATCCGTCAGGATTTTCTAATCCTAGAGTTTCACCGGCTATTTTCTATCAGAAGCTAATGCAGGAGATAGGTGTAGGAGACTATTTTCATGTTCAGCCTGTTGGAAAAACTCAAGAGAAATCAGAAACAAGAAATGAAAAATGACCAAGAGGGCAGAGGCACTAACACACACACACACACACACACACACACACACACACACACACACAAGGACATAGTGACATCATAATGTACCAGCTAACTCTTAGCCAATAGCGATGGCAGATTTGAATTAAAATGCAGTGCAGTCACAACACTGACAGTTTTAGGCAGAATATTACATTTTTAACTAAGATGCACTAAAGTGCCACATTATTGACTCAACGTGTCTGCAGCACGATTACACACTCATTTATATGGTTTATCAGCAAAAAAAAACAAGTTGATTCGGGGGTGACTTGCTCTTGAAGCTTATTACATATTACTGCAGGAAGCAGCAACTTAACGTGGACGTTGTATGGACTTCAGTAGATTGAGTACGTGCTGATTTTTACTTGCTCAGTTCAAGGAAAGTAATAAAATTATGAGGTCTCACCATGCGGATGAAGCCGATGATCAGCAGGGACAAAGATCGCTTCTCATCCTCAAGAGTCAGAGCGCTGCAGTACAGAAAAACCCAAATCTGACCAAAAGTGGATTTTTAAAGACCAGCTACAAGGTGCCATTAACAGTTCAAGTAACAAAAATTCAACAATGAAAAGCAAAGAGGACATTTGCAACTCCAAGTGTACTTGACAGAGTCGTGCATGGTTTTGCAGATGTGCAGCATGGCGTTGAGGATGACAGGATCTCTGGTGACCTCCACCTGATGTCTGCAGGGAACAAAACAAGCCAGTTGAGAAGGAGAAACTTAGCAAATCAAACTAAAAACTCTTTCAGCAAGCGTGTCGTACTTGATGAAGACCTCCATGATGGATTTGCAGACCTCCACTCTGACGCTGTCCTTCTGGAACATGTCCAGGAAAGGCAGGAAGCGCTCCTGAGGAACAGGGAAGTGAAAACTTTGTTACAGAAGCACAATAAAGGGAAAGGCTCTGTTTTTTGTGTTTTCTCAGCTGCTCACCATAGAGAAGAGGACTGAGAAGTCATGGAAGTAGGTGAGGATCTTCCTGATGACTAGCAGCAGCTGAAGACAGATAAACAACACGGTCGATGCAGAGAAGAGACAAAGGGGAGGAGCGAGAGCCAGAGATTCATCCTGCCAACCTGGGGGTAGGCGTCCTCGAACGCCCGGTCTGGAGTCAAGTGTTTGATGATGTCAGCCAGAACAGTGTTCACCTCACGTTTCTGCATGAGAGACACAATAGTTTAAAAGTTGGGCATTTTTAAATCCATTTGATTCCAATAAAAAGTGTGTTTAACTCACAGAAAAGTGTCGGCAGGTGAACTCCACCCAGATCTCTGCACAGCTGATGTAATCCTACCAACAGCCACAGAAATGCATGAGTAAAATCCTGAAACACCCGACTGGAAACTCAGTTTAACAAACCTGAGGGCTGCGGACTTTAGTGATGACCTTCCATGCTTCGTTCAGGATGGTCAGCCTCTCGGACTCGGGAGGGTCTGCACAGGCCAGACTGCGACCCAGAGATCCAAACAGAAGGTGCTGCAGGGAAAAACAACTCAAATAAATAAGAAATTATAAATGAAAACATCATTTTTCCGACCTCCATACAGTTTGCAACACCTCTAGGGGCAGAAGTAATAAAATGCACGTTCACTCGTGCCCTCTGACCTTTGGGAATCCGGACTCATCACAGTCTTTGATCATGCCGATGAAGTCGGTTGCTCTGGCTGCAACAAACTCTGGCCTGAACGCCCTCATGACTGAGTTCAGGAGCAAAGCGCTGGAAAGGATGCATTCAAGGACAACATACTGATGTGAGAATTTCACATACAGCTTAGATTAAAATGCAAACTGTAAATCTAACACGTCCGTAAATCACCAGAATATTTTACATTTTTGTCATTTGCTTATTGTTTTAAGGCTGGAAAAATAAAATAAAATAAAATAAATAAATAAATAAAAAAACACCTAATGCACCTAATCCTAAACATGGATTCTGCCCTCTGGTGGAAGATTTAAATATTTCACGTGGCAAGTGTACATTTTTGTTATTTAAAAATATTATTACACACACACACACACACACACACACACACACACACACACACACACACACACACACACACACACACACGTATGTTGTTTTAAATGAAACACTCACTTATTAGCCAGCGTTTTGCACCTCTCCATCATCTCTGTGAGAAGTGACTGAGGTGGAAACACAGGAATAGGGTCAGATTACCATTACAGTGTTATTAGAGCTGATATTTGCTGTAACAGCTGTCTCAGACTGAGGGCGGACCTCTGGAGCTCTGTAGGCGATGCACTGCAGGATCCAGTTGATGGCGGGCGAGTAGAGAGTCAGGTACTCTGGCGCCTCCACCCTCTGCACCACCAGCTGCTTCTGGATACTTTCTCCACTGATCTGTCGGAAGGTGGCGAGCAGGTCGAATATGTTTTGGTTCAAGCACTCTTTCAGATGGGGGGCCACCTCCATGCCCACCTAGATTTCAAAATAAGAGTCAGCTATAGCCTGAAGACGGGAGAAAAGTCCGAAGGGAAGAACAAAAAGAAAACTAACCCTACAGAGATACGCTCTGGCATAAGCAGCTACGAGTGGATCTCCTATCCCTCTGATCGTAGATGTCAGCCGAGGGAGTGTCTCCTGAATGCCTCTGAGAGGAAAACAATAATCATCTTGTGTTCTCAAATGCAGTCAAAGCAAAGCTGAGTGAATAACTTACAGTTTGTTGAGGAAACGGTTGCACTTAAGGATAGCAGTTTCAACATATCTGAGTCCAGATGTTAAAGAAACTCTTTTAGATTCATAACAAAACATCGGTACAGCTGATCAAGTGGTTGTTGTTTTTTAAATAAGAGATTGGTGAAAAAAATCATCAGTTTACTGATAGAAAACTTCATTTATGAACACAAATGAATTACATATAACAATGTAAAACATTTCTATTCGACATTTTTAACTCCTCGAGTCCCCAGGACACGCTGAAGGGACTACGTTTCTAGGCTGACCTGGGTAGCGATTCATCACTAGGAAACATGCTGGAAGCAGACTGCAGCGCCAGGTATGTCAGCTCCATTTTTTTCTAAGTCGTCCCGCCATTCTGAAGTTGCAAGTGGAATATTCTGACCACACGGGACGATAGGAGTTGGGTGGCCTTTCATTAACCTTGTAAATGGTCATTTTAGCACATACAGGCTCAAGAAAATGATTCAAAAATATGTAAAAGTTGCATGTTACAGCTTTAAACGGATGTCCCCGCGACCCAACCGTGGGTAAGCGGATGGATGGATGAAGCAACACTCAAAAGTGTAAATTCAGTTTTACCTTTGCTGGTTTATGTTTGTAATAGTCTGTGTTATAGTTAAAAATCCACTTTTTGACCTGCTGGAGAGTGTTTACAAGTCTCTGATGCTACATTACATCATTTTTCAGTTCTTCATAATAAAAAAAAACTCCAGAGATGTACTCAGCCGCTCGAAAACGAACAAAAAAGGTGAGCTAAAAAAAAATAAAAAAGAACGGTGAACTGTGCTCTGGGTGAACATCCTGAGCTGAGCTGAGCTTCTACCCAGTTTCTGTCGCAAACCTCTGACATCCATGGCTCTCCTATTTTTGGTGTTGGAGGCGGATCCAGCGTGCATGCACCCGTTATGATGTAGTTCTATGGCCCAGTCCCAATACTCATCTCAAAACACTTCCACACACACGGCCTTCAATTACGCAATCCCGGCCAGGGCTGCGAGTGCGTAGGGTGTCCAGATTCTCAAGGGTATAATTATCCACAATCCATTGCTGCGGGAGAAAGGGCTCAAGTACCATTTCTGAAAATATGTATTTTCAAATGAAAGTAGTTCATTTTAGGACCATCTGAATGTTTTAGACCAAGCAGCAATTCATGTAAATTTATTTCAAACAATTGTTTGGTTGTTTGTTTGAAAGTGAAAGTGACAATGTGTAGTTTTTACCATTAATCTCTGGAAATATCCATTGAAATGTAAATGAATTAAAAGATGCCCAGTTGTTGAAAAATATTGGTGGTTTCATAACATACAACTATAATAATCAGGTCTAAAATACACGGGAGAGGGTCAAAGTCTCTGGGCGACGCCATATTGGATGCCATGTTTCCTTCTACGGAAGCCCGTGAGGACATAATGCATGTACTGATTTGTAACAAATGGTTACACAACTTTCAGCATTAATAAACGTTCTTTTACACATTTACCTCTTCACTCGTTGTAAGTGATGAAAGAGATCTGATGTTCTTGTTATTTGCTGGAGATTGCGCTCCCAGGGTTTTTTGACCCTAATGGCCATCCGTTGGTAAGGTCTTACTCGAACACAAAAATAATGCTTGCTTGCAATGATTGAGGTATCTACTGCCCCCTATCACCAGGGAAACTACACACCGTCACATGGTTGGCTTTTAAAAAAGTAGCACAACGATCAGCATCCCGGCATGCGTTGTGATCGATAACGCAATGCTCCCTGTCTTGATTGGGCAATTATTTGCACACTCAAAGCCTTCCTTTGCACTTCCTCACTCCTGACAAGTACACTTCACAGAAGACCGTAGGACGCAGTTCGAGTATTGGAATTGTTAAAAATTGCTGCGCCCAAAAGAAACAGGAAATAGGTCATATGACTATTCGGTCGTGGTAAAAGTGTGAGAGAACATTTTAAACTACACTTAAATGCTGATGATATAAATTTTCGTGTTTTTTTTATTTATTTATATTTTGTGATTACTATCTTCCTGCCGTCAGGCTGCAGATTTGGCTTAAATACCTCTGATCCTCTCTAGAGGGCATCTTCTCTTGTCTGATGGACAATCAAAAGCTCACTGGATGGTTTTAACAGTGAAATCATTTTAAAATGGGTCATTTTCCTCCAGCAACCATTAAAACCAGTAAATGAGAGCAGCAGGTGCTGACGGATACAGTCTGGGCAGCAGCTCTCTGATGGAGGCGATCTTGAAGAACCAGTTGAGGCATGTCTCCTTGGCCGTGTCGTTCACGTCTTCCACCGTAAAGGAGTCTGAGACGAGACAACCACGGTCAAACTGGAGACTGGCTCAACCCAGAAGCTGCTGAGAAACTAAAGACCTACAGATACTGATGAGCTAGGCATCCTCACCTGGAAGAGGTCTTGGATCTGAGCACATGGTCCAGATTCTGTCAAACACAAGGCGACCTACAAATGAGAAAGAACGCCATCAGAACTTTTCCTCTTACAGCGAACGAAACAAGGGAGAAAAAACACACACCAAAGGTGTCGAGGATGTCAGTGATGAGGACGAACTTGCTGGGGTAGAACTGGATCACGGCGGTGTCTGACAGAAGCTTGGAGCACTGGAACACAGAACCCAAATCACTCACTAAAGAAAGAACCAGGATGAGCGTTTTTAGAGCGTACCTGGATAACGATCTTCAGGGCTTTGACTTTCTGATCAGAGGCCCAGGCCTCCTTCAGGGACTGGTTCAGCTCCTCGATCCGGTTGGCGTAGTCCTGCTGGGAGAGGTTCAGCAGCTCTCTCTGGGAGCCCTGAACACACAAACAACCAGGTCTCCTACTTTAGAGAAGTTTCTTTCTATTCTTCAAATGAGAAAACCTCCCATGGAAACCAACGGACCTCCTCCAGGTCATCCAGCTCCTCCAGCCGATTGCGCACTTTCTCAGAAACAGCTGATGATCCTGGATTTGGAGCTTTTCCTGCAAATGATAAACAGCCTTCAGACAAAATATGAAATTAATTGTGGCAAAAACTTTAAAAGCTAATCAACAAACAGACAAAAGCCTGTTAAGATCTAGGATGGGTTTAAACAGAAAACAGACCTTACCTTTATCAGAACCCATGAAAAGATTCTGGAAGGAAAAACACATTGTTGGTATTTATTTTCCAAACCACAGCAGCATGTAGGGTAAAATCTACTTTTTGGAGCTTTTTTAACATAATATTGTTGTTTCCTCATGAGAAATACCCCAAACCCATTTTTGGCTGCATTTCTCATTTATTTCTCATAAACAACAAAGATGGTGTCTGAAGCGGAGTTCGCTGCAGCTCTTTTCTTTGTTCTAAATGACTTGAACACCATCCATCCATTTTCATCCACTTATCCGGAGTCGTGTCGCGGGGGCAGTAGCCTAAGTCGAGAGGCCCAGACTTCCCTCTCCCCAGCCACTTGGGCCAGCTCCTCCGGGGGAATCCCAAGGCGTTCCCTGGCCAGGTGAGAGACATAGTCCCTCCACCGTGTCCTGGGTCTACCTTTAGGTCTCCTCCCGGTTGGACGTGCCCAGAAAACCTCACCAGGGAGGCGTCCAGGAGGCATCCTGACCAGATGCCTGAGTCATCTCAACTGGCTCCTCTCAATGTGGAGGAGCAGCGGGTCTACTCCGAGTCCCTCCCGAATGACCGAGCTTCTCACCCTGTCTCTAAGGGAGAGCTCAGCCACTCTGCGGAGTAGGGATGGGTACCTTTGACATTTGAATCGATTCGGTACCAATTCCCGGTACCTAGGAATCGATACCGGTACTTAACGGTACCAATTTTCGATACTTTTGAGTGTTTATTATTTTAATTCTCTTTTATAATTAAATATATATTTTTCTCAATATATAACAATATTTGATAAATATCACGATAAATAACATTCAACTGTTTTTATTTTAACATCGTCCTTGTAGTTTTATAAGCTGATAATTAAACTGAAGCAAACATCTTTACTGTGAACTAAATTTACTGTGCATCTTCATTCCTTTTGCAGTCTTTTTTCATTTGATTTTTCCTACTGGGAAGTTAGAATTTCCGAGGAGAAAGCGAAGGCATAATTAGCTGATAACAACGGTGGCAATGGAAGCTAAGATATCAAGCTAACGTTATCTTAAACAGTTTATTTAACTGTTGGAGCAGATTAAAATGATGGTGCCTCACACTTAGATCGTTGTCACTGGTTTCATCTTCACCCAATCACCCGTCGCTTTTAGTAAAGTGAAGCCAAACTTTAGAGCGCGTTCATGTTCCAGTCGGAAAATCGGAGTTCCGAGGAGAAAGCGAACGCACCATTAACGAAACGGAAGCTAACATATCAAGCTAACATTATCTTAAACATTTTATTTACCTACCGGAGCAGACGAGGATGTCTCACTTAGATCGTTGTCGCTGGTTTCATCATCACCCAGTTACTAGGGCTGTAGCGAAGCCTCGACGAAGTCGATGACTCGATTCTAAAAATTTGTCGACGTCAGATCCGGAAGTCGACGCACCGCGCCCACTTGTTGCATCCCCAGGAGTTTGTAAATAGAGGAAGAATCTGCCTGTTTTTCCTCTAGTTCGCCCTCTTCTCCGCCTTCACTAACATCTCCGCCAAATACCGAAGACCCGGAACAACGTCCGTCCACTACTAGATTATTTTCCTGTTTTGCCCCTTCGTCTCCCGGCAACGGGCAACAACTTCCGGGGTCAGATGCGCTGCTTCGTGTCTATCGCAGATGTAGAAAATCACCGGGAGCGCTTCTCTCTTCATTAAGGAGCTTCTTTCAGACATGAGGAGAGCTGTTTTGGTGGTAGCAGTCTCTCCTCCGTGCTGGTCTGTTTGCTGCTGGGTGTTTTTGGTTTATTTAAACTTGGTAACTTTAACTTAATGTTGGTAAAGCTACTGTTAGCATCTTCGCTAACAGCTTCTTGCGTTGGGATAAGCTGTTACGTTTTGGTTTAGAGTTCATCTTTTTTGTGGTGCAGATCTCCCTTTTATTACATTTAGAGTGTTGTGGGTTTTTGGTTTAGTGTAAAATATCACCCGAGTTTGGTTTAACCCGTAAGACCACTCGCCTCACGCACATAAGTGACCAAAACAAAGCAGCATGGAGACACTCCATCTTCTACCACCTCTCAGGCAGCAGCCTGCACTCCCAAGTTCTACACGTCACCAGAACATAATCAACCAACACAATAAAAGCAGTGTTATACAAAATGGAAGGCCTGTAGTGTTTATTCTCTTACAGTAAGAATTTATCCATTTTTTTGAGGAATTTATTTGAGATTTTCTGGTTTTTGTTAATTGTGCAATAGAAAAATAATCATTAGATTAATTTTCTAAATAGTCATTAGAATAGTCGACTATTCGATAAAATAATCGTCAGAATAATCATTTTAAAAATAATCGTTTACCCCCAGCCCTACCAGTTACCCATCACAATTAGTGAAGTGGACCCAAGCTTTAGCGTGCGTTCTTTCTACCATGCTGCTCTGTTTACAACTGGTTCGCAGCGAGCGATGACATAACACTCTTGCGCATGCGCAGCTGTCTTGGCAAGTTCTCGTTATGAAGGACGGGTACCGAAACGAGGCACCGTTTGAAATGACGTGAATCGGTGCTCGGTCGGTACTATGGAATTCGGTCGGTACCTTAAAAAGTACCGAATTCGGTACCCATCCCTACTGCGGAGAAAACTCATTTCGGCCGCTTGTATCCGCGATCTCGTTCTTTCGGTCACTACCCAAAGCTCATGACCATAGGTGAGGGTAGGAACGTAGATCGACAGGTAAATCGAGAGCTTTGCCTTCTGGCTCAGCTCTCTCTTCACCACGACAGACCGGTACAACGCCCGCTTCACTGCAGATGCAGCACCAATCCACCTATCGATCTCATGCTCCAGTTTTCCCTCACTCGTGAACAAGACCCCGAGATACATAAACTCCTCCACTTGGGGCAGGACCTCATCCCTGACCCGGAGACGGCATTCTACCCTTTTCTGATTTAATGCCATGGTCTCAGATTTAGAGGAGCTGATTCTCATCCCAGCTGCTTCACACTCGGCTGTGAACCGCTCCAGCGAAAGTTGAAGATCACGTTCTGATGACGCCAACAGGACCAAATCATCTACAAAAAGCAGAGACCTGATCCTCAGGCCACCAAAACGGATGCCCTCCACACCTTGGCTGCACCTAGAAATCCTGTCCATAAAGGTTATGAACAGAATCGGTGACAAAGAGCAGCCTTGGTGGAGTCCAACTCTCACTGGGAACGAACCCGACTTACTGCTGGCAATGCGGACCAAGCTCTGACACCGGTCAAACAGGGACCTAACAGCCCATATCAGAGGGCCTGGTACCCCATACTCCCAGAGTACCCCCCACAGGGCCCCCAGAGGGACGCGGTCAAACGCCTTCTCCCAATCCACAAAACACATGTAGAATGGCTGGGCAAATTCCCACGCACCCTCCAGGATCCCCCTAAGGGTATAGAGCTGGTCCAGTGTTCCACGGCCAGGACAATAACCACATTGCTCCTCCTGAATCTGAGGTTCAACAATCCGACAGACCCTCCTCTCCAGAACCCCTGAATAGACCTTACCAAGAAGGCTCAGGAGTGTGATACCCCTGTAGTTAGAACACACCCTGCGGTCCCCCTTTTTAAATAAGGGGACCACCACCCCGGTCTGCCAGTCCAACGGGACTGCCCCCGATGTCCACGAGATATTGCAGAGCCGCGTCAGCCAACTCAGCCCCACAACATCCAGAGCCTTAAGGAACTCCGGGCAGATCTCATCCGCCCCTGGAGCCTTGCCACAGAGGAGCTTTTTAACCACCTCAGTGACCTCAGCACCAGAGATTTGAGAGGCCAACCCAAAGTCCCCAGACTCTGCTTCCTAACTGGAAGACGTGTTGGTGGGATTGAGGAGGTCTTCGAAGTATTCTGCCCACCGATCCACAACGTCCTGAGTAGAGGTCAGCAGCACACGTCCCCACTATAGATAGTGTTGGTAGTGCACTGCTTTCCCCCCCTGAGGCGCCGGATGGTGGACCAGAATCTCCTCGAAGCTGTACAGAAGTCTTGCTCCATGGTCTCACTGAACTCCTCCCATGCCCGGGTTTTTGCCTTGGCGACCACCCAAGCCGCGTTCCGCTTGGACTGCCGGTACCCGTCAGCTGAGTCCCACAGGCCAAAAAGACCTGATAGGACTCTTTCTTCAGCTTGACAGCCTCCCTAACCGCCGGTGTCCACCAGCGGGTTCGGGGGTTGCCGCCACGACAGGCACCGACGATCCTGCGACCACAGCTCCGGTCGGCCGCCTCAACAATGGAGGCACGGAACAGGGTCCATTCAGACTCAGTGTCCCCCGCCTCCCTTGGAACATTTTGGAAGTTCTGTCGGAGGTGGGAATTGAAGCTACTTCTGACAGGAGACTGTGCCAGATGTTCCCAGCAGACCCTCGTGATACATTTGGGCCTGCCTGGTCTGACCGGCATCCTCCCCCACCATCTGAGCCAACTCACCACCAGGTAGTGGTCAGTTGACAGCTCCGCCCCTCTCGTCACCCGAGTGTCCAAGACATGCGGCCGCAGGTCAGATGAAACAACAACAAAGTCGATAATCAAGCTGCGGCCTAAGGTTTTTGCCCCCTTCCTGATTTCTTATTCTTTTGCATGTTTGTCACACAAAATGTTTCTGATCATCAAACACATTTAACCAATAGCCAAAGATAACACAAGTAAACACAAAATACAGTTTTGAAATGATGGTTTTTATTATTTAGGGAGAGAACAAAATCCAAACCTACATTGCCCTGTGTGAAAAAGTAATTGCCCCCTTGTTAAAAAATAACCCAACTGAGTTCAATTTCTGTAGCCACCCCCAAGCCTGATTACTGCCGCACCCGTGTCAATCAAGAAATCACTTAAATATGAGCTGCCTGACACAGAGAAGTAGACCAAAAGCACCTCAAAAGCTAGACATCATGCCAAGATCCAAAGAAATTCAAGAACAAATGAGAACAAAAGTAATTGAGATCCATCAGTCTGGTTATAAAACCATTTCTAAAGCTTTGAGACTCCAGCGAACCACAGTGAGAGCCATTATCCACAAATGGCAACAACATGGAACAATGGTGAACCTTCCCAGGAGTGGGCGGCTGACCAAAATTACCCCAAGAGCGCAGAGACAACTCATCCTAGAAGTCACAAAAGACCCCAGGACAACTTCTAAAGAACTGCAGGCCTCACTTGCCTCAATTAAGGTCAGTGTTCACGACTCCACCATAAGAAAGAGATTGGGCAAAAATAGCCTGCATGGCAGATTTCCTACACGCAAACCACTGAACATTAGGGCTCGTCTCAGTTTTGCTAAGAAACATCTCAATGATTGCCGAGACTTTTGGGAAAATACCTTGTGAACTGAGACAAAAGTTGAACTTTTTGGAAGGCAAATGTCCCGTTACATCTGGCGTAGAAGTAACTCAGCATTTCAGACAAAGATCATCATACCAACAGTAAAATATGGTGGTGGTAGTGTGATGGTCTGGGGTCGTTTTGCTGCTTCAGGAACTGGAAGGCTTGCTGTGATAGATGGAACCATAAATTCTACTGTCTACCAAAACATCCTGAAGGAGAATATCCGGCCATCTGTTGGTCAACTAAAGCTGAAGCCATCTTGGGTGCTGCAGCAGGACAATGACCCAAAACACACCAGCAAATCCAACTCTGAATGGCTGAAGAACAACAAAATGAAGACTTTGGAGTGGCCTAGTCAAAGTCCTGACCTGAATCCTATTAAGATGCTATGGCATGACCTTAAAAAGGCGGTTCATGCTAGAAAACCCTCAAATAAAGCTGAATTACAACAATTCTGCAAAGATGAGTGGGCCAAAATTCCTCCAGAGCGCTGTAAAAGACTCGTAGCAAGTTATCACCAACGCTTGATTGCAGTTGTTGCTGCTAAGGGAGGCCCAACCAGTTATTAGGTTCAGGGGACAATTACTTTTTCACACAGGGCAATGTAGGTTTGGATTTTGTTCTCTCCCTAAATAATAAAAACCATCATTTCAAAACTGCATTTTGTGTTTACTTGTGTTATCTTTGACTAACGGTTAAATGTGTTTGATGATCAGAAACATTTTGTGTGACAAACATGCAAAAGAATAAGAAATCAGGAAGGGGGCAAATAGCTTTTCACACCACTGTATCTTGATTATCTTAATTTACATTTATACTCTCGTGTGATAGTTTTCATGCAACTGCTGCTACCCTCTGTCCTTGAGCTGTTGCAAAAACGCAGTTTCCTCACTGAGGGATAAATAAAGGTATTCCTATTCTTATACTGTGCCTACCTTTGTTCTCAAAGGTTTAAAATAGAATAATCTGGTTCCTTTAAAACCAGTTAGATTTGTCTTTTGTTTTTTTTCTTACACGTTTGCATCAAAAATCTGGGAGAAAGTCATTTTAAGTGTCTGAATGTCAGGACACATTTTACTGTTATGGATCAGTTTAGGTATTCTCAACTGGGTTGATATGAAATAAAAGTCAAACTGCTTTGGGTGTGACGCTAAAAGCACTCAAATAAGAAGTGATCTTACTATGGAGAGTTTTTCAGTTGTGGTGAACCTGGCCAAGATTTCTCCTCTCTTTGATGACCAGGGTTCAAAATCTGGTCCCATGGTCTCCTCTTGCTTCTCTTTTCTCTTCCTCCCATGGTCCTGGAATCAAAGTGTTTTGTTTCACTCCCAGCTTAAATACATTTTTTTTTGCCTAGATCAACTTTTGCCTTCAAAACTAGCTGCAGAGTGAACTGACCCCTGTGAAGCTGCTGTGTGACATGGTTGAAGTCTCTGTAGCCGAAGCTGCAGCGAACAAGGACAGGGGATCGGTCCCATCCAGCATGGAGCTGAGGGGATCCGGAGGGGCTGATGAGGAGGATGACGAAGAGGATGACGTGCTGCCTTTGCGGGTTCCACGGCTGGTTTTTGTGTCTGTGACCTGGATGAAAAAAGGCAGAGTGAATCTGAAATTCAGTCTCAAGTTAACTGCTGCAACATGACCAGATTTATGGCTGTGCGTGTGTCGATACCATGATGGGCTTAAGGGGGTGATAGTCTCCGAATTCAACCGGCATCGCCTCAGGGCGACACATCTGCAGCTCTGCATCATAGTTACGACCACGGGAATACCTGAGATGGGAAAAAGAGTTGTTCATTCACAAACACACAAAAAAGCTGCTAAATTCCCATAAAAAATATATGAGCTGACATGAATTTGAATGGTTTTATTGCCATATGTGCAGGAAATCACAACATTAATTGCTGCAGTACTTGGTGCAAAAATAAAGAGGAAATGCTAACGGTCATTAGTTACTGTTTAACTGGGCCTAAAACATCTGAAAACTATAAAAAAACACACGTGCCAGTGTATTCAGACAACGTTTGCAGATACACGTAGAATAATCCAGGTTTTATTTTGAAATAATTTTCTGTTATTCAAGAAACCAAATTTCTTCACTTCTTCTTCTCCTTGTTTTAGCCTTTATGGCTGTGCTTTGGTAAAACCATGAATAACTTGACAATACCTGGATGCAAACGAACAATTAAATCATTTATTAGGATACTTGATTCAAAGACAAAGCTTTAGCAGCAAAAACACCCTTCAAGTTATCTTAGAAACCTGCCAAAACCATATTTCTTTGCCATAAAACGAGCGACACACGTATTTTAACTATATTTATCTTCTGAACATTCGTAGAATATTACCAAATTGCAAACACAGTAAGAATATCTTACCACTGCACTGCAGCCATTTTTTACATCACATGACACAGTTTGAACTTCCTGGTTAGCCTAATATTAGCTAGCTTGATGCTTTCTTGCTCTTAAACTGTCCGCGGTTAAATATTCTCTGTAACTTCAGTTAAGGTTATAATTAAATACATTTTTAGTTTAACTGATCGTTCACTACAATGAAAGTGGAAGTCGAGAAGTTTTTGTGTAACGTTTTTGTAGAAAAAAATACTTCATTTCCCATGATGCAACGTGCACCTTCGCTCTCAGCTACAAAAAGAAGAAGAGGTCCGACTCCAACTTGATATTTTGAGTACTAGTCTGATTTGTAGAACCAGTTAATAATTTATTTTTATGTATTAACTTTTCGTAGAATGGTGCAGCCACGTTTTATTCAAATTATCTTTTCTATTGTGTTTTTAAACAACCAGAAATAGAGATCTAGAGATGTCCAACCTTTTTGTTGATAGCGGGTTTCCTAATGAATATGTGAGCTATGTTAGTCAGTGTAACCCAACCAGTCTTTCAGCAGGCAGGTGAAACCTTGTACAGGTCACATTTTTGGATGACCATGACCTGACCGTGGAGATTTTAAAGGGCGGTTCAGTTCTCCAGACAAGGTAAGGCCAGTCACCGTCCGATCTGGACATCATTAATCTTCTAGTTCAGTCTAAATAAACACAGTACCGGCGGCTTTGATTGTAGCTAGCTTATGACAGCTGGCTAACATGATCATGACTAGAGGAATGTTGTTATATTGGTAAAACAAGATTAGATATTTATTTACCTCTGTAAAAGGAAAAACCCTGTAATGCAGGCCTTAATGACACTAATTGGTCTCAACATACTTCAGACTGACAGTAGAAGTCAACGCTGGACAGAAACAGGGAAGTTGATCCATCTTAAGGTGTAGTTAATCATATTTATGCTAAGTGAAAGATGATTTCAGTGCGGTCAAAATCAATGCAACATGTGAGCATATAGACAACAGAAACATTGTCAACATGTGTGTTTTTTTAATTCTTTCATCAGCTCAAAAATGACAAGAAATTCAAAAGGTTGGAATTCCTGCCATTTCTGTTTGTACAGAAAGATGTCAAACACTTGTCAGATTTTATTTCCTAATAACGTCTAATAACGTTTTCATTTCATGCCATCTGATCCACACATCTCACTTGAATAGGATTCTACATGAAGAATGTCCATCCATCCATTTTCAGCTGGTTATCCGGGGTCGGGTTCAGGGGGCAGCAGACTAAGCAAAGAGGCCCAGACTCCCTCTACCCAGCCACTTGGGCAGCTCCTCCAGGGAAATCCCAAGGTGTTCCCTGACCAGCCGAGAGACATAGTCCCTCTAGCGTGTCCTGGGTCTTCCCTTGGGTCTCCTCCCAGTTGGGATATGCCCAGAAAACCTCACCAGGGAGGTGTCCAGGAGGCATCCTAACTAGATGGCCGAACCATCCTATCTTTAAGGGAGAGCCCAGCCACCATGCGGAGAAAACTCATTTTGGCTGCTTGTACCCGCAATCTCATTATTTAGGTCACTACCTAAAGCTTGTGACCATGGTGAGGGTTGGAACGTAGATCAAACAGTAAATTGAGAGCTTCCCCTACCAGCTCAGCTCTCTCTTCAGGACGACAGATCTGTACAACGCCTGCATCACTGCAGACACAGCACCAATCCGCCTGTCAATCTCGTGCTACATCTTTCCCTCACTCATGAACAAGACCCACTAACACAAGCAAAAATTTATACTTGCTAGCAATAGCATTGGAGTACAGCTAACTGCTAAGGGAAGTTAAACAAATTAGCCTGGGAGAAGTAGCATCCATATGGACCTCCTTAAACTTTTGCTTCACAACACAGAAAAACTTGTCTTGTGTCCTTCAATGTCAGACATTTTCTAGTATTAAGTCCAAACTTTGAGACTAGTTGCATTTTAAAAACTGTGTTAATATCAGTTGATGTGCTTGTTGAAACTTTATTTTACATCTGTTTAGCCCGGATCTCAACAAAGTGACGGCTCTCAGCAGGTGATGACAATAACGCTGACGAACCAAGAGGTCGCAAACAAATTTTAGGTAACGATTGATTGATTTGACCGTGAACGTCTTTATCTTTACAGCTACTTTGGTGATAGTCACAAGCATTGAGCATAATATTTGGAATATGACAGTAAATATATAATGATGTATATAATTTGAAAACCACAATAACCATATGTTAAATAAACTGATCAAAGAAGGACAAGTAATCTTGTAATGTAGCTGCCTGGCCATATGTATAGGCTTAGCAGAAAATGTGTTATCAACTATTTAGATCAGTTTTGTTTGCTTTTGATTGTAAAGATGCTGCAGAGTTTTGGTGATAAAATAATGGCATCCCGGACAAGTCCCCAAATATCAATGACTGCAGAATGTCACCTACAGTTTTGTTCACAGTAAAAACAGAAAATGTAGATAGAGTTCTCCACTTATACTTTGTTTCTTCTCATAAGGGTGTTGTATTTATATGATTTTAACTAACATTTGATATATTTAACAAAAATAGAGTGGATGTGAAAAGAATATATTTTTTCTATTGAGGCTTACAGCCTATTTTAATTTCCTTTTGTGTCTCAAACCAAATGTCATCATGTTGTAACAAATGAACTTTGCAGTTAGAGCTGAAAGTAAAGAAAGCTGCTTGACTCGCTTTACTGCCTTGTCTTTGTCTTGTGTTTTGCACCTGTCAGGATTCATGCCAGAGCTATTTTTATTGACATCTTATCAGTGTAACCAATACTCGGTTTAATGAAGTGATGCTTGAGGATCAGATGGCTACTTTATTTGATTCTGTAGACATTCATGCATTGCTCTCTTACTGGGTTACCACTCTGCTTCTCCTCTTTTAATTTCTTGAAGCTTTTGGGCTAGCAGGTCTCCCTTCGCTCTGAATTATTAAAAGGAGAAGTTGGTTTGTTTGATAGGTGCTGCTCAGTAACCAATAACCCCGGTCTTAATGAACTGTGATGGACAGATGTCCCAAATGGGACGTTGTCTTCATGCTTGGATGACCTCAGTGCTATACAGGAAAGTAAAAGCTTTTCCCGGTGGTGTCTGCTGCCTCCTCTCTCTTCCTGTCCTGTGTGGGTTGCCTTCTGGGTGCACCAGGAGCTGCCAGTGCTCCTGCAGAAGAACAATGGAGAACACAGTTGTTTTCAGGCTCCGTTATGAGGAGCTGCTGTTTTACATGGCCTGTCTTTCTAACTGCTGGACCGTGTGCCTGTGTGTTTGTGTGTGTCTGAAACACAGAGTGTTTCGGAGGCGAGGCAGTAGTGGCAGCATGCGTGTGAGCAGCAGCTGGAAGTGGCAGCTCTCTCGAACCATGCGATTGGCACTGCGCTGGTGCCAGTTGCAGAGAGGGGGCCGAGGTCGACGTGGCAAGCAGCAGATCTGCAACAGGTTGTCGGAGCTGTGGAGCTACAGCAAACTGCTTCTCCGCTCACTCTATTACAACACCCTCTCTGACTCTGACACCCTGCTGGACTGTATATTTGAACCTGTCTTCTGGGTTGTGGACAACCTGACCCGCTGGTTTGGAGTGGTAAGATCTTGTCTTAATAATTTCTACGCTCCTTGACTCTTTGTTTTCTCACCTAAAAATTCTCTTTTCTCTTAATCTTCCAGGTGTTTGTCTGCCTAGTTGTGCTGCTGACGTCCTCTGTCGTGATCATCGTCTACCTGTTTGTCATACCCATGGTTGTTAGAACCTACCCTGTACACTGGAGCATCTGGCACCTGGGCTTTGGTCACTGGGTCCTTGTCATGATAGTCTTCCATTACTACAAGGCTACCACCACCTCCCCTGGACACCCACCAAAGGTGGATAGTGTTACCCCGGTTTCACACTGCAAGCATCAGCGGAACAGAACAGCAGCGGAGCGGCTCACTCGCGAACTTCAAAGTGGTCCTTTTCACACCGGGAGAGTCTTGGCCGCGGCACGACTTCCTCTCTGCGCCTCACTGTACCAGCGAGATTCTAAAATCCCCCGAGACTTCCGACACCTTCCTCATCGAGAGATCACAATCCCTGCGAGGAATCACACCATTGCACTTCTCGAAAGAAACTGGTGGTAAACAAAGCCGTTCGGTCACACGTACTGACGTAAGTTATATATAACATCGCAATGTTGCATTTTATTTTGAAAATAACTGGGGATTTTACACTGAAACCGTGTGGTTTCCTGTCTCGCACTATGTGAACTACGGAAGTTGACGTTTCCCAGAAGATGCTCGTGGAAGAAATAGAACTCGATCCTATCTTTAGCAGCGCGGCGCGGCATGCCGCTTCTGGGATGCGCCTGGAAATTGCCGCGTCGCGTCTGGTTTGAAACACTCCATAGACTATAATTGGATTCTATTTGAAGCGGTGCCACTTCGCTGCCGTTCCATTCCGCTGATGCTTGCAGTGTGAAACCGGGGTTAGGACCATGAGCAACTTCCTCTGGGATGACAATGATCCAAACATCCCAAAGGAGTTATCTTTGACACTGAATCTTTGGCTGTGTCCAAATTCAGGGGCGGTGTCCTTGAAGGACTTGGCCTACTCGGTCCACGGGTCATCTGTCGACCTCAGAGACCAGGAGTGATCGGCTGTGAAATTTGATGGGCTAGCCTTCAGATTTGGTCCTGCCCTTACCTGTTGCCTAGCAGCAGTGACAGAAACAGAAGCTGACAGAAATATGGGACCCACCATACCATATGGGCTCGTTTACGATGGTTTCTTAAATTTTCTTGACAAACCATTTATTTAAAAGATTATGCAAATGGCAAAAGCTTAAAACCTTAACCAATAGATGTGGATTTACTTACATTTACAATGTCCTACTTTGTCCACCATTATTACAAGAACTAAAATCTCCTGTTTGGCCCACATTAGCTTTGTTTCCACTACCAGAACTTCAGGGTATATTTACAGAAACCTACTGTCATGTGCCTGTTTCCATCTGATCGGGCTGGCCGAACGGCCGTTTTCAGGAACCTTATGAATACCTGCTCAGAGGTAAGCACTTTGAGTACTCTGGTAAAAGGTACGGTGCAGTTGGTGAGTGGGAACGCCGTCGATTGGTTGTAACTCAGTCGGAAATGACGTCAGCGTAGGAAATAGGAAATGCATGCGGGGCGGAGAACCAGCATTTAGGAAAACAGAGTTGTTGGCGCATACTGCGCTAATCGGTGACGTAACTCACAACGCAGTGGTTGGGATGTGCTGGCGTTTTAGCTTATTCGTTACAGGACAATTAAGAGGACCGGGCCTTCGGATCACCCGGTCAATTTCCCCCTCGCTGCATTTACTCTGAAGTTCCAGTAAAGGAAACCCACCTATTGAGTCCACAAAAGATCCTCCAGACTCATCCTTCCATGTGGATAAAAGGACACATTATATGTAGCTTTCAAATTTGGACAGCCTTGTTGTTTTACTGTGACATAATCCATCATAAAATGTCATCTTCGAAGGCTGCGGTCCCTAAATCCAGACACTAGTATATTTCATTAAAATAGTTATAATTACCAGTAAAAATGTATTTTTTATATCTAAATAAAGTATGGGTGCACCAAAGCCAAAAACCGAAATAGAATGGAGGGCAGAATGAACACTACGATGTGTACTAACCTCACTAAAATCAAGTCATTGCAAAAAATCAATTACAAACCATGAAAATATTTATTTAGCACTGACATAACAAAAATGCACAATATAAATTAAAACTCAATAAAATGTTTCATTTGATCCCACTCATGTGTACATTAAATAATAATTAATTATAAATGTACAGGCTTATAACTAAAAGGCTTGCTGAAAAACAGACTGTAAAATATACCCGTTAAGTATGTAAAAAAGAAAAGAAAACCGGGCAGACGTGGTAGATGTGAAACTGAAAGTTAAAAGTGCGTCACATAACTGATATGAATATTCCAGCGATCGTAATAAAACAGCATTACTAAAAGGGGGAAACTTAAAAATCAGTACCAATGTACGATTTTTATGAAGCAAAGACATGTTGTTATGAGGAGGGAGCGAGATGAAACAAAAACGGGGTTCACCAGACGGTCTGTTACGGCTGTGTTGTTTCGGTGATTTAGGTGTTTCCGACCAAAAACCGAAAATGCACTTTTGGGTCATTTTCGGACACAAGTTTTTGGTGTCTGAATTTTTGGTGCATCCCTATGTAGCAGTGTGAGCATCCTGTCACAGTATCCCGACTGATGTCCATTTGGCTGACTGTTTAGCGCACATGACTCTCATCCGGGAGTCCAGGTTTCGAATCCCGCCCGGGCCCTCGCTTCTACACCTTGCCACACCCAACATAATATATTTCGTGAAAGGAGGACGTTTCTGTAAAGGGCCGTAACACCTCTTCTTCTATGTGACTTTATTTCAGGACAAACATAACACCCCCTCTGTTTCCATCTGTAAGAAGTGTGTCGCACCAAAACCACCCAGGACGCACCACTGTAGCATCTGCAGCATGTAAGCTCCTCTGCTGTCAGAAGGTTGATAATAATCAGTTCTTCTTATTAATCATCACAGTAAAACTCCATCCTTTATGTTACAGATGTATTCTGAAGATGGATCACCACTGTCGTATCCTTCCAGCCAGTAACATGCACACACTGTGCATTAAACCATGTTGTTGTATTTGTTCTCTTGTACACCTTTTGCTGTACGGGTTTTACCTGAACTGATTTCCAGCCTGGCTCAACAACTGCGTGGGCCACTTTAACCATCGCTACTTCTTCTCCTTCTGCCTCTACATGACGCTGGGTTGTATCTACTGCAGCATCAGCAGCATAAACATGTTTCTGGAGGCGTACAATGCTGTAGAGGTGAGTCCACCACATTTATACACTTGTTTCTTCTGGATGTCAAAATGTTCTGAGCAGCAGCACCTGATAGTTGTTTTAGGAAAGCAGAATTTGAGCTCTGTTGGCAAGCCAAGAGAAAAACAGGAGACGAGAATGTGATCCTCAATTTTATCTACATTTGATTAACGTGCTAAACAAGCACCAGGTGTTAATTAAACAACTCTAGCCTTAGATTACCTTTCAGATGGAAAGTTTCCATGAACTCTAATTTACGAGTAAACGGCATGAACTCCTGGAAAAGTAACATATCTCCTCTGTAGACATTAACATAATTAATAAACAGTGTTTCTTGTCTTTTCCAGAGTTACTTTCAAACCCCTCCTCCAGACTACAGCTTCAGTGACAGCACGGCTCACAAGTGTATCATCTTCCTCTGGGTGCTGACCAGGTGAGAAGCTCAGAAAGTCTGCAGCATCACACCTGAAGGTCAAGTTGTAACGTACTCCTGACCTTGGTCTGCAGCTCAGTTGCAGTAGCTCTGGGAGGACTCACCCTGTGGCACGCCAGGCTCATCAATAAAGGCGAAACAAGCGTGGAGCGCCACATCAACAACAAAGAGGCCAAAAGGCTGAAGGAGATGGGAAAAGTAAGTCCTCTCTGGTATGGTCATCAGGAGTGCAATGGGAGCCATTTCAGTTTCTCAGTCATCTTAACGCCTCAGTACTTAAACACAGAACAAATAAATCTGACTAAACGAGAATCTTCCTGTGATGAGCTGGATTTGAACTTTCTGTCTGTTATTTTTTTAAGTTCAGATTAATCGTCGTCGTCTTCCTCCGCTTATCCGGGTCCGGGTCGCGGGGGCAGCATCCCAACTAGGGAGCTCCAGACCGTCCTCTCCCCAGCTACCTCCACCAGTTCCTCCGGCAGGACCCCAAGGCGTTCCCGGACCAGATTGGAGATGTAACTTCTCCAACGTGTCCTGGGTCGACCCAGGGGCCTCCTGCCGGCAGGACATGCCCGAAACACCTCCCCAGGGAGGCGTCCAGGAGGTATCCTGACCAGATGCCCAAGCCACCTCAACTGACTCCTTTCGATCCGGAGGAGCAGCGGTTCTACTCCGAGTCCCTCCCGAATGTCCGAGCTCCTCACCCTATCTCTAAGGCTAAGCCCGGCCACCCTACGGAGGAAACTCATTTTGGCCGCTTGTATCTGCGATCTCGTTCTTTCAGTCATTACCCAAAGCTCATGACCATAGGTGAGGATTGGGACGTAGATCGACCGGTAAATCGAGAGCTCCGCCGTCAGAGCTGGATGAAGCTAGGAGGACCACACCATCCGCAAAAAGCAGAGACGAGATTCTCCTGCCACCAAACTTGACACACTCCACACCACGGCTACGCCTAGAAATTCTGTCCATAAAGGTTATGAACAGAACTGGTGACAAAGGGCAGCCCTGCCGGAGTCCAACCCTCACCAGGAACAGGTCTGACTTACTACTGGCTATGCGGACCAAACTCACGCTCCTCTGGTAAAGGGACTGAATGGCCCTTAAACGAAAGCCACCCACCCCATACTCCTGGAGCGTCCCCCACATGGTGCCCCTGGGGACATGGTCATAAGCCTTCTCCAAATCCACAAAACACGTGGATTGGTTGGGCAAACTCCCGTGCCCCCTCCATCACCCTTGCAAGGGTATAGAGCTGGTCCACAGTTCCACGGCCAGGACGAAAACCACATTGCTCCTCCTCTATCTGAGATTCAACTATCGATCGGACCCTCCTCTCCAGTACCTTGGAATAGACCTTTCCAGGGAGGCTGAGGAGTGTGATCCCCCTATAGCTGTAACACACCCTCAGGTCACCCTTCTTAAAGATGGGGACCACCACCCCGGTCTGCCACTCCACAGGAACTGTCCCCGATGACCACGTAATGTTGCAGAGACATGTCAACCATGACAGCCCTACCACATCCATAGCCTTAAGATACCCAGGACGAACCTCATCCACCCCCGGAGCTCTGCCGCTGTGTAGTTGTTTTGACTGCCTCAGCAACTTCTGCCCCAGAGATTGGACAGTCCATCCCCAGGTTTCCCGGCTCTGGCTCCTCCTCTGAATGTGCGTAGTTGGGATTGAGGAGCTCCTCAAAGTATTCCTTCCACCGCCCGACAATAGCCCCAGTTGACGTCAGCAACTCCCCATCCCCACTGTAAACAGTGTGAGCGAGTTGCTGCCTTGCTCTCCTGAGGCGCCGGGCAGTTTGCCAGAACCTCTTTGGTGCTGATTGATAGTCTTTCTCCATGGCCTCACCAAATTCCTCCCACGCCCGAGATTTTGCCTCGGCAACTGCCACTGCTGCACCCCGCTTTGCTATCCGGTACCCGTCTGCTGCCTCCGGAGACCCACAGACCAGCCACGCCCTGTAGGCCTCCTTCTTCAGCCTGACGGCTCCCCGAACCTCTGGTGTCCACCAGCGGGTACAGGGGTTGCCACCACGACTGGCACCGGCCACCTTGCGACCACAGCTAGCAACAGCCGCCTCAACAATCGAAGAGTGGAACAAGGCCCACTCGGAGTCAATGTCCCCCACTGCTCTCGGGACGCGTTCAAAGCTCTGCCTGAGGTGGAAGTTGAAGACCGTCTTGACAGGTTCTTCTGCCAAGCGTTCCCAGCAGACCCTCACTATGTGTTTGGGTCTGCCAGGTCTACGCGGCACCTTCCCCTGCCATCTGATCCAACTCACCACCAGGTGGTGATCAGTTGACAGCTCCGCTCCTCTCTTCACTCGGGTGTCCAAAATATACGGCCACAGTTCAGATGATACGACTACAAAGTCTATCTTCGACCTGCGACCTAGGCTGCCCTGGTACCAAGTGTACCGATGGGCATCCTTATGTTCGAACATGGTGTTTGTTATGGCCAAACTGTGGCTTGCACAGAAGTCTAATAGAGAAACACCACTCGAGTTCAGATCAGGCAGGCCGTTCCTCCCAATCACATCCCTCCAGGTCAAGCTGTCATCGCCCACATGAGCATTGAAGCCCCCCAACAGGACAATGGAGTCCCTTGATGGAGCACTATCTAGCACTCGTCCCAGGGACTCCAAAAAGGGTAGGTAATCTGAACTGATATTTGGCGCATAAGCACAAACAACAGTCAGGATCCGTTACCCGACCCGAAGGCGCAGGGAAGCTACCCTCTCGTCCCCCGGGGTAAACCCCAACACACAGGCAGAGAGTCTTGGGGCTAACAAAAAGCCAACCCCAGCCCTCCGCCTCTCACCCGGAGCAACTCCAGCAAAGGAGAGTGTCCAACCTTCTCAAAGACTTGGGTTCCAGAGCCAATGCTATGTATCGATGTGAGTCCGACTATATCTAGCCGGTACCGCTCAACCTCTGCCACAAGCTCCTGCTCCTTCCCCGCTAGCGAGGTGACGTTCCATGTCCCAATAACCAGTTTCCTTGTCCGGGGATCAGACCGTTAAGGCTCCCACCTCGGTCTGCCACCCGATCCACACTGCACCGGACTCCATGTTCCTCCTGCGGGTGGTGGGTCCACAGTTGGATGAGCCCATGTATCCGGTTCGGGCTGGACCCGGCCGGGCCCCATGGGCGAAAGCCCGGCCACCAGGCGCTCGCTCACGGGCCCCAACCCCAGGCCTGGCTCCAGGGTGGGACCCTGGTAACCCTCTGGGCCGGGTACTCAGACTCTTTGTTTTTACGTCCATGAAAGATCTTCAGACTAATATATTCATTATTCAGTTAGCATTATGTTGTTATTCCAGCAGAAATAATCGATGGTTCCCCCATCATGCCACAGGCTGCACTGGAAGTGCTCAGCTAGCTAGCTTCTTTTGTTTGTGAATCTCCACCAAAGTCTATATAAATAACTTTAACGGAACACGGAAAGCACTGTAAAGGTTTATAAGTGAATATTATAGTAGTGTAAGATGTTGCATGCTCTTTATTCTTGGTCCTGTTCAGATTAGCTGGTTTTGTAACTCTGTTTGTACAAACTGAGCTGCTGAAATATCTTTCTAATACAGTTTAAATATTACCTTTTCATACCTTTCCCACAGAATCCCTCTTCCAAGTGTCCAAAGTATTTTTAAGCCATTTGTTCTCCATAAGCAATAGCAAACTTGTGCTGTGTGACTGTTTTAAACACACGTTTCCATTTTAAATGGGGCAGTAATAATTGTTGTCGTCATCCCTCTTTTCTGTAGGTGTTCAGAAGTCCGTACCACCGTGGTAGGACAAACAACTGGAAATTGCTTTTTGGTGTGGAGACGAGGAGGTGAGTTTGTGCACATCTTTAATCACACTTTCACATAAACATGGACAAGACCATCACAAGCCCTCACTGCACACATTGAAAAGCACACTATTAATAACATAGGCTCAAAGACCTGGGAGTGTGATTTTATTCTTGACTGAGTTGAATTCCCCCTAAATGCATCAAATCAGCTTTTTTCCAATTGAGAATTGCAAAAATCCGACTGATTCTGCCACTTGACGATGCAGAAGTCCAGGATTGACTAATGTAATGCCCTTGTCTCTGGTTTATTTGGCTTATTTGAAGGTACTGTGGTTGACTGACAAGGCATCGCTGCTCTCCAGGACCCATATGTTAGGCGTATAGCACTATTTTAGCGTGGCCCTGGGGCTCTATGCAATCCGAGTATAAAACTGAAAACTCTGGGTAGGCGTGCTTTTGCTTTTTGTGCTTCGTTGCTATGGAACATCAGAGAAGCATGCTTGGTTAATGCTTTTAAAGCTAAATGGAAAACCTCCTTTTACTCAAACCTTTACTGTTTAATCATCTTGTTGATTGCAGATGGTTTTTGGTGTTTTTACTAACTTCTTGTTTTAATTTGTTCCTACTGTACCTAGCTGTTATTGACGACTTGATCTTATTGCTTAATGAGTTTTAACTGATACTATTGTTTTGATAGTTCATTCGTGCTGTTTTCTCTACAGTTCTAATGCTTAGGTGCTGTAAAGAAAAAGTTATTATTGTTGTGGTTGTAATTGCTTCCACTATCGGAAATTCAGGGTAGTTTTACCGGACCTTTCTGGCATGTCTCCATTCCTTCAGGGCAGGCCGAACCGACCATTTTCCGGGCCATTTCAGGAACCAACAGAGTACCTAAATTGGGGTATGCACTTGGAAGTGGCCCGGGGAGAGTCCCTGGGCAGAACTTGTGGGTAACTCGCGCTGATTGGTTGTAACTCAGTAGGATATGATATTGGCAGACGCCGCCAAAACATCCGGGCTTTTTTCAATTTGAATACAAAATAAGCTAAGTTACTATGTAATGCTAAGTCAACGTTTCTAAACTCCCAACATTAAAAAATGCAGCAGAAATTACCTCGCAAAGCTGTAATTCACAGCGCTTTGTGGTCTCCCAAAACTCCGTAAAAACCATGCTTTTTATGGTCGTTGATTGCCATATTTTTTTCTCTCTCCCTGTCCCCCAAATGAATTTAATAACGGTGTACTTTGACAAAATAAAACTTTTAATTTGATCAGTATCTGTGGCATTGATCAGTGACCGAAGCAGCCGTGATTAGCTGACATCTTAGCAAAATCTTGGAAGGGCCGATTGTTTATGAAGAACCGAGCCATCAAATCTCTTGGTCACTTTTCTCCTTACCAGAAATTTCCAGGAACTCCTATAATGTTATAAGTACAATTCTTAAATGGTTCTAGTTGTACCTGGAAGGTTTCACTTTCTAATGTGTCTTCTGCTGATTTTGGAGTTCCTCAAGGCTCCATCTCTGGTCCCATTCTTTTCTCATAGCTGCCTCCATAGGGGCTCAGTCATTCCCAGAAAACCCTTTGCTCCTCACCCTTTGGCTAATGATAAAGTATAAACAAACAAAGCTGACGTTATTTTTTTGTTCAATCTGACCTCCTCTGTGGTTAGAAAAGTGTGGTTAGTGTTCTCAGACGCTACCATCTGGCCAGTTTACAGCAATTTGTGCATTTCTCACAAATCTCTGATTACAATATTTTTAAACCAGTCTCCATTCAATTGGATACAAATCTTCGCACTAACTTCCTGTCCAGTTCAGGATCCAGTTTAAACTGGTGTTGTTTTAAAAGTGCCATAAAATAAACCTGATTTATTTACCTTTTTTTTTTCAGAGTAAATAACTATCTTGTTTTTTTCCCTTAGTCACTGGTTGACCCGGGTCCTCTTACCCTCCAGTCATCCTCCAAATGGGGACGGCATCTTGTGGGACAGCATCTTTACCCAAAGAGACCCCATGGCCATCTGACTTTGAGCCAGTGTTGTTATATTAGAAAAATGACACCTTTTACATACATGCACAGTACAAGCGTTGACGGATTGCTCATTTCTGTGTTTGTGTTGCAGAGAACATGTGTCCCTGGTGGGTGCAGTCTTTTTATACGGGAAAATAGTTTTAGTGCCGATGAAACATCCACCCACTAAAGATTAGTCATCATTTCCTGAGTAGTTAATCCAACATGTGACTGCTCTGCTGCTGGCTGACTGGATTATCTGGTGCTGCTGGTCAGCACCAGGTACTCCTTCAGTATTTCCGTAAACAAGAGGCCTTGTTTGACTCAGTGTTTATGGCCCCCATGTCTATAAGGGGCTCTAATGGATGGGGACAATCTAAGGAATTTATGTCTAAAGCAGAGAAGTAGGGTGAGCTATGAACAAGTGTGTGTGTGCACCTTTAATGACTAGTCGGAGCACAATCACGACCGGAGCGTATCGCAGCTGTCCTGGGGTTCATTCCAGATGCTCAGCTGCCCTGGAGGGTCAGGTCTTCTGTGCCTCAAGTTTAATAAACAACATGCGTATCTCACACTGTTCCTGTTGGAAATATATTCAGAATACAGCTTGGTCAACTGTTTCTTGCAACAGATGCTATTCATTTGGCAGTCTAAAAGACCGAACAACAAAAAAACAAAAGATGGATAAAAGAAGCTATCGAGATAAGGAGACGTGGATGTGGGACCATAAATAGGGACGATGGAGTTTACTTGTTGGGTCGCGCATGGGACTGCATCGTCGGAGAGGGGAGAGTGGGCAGCAGAGGGCGACAACGTCCTCTGCTGCCCACTGATAAATGGAGAAGGGAGTGACGCCACCATCAGCGTCAGCCTGACGAAGTTTGCAGTGCAAATGAAACGTTGCAGGTAAATAAAACCTTTCTGTGTTTTAAAAAGAACTAAAAGATGGAATTAGAATTTCAACACAGCTAGAACACACCAAAGAAGTCTAAAAGAGGGATGTTTTTTTCTAATTTTACACAGAAACATTCAAATCCTTTATAAAACTGGCTCAGCACACTTGAATATTATTGGTTTCTGCCTTTTTAATTATTCCTATAATTTTCTGATCTCCTCAATTAGTTCTTTGGAATTTCTATAAGCAAATAATCACCTGTGGTAGACAGCTGTATTACTTGGTGACAGAGTGATGAGCTAACGGCTAGTCCAAGCAAGATCAACGTTAATTAAAAAAAACAACTTGGGTTTTAAATGTTTATAAAATAGCTTTCATGTGGAAGTGACCACTTAGGGATTTCTGTGTCATTGAACTAGATGTTAGTAAAGTCCATCAGTCAGAAAAATAGTCCTTGTTTCTCCAAACTGAGGCTGCTCAAAAAGCTTCCTACAACAGTTACCACACCTGTTCAAAGCTTTTGTAAGATCAGAGCATCACATGGGCACTATGTTTTATTTTCTCAAAGCTTGTACCTGTTCTTGTTAGTGTGTGTGTGTGTGTGTGTGTGCGTGCGTGCGTGCGTGTATGTATGTGTGTGTGAAATGTGATCAGATGGGCTCTAATGCCAAAGAATAAAGACTTTTTGAATTTCTGATGTGATCATTTGGGTCTTTGATCAGTTTGAAGGGATGAAACTGTTACAGATTATTTATACATTATCAAGTCAGACACTGACATCTAATCCTTTAATTTCAGTTTCATTTTTAATGGCTGTTTCTTTGACTTGATGGAAAAACTGGCCCTTATGGGCCATTCCCATCTGTACCGGGTCGGCCCGGGCCGGGTAGCATAGGTTGTTTACATATCTGGGTGGCCTGGTATTTTTCCGGGCCAACCAAGGCTCATTCTCAGCCCTCTTCTCGAGGGGGTCTGCTTCAGGCCGACCAGGGCCAACACACCCACTGCTGACAGCAAATTCACACCTTCCATTAGAGCAAGCCTCTGATTGGTGGGTAGAATCAGCCCACATGGGCTTAAGGCAAGGATGTGTGGAATCAACCGGGCCAGGCTGGGGCCGACTGGGGCTACCCGGCCCGGGCCGACCCAGTACAGATGGGAATGGCCCATTAGTTGCCTTGGAAACGGTTCTGATGTAATCCAACAGGAGCTGTGCTCCATCTTGTTTTCCACCTTTTTCAATAAAGCTTTTTTTCTTTCTGGTGTGCTTTTTATTTAGGGTGTTTATAAATACCAACATATTTTTGGTGACTCAGTGGACAGAGTGGGAATCTGCCCATTAAGGAGGTTGGTAGTTTGATCCCTGTGCAGTGGTGAAACGTACTTTATTTCTGTATTTTTCTTACATTTTTCTGTATCTGTACTTTTGTAATTTTCTTGAGGCCTACTTTTGACTTCACTACATTTTGTAAAAACTTTCAAAAGCAACAGTACTTTAATCTGTGCAGTCTGGTTTGGCAGAAGCATCACTGGTCGTAGTTTTGTCTTTCTGCCCTTTTTGGTTCTTCTTGTTTCAGCTCTACTACTTCTGCCTTTCCCGGGATCCACCCCTCATTCATTTTCTTCTTCCCTTTCATCACAATTTTTACATTTCTCATTTCTATGATATGTTTTTATTTTAAAATTTTTGTTCTTGTGAAGCGCCTCGTGATTTTTATCTTGAGAGGCGCTACATGAAAAATGTTTTCATTAGCTCTCACCATCCGTATCAGGTGGATCTTGTTTGCTCTCAGGTTTACATCTTGATATTATATAAGTTAAGATGCTAAACCAGACTTTGCCTGCTCAGATGAAGAGGAAATCCTTCAAGAATCCAAATAAAATCAATAGATAAGATCTAGGAACCAGAAACCAAAGCAGATGAAACAATCCACATCAGCATCTCCAGTTCTACCAGATCTAAAAATACACTTCTTAAATACAAAACTCAGCAACCGGATGAAGACGCCCTGATGAAAGACTACCACCAGTCCAGCTGGACCTAATAAAAACAAACATCTGCTGACCTGGTAAAATAACAGCTCTGACCCGGATTTCTGGGTTCTGTGGATTTTGTTGGACCTTTCATGATGGGACAAAAAATCTTTCCATTTCATTCATTTGTTTAAAGCCCCTTCTGCGACCGATGCGAATGCCCAAGGTGCTGAACACAACACCAATAAAACATAAAACCATCAAATAAAATGTAACAATCATAAAACCATCATAGAAACATTGAGAGAGAGGAATTATAATCGACAATACAATACAGCAAAAGGAATAAGAGGCCGGGGGAGCAAAACCATGTCAAAAAAATGCTAGTCCTGGAATGCCTTAACATACAAATGGGTCTTCAGGTGAACCTTAAAAACCGTAAATTAAGATATCTGATGCACCACCAAGGGCAACTGGTTCCAGAGTGTAGAAGCCAACACCGAAAACACATGGTCCCCCCCGTGACCTGCACTTGGTGCGTGGAACCATCAACAGTTCCGCTGGCCGAGCGAAGGGCCCATAAAGGGGCATGTCAATGCAAAAGTCTGACAAGATGTGCCAGAGCTTTGTACCAAGAGCTGAAATTTTGCCCTGCATTACACTGGCAGCTAATGAAGGGATGCCTAGACAGGAGTGATATGGTCCCTGAGCCTAGTCCCAGCCACAAACCTAGCAGCTGAATTTTGTTCTAGCTGCAAGCATGCTACTGCGCCCTGACAGAGGCCGGCATACAATGCACTGCAGTAGTCAAGCCTTGAGAGATCAGAAGCATGGGTGTCAGACTCTAGATTAAAAGGGCCCAGATCCAGTGTGCAGACACCAGGGTTAAGTACAATGACTTCAGTCTTAGTGTCATTCAAAGGTTGGTTTTGTAGCCCAGGAGCAGACATCCCCAAAGGCATCTATAAGCTTCGGTATTGATCCATCAAGCCCCCCCCCCCCCGATCGTTCGTCAGCATAAAAATGAAAGCGCATATGGTATTGGGTAGATGGCAAAGAGAAGTGGACACAGTACAGACCCCTGTGGCACACCCCACTTGAGTCCTGCCCAGGGACACTCGTTTTCACACAGAACAAATAAATCCAACCAAACAGGAGTCTTCCTGCAATGAGCTGTATGTGAACAGCCTCTTTCTGTTGCTTTTTAGGTTCAGGTTAATTTATTCATTATTCAGTTTGCATTATGTTATTATAGTAGTGTAAAATGGTAGCGTGCTCTTTATTCTGGGTCCTGTTCAGATTAGCTGGTTTTGAAATTCTATTTTTACAAACTGAGCGGTTGAATATAGTTTGAACTTTTCATGCCTTCATACAGCAACTTTAACTTTGAACAGAACATACTCTGGATGTTTTTTCTTTGGGACTAACATCAACCGCTTCCATGTTGGAAGAGGTTCATGTGAGCGACCACAGTTGCATGTCCGATCAACATTGATCCTGTCCCTCAATCAGAGGTCATTAATCAGTCAGCAGTAGATGGATTTTCTAGATTTGACACCAACTTAAAAACCCAGTTTGGATTCCTCTCAGCCTAAAAACTACAGGTTCAAAATTACCTGTCATCTCTAAAATTCTAGGTTGTGGCCAGTTCCAGTGACATCATGACTTCAGACTAGACCCTGAACCCCATGACTGTTCTGTGCTTTGAGTAGCTAAGAAAACAAGAAAAGTCTCTTTAAACATGATCCATTTAGCATTTTTATAAATGACACTTTAATGACATCTTTAGATTGACGTTTCCTCGGCAAGAAGTTCATGACACGAAATACAAGCGGCCATCCGTTTAAATAAACATCATATAAAAGCACATTAATCTGGATATTTCTCCAAAATGATCCCATGTCAGTGGACTTGTACTGCATTGCTTTAAATGCTGTGTGCAAACCAGACACTTAGAACATTCTGTCATTTAACAACAATCAGGCTTCTGCTGTGACTTTACTGCATTTTAAACATTTCTCAGGCACTGGGTTCGCCTTCACGTGGCAAACCCAGTTAATGAGTTTAAATTCTCTGAATGCTTCCTTTTCATTTGTTCATTTTGTGAAACACCTATTCATGAGCAGGGCCCAACTTCAGCAGTCACCGGTCCATCAGGTGCGTCTTCTCCACGTAAAGGAGCCGGTGAAAAGCACAGAGTTCATTTAAAGACCAACCCAAACTTCAGGTTCTAAATCACAAAGAAAAAAAGTCTAATTTAACTTTACTGACTGGACCATCTTTGATCAGCCCTCGTTGGAGAGCGACACTGTAAAACCCTGAACCAGGAGTATTCGATCTCCAGCAGATCTGAGTGGTTTACCTGCTTCTAAATACTTGATTCAGAGGTTAAATGACCTGTTCAGCAGCTCAGCAGGCTCTGCAGAAGCCTGTTAATTACCTGCTGATTGAAATCAGTAAGCAGAGTTAAAACTAAAACATGCTGGATATGGAACTCTTCACAGATAAATTTAATGTTTCTCCACCAGACCGCTAAAAAACACGTTTCAGAAACTTAGGAAAAGCTTGGTAAGAGAACATTTGTTTTCTAACATTTTATAGTTTTTAACCTGAAAGTTTTATTATTGTCCTTGTGCACAAAACACACAAAACATGAAAATGTTCTTTAATATTCAGACATAAAAAAGCTTTCACCAACTCCAAAATGGATTCTGCTTTTAGTGTAGAAAAACTTATGTCATGTTTAACTGGTAAAAATATCACTTTTTGAACTGGTCTAATGTGGTCCTGAAGAAAAAAAACCCACGGATGACATCCACACTCAGATGTTTCAATAATCATCACAAACTAAGAGTCTGATATAACCTCGTCCTTGTTCAGCGTGTGGTAGATCCTAACTAGAGCTGATCAGAGATGGTAGCTGAATCATTCCTCTAGCCAAACCCGACCCAGATGCTGGATCTGGGAACCGATCCCGTCGGTTCTGAGACCCTCTGCTCTGAAGATTCTGGGTATTTCCTGAACCCTGAGGGTGTTCTAAGCCGGTGCCTCAACATGAATCAACCCAACGAGTCACAGCAACGCTCTGACAACACCAGGAACATCGGAGCACTGCAAAATAATAACCAGTTCAGATCACAGCATTCAGCTGATCACGCCCTTAATAAACATTCAGGTGTGGCTCATTGTCTGTCCCAGAATGAGAAAGAAAACCACTCAAATTAAATTAACCAACAGCTCATGTTTGAAGGAGTGAAACCAGAAGTCTGATGAATTAGCTCCAACTGGTGATCTACCTAGTCATGTCAAAATGTAGAGTTTACAGAGCACGCTGGTCCGATAAATTATTAGACCAAAGCCTCATCCAGTGATGTGAGTCTATGTAGCCTAACATGTCTGAACACAGAGAACAGATGGAAGAGGATGGGAAATCCACAAGAGTACACGGCGTTGCTCCTTGGTCCTGGTGCTCAAGTGTGCTCCCTCCCTAGATCACCTCCCCCCAGGGCTTCCCAGGAGGAACCTGTAGGATATAAACATCTAGCTTAGGGAACGGACGAGGAGGAGGAAGAGATATGAATCTAAAGAGCAGGGTTTGCTCCTCACCACGCTCCTCTGGCATGAACCGCTTCCCTCCTCACCAGCCTCTTTTTGTCATCCAAAGCCTGAGCCAACGCTCGCAGCACCCGCGCTCGAAACGGCAACACCTGCGTCTCAAACGACAGAATCCTAAAAGTGACTCTGTTCAGGTGAATCATTCGACTTCACGGTTGGTTTTTATACACACACAGCCAGAGTACATTTACTTTTGCATTGTTACAATATCAAAGCTTGTTGAATAAAAGGATTAGTCTTTTCTACTTCTACAGGAGACTAGATGTTTGAGGTACCTCGTGCACAGGAAACTGGGAGAGCGCGTGGATGCATCGTACTGAGGCAATCCGTATTTTCTGGTGGGAGAAACAAACAAAGATGAACTCTTTCTGATTTGTGTAAGAATTTTTAAAGTCATTCATCATGTTGTCCTCTCAGACTTCTGCCTCCCAGCATCAGATCCGTGTACCACGGTGACAGGATACAGGAAACACACAGGAGGGTTCTCCCACCCAGAGGCCCACTAAAGCCAGAGCTTTTCACACCGCGTCCAAAAGAGCGCTCACAACACTGTTGCTGTTGGAAACTCGCGTTTAGAAAACAGACGGGTGATATTAGGACATTTGTGAGCAGGATTAAGCACAGACCCTTACATCTATAGAGATGAAGGGCGTGTCCCAATTCAGGGCCTGCATCCTTCGTCAGCTGGATCTGATGGCTGATGATGTCATAGCGCAACAATGAAGGCTGTTCAAATTCAAAGAACACCACAAGTGTGTTGTGTATCCTTCACAGCCCACCATATCCCAAGATGCATTGTGGACCAAACGGGAGATTTTTCGAACAATGGTGGACAAAAATTCCAGTTAACAGTTTAGGGTTCAAACGGTTAGATTTAGGGTTTTAGTCATTTATGTGAAAGGTTTTTACGTCATAACAATAATAACTTTAACAGAGCTCTCATTGCAAGTACAGCTGCTGTAACTCCTCCAGGATTAAAATAAAAGCTAAGCAAAATGTCGAGCTCCATTCTCTGTAGCCCCTGTTCCGGGTCATCATGGTTGCTAGGTGACCGAGGTAGGGGTGGGAATAAATCTGAAGGCTAGACCGTCCTAATTCACAGCCGCTTGCTTTCGGTCCATCTGGTCGACGAAGGACCCGACATATGTGGACCAGATAGGCCGTGTCCTTGAAGGATGCAGCCTGGGTGTGGACACACCCAAACCGCCCCCCTGCACTGAGCCTCCACAGCAGGAGGATCGGACATTTACTGGGAGAGATGGTTAAGGATGTGTCTCTGAGCACAGAAGCAGCTGTAGGGACCAGTCTGGGTCTAGCACTGGGACCAGTTTGTGACTCACCATAGCTGGACTACAGAGAAGAGCCAGCAGCCTGCTGACCAAAGCCTCCAGCTGCTGTATGAGGACCTGTGGGGGGTTCATAAGGACGGGCTCCAGGCAGGACAGAGTGGACAGCTGGACGCTCTGATCAGGACACGTCAAAGCTTCTAGGATCAAAGAAAGTAGCTGGATGGGAAATAATAACAATTAGTTATTTAGTTGCTTTCACTGAGAGAAGACCTGTTAAACTACACTGACCGCTGGCAGCTCAGACACCTGGACCTGCTTCGGCAGCTCATTCACAATGTTGGACAAAGCCTTTAAGTAGTTGGACTTCTTCTCTGTTGGACAGAATAAAAACACCACATCACAACCAGAAGTCCACACCTGGAACATCTGGCGGCATGTCTCCAATCCAACCTTGCGGTGCTGCGTTGAAGCCCTGGACCAGTTTGGCTGAGTTCTCACTGAAGAAGCGTTGGCGGTACATGATGCGTACGTCAGCATGGCAGCCGCGGTTCAGAACATCAGCGGAGTCGCTCATCAGCAGGGAGAAGCTGTCTGCTGCCATCGGACCCAGATCAGGGTCGTCCAGCAGGGAGAAGAGCTGAACGGGGCGGGGCAAAGGTCAACACAAGCATAAAAAAGGTGTTTTTATTAAGACCAAATAACAAATAGACACAAAATAAAAGATCAGATAAGAGAGGCGATGTCACCTTGTCAGTTAATAGTGAGAAGAGAGGGTGGTACCGCAGGAGAAGAGCCTTCGCCACCTGGAAACAACAAGACACGTTGGAGAAAGATGGACACAATCTGTCCTTATTCATCATGACAGGCGATTAGCATTAATGAGGTCGTCTCAACGATAATACCCATGTACAATATTCACATACTGTGTGTGAATAGTGCTACTGATACCAAGGCTCAGGTTTAACGATAATTTCATCTAAGCTAACATCCTGGCTGTATAGAGACTGCTTCTCCTGCTGCTGCAAACAAGGTTGAGGCAATAATCCAAACTGCAAGTCTTCTGCAGGGAGAAGTATCTCTAAAAGCCTTTTTCTAGAATGTAATGTTTTCTTGTGCAGCCATGACACAAGTGGTGGTTATCCAAAGTTTGCTGTTTGAGGGGTTTTAAATCTTTTTGTCTGATGGGTACTTTAGTACGATTACAAGTAAACCTCCACAGTGCTGGTCCTTCCTCAACTCTGTAGTTCACCCTGACGTGCTGTCAGACATCTTCTGGTCCAGATCCAGACCGATGGAGCTCATTCCTCATCATTAATGCTTTGTGGGGTTTTCTTTGTCCTCCTGACTACAAGTTCTCAGAGGGATTATGGTCTGGAGTTTTCTGGACCCGGACCCAAATGTTGATCCACTCTATTCTGACATTCTTCAGGCCCGGTGCGCCATCATGCTGGAGAAGACATGGTTGGTGACCATGCTGTTGATGGAGGGTTGGAGGAGTTCCTCTGGGAGGATGTCTGGGTACTGTTCTTTACTCGTGGCTGCTCTGTGGCTAAACTGTGAGTGAGTCCACTCCTTTGGCTGAGAAGCACCCTCCCACATGAATGGTCTCAGGGTGATTTACTGTAGGACACAGGATTGATCCTTTTGCCAAAAGCTCCCAAGTAATCAGAAGGAATTTCCTCCAGTCCCCAGCCGCCTGATCGTTGGTCCTTTAACAGAACATCAGCCTGTCCCTGATGGTTCCCTTGGAGAGAAGTGGCTTCTTCACTGCCCTTTCTATGACCAGCCCATCCTCCTAAAGCCGGGCGGACACTGTGCGACTTTTTCACTCGTAGCACTCAAGCTTCAGCTCAAACTGTACGACTTCCTCGCAGGGCAGATCTCACGAGTCATGTGCTCACAATGTACGACCCAGTTCTCTGATGCGACCTGACTGCTCACACTGTTACGTCTGGTAGCAACACGTCGGACCTAAAAATATGCTAAAAATAGCAGTTTTTACACAACACATCAGACTGTTTTGTCTTGTTTTGCCTGTTGTCCTTTGGGAGTGCTGCAGGAGGACACACAGGGATTTATGGGGGTTGGATGAGGAAAACGAAATAAAGAAAGTAAATCTGTGTTTTGTGATCAGTTTAATTTGACATGAACACGACAAACACGCTTTCTTGACAATCTTTGTCAATGTGTGTAAAAAAGACGTTTAGAAATAAAAACAAACAACGTGTTTATTAGGGAAATAGCGGGCGAGCGGTGTTGATGCAGGATTGCGCATGCGCCGTGAGCGGTTCTGGTACTTTTTGGGTCGCAGCCGCTCGCTGCGCTGCTTCAACCCTCAGGAGGAACGAGCAAAATATCAAACACTCCAGAAGTCCGTGCGAGCTCACGATTGCTGATCGGTAGCTGGTCACGTGTGTTAATCGCCTCTCGTAACCCCCTGTACACGACACGACGCTCAGCGCAAAACTCGCCCCGATCTTGTGGATTCCTGCACGAGTGGAGAATCGGCTCAAAAAAGTAAAAAAGTCACACAGCGTACGCCCGGCTTAAGGTCTCTTCATTGGGCTGCAGACGAACTCACACCTGCCCGCTGACATTCCTGAACAAGTCTTACAACTGTAACGTGAGGAAATATGGGTTTTCTATCACAAAGGTGGTGTTGGACTCAGCTGTGTCAAAGCTGGGTCGCTGAGAACTTTCACCCACAGATTAAGACCTGAACGCCAGTGAGTCTGGGAGGAAACCATAACATCAACCACCTGCAGTCTACCAGAAGATGTGTTTACATGAGTTGTACCCAGACCAAGTCAAAACATAAAGTTTAAACTTCTTTTTCTTGATTTTAATGTTAAAAATAACCATTATCATTTTGCTCATTATAAATGTATTTAATCAAATGAATGGTTCTTATGCTTTGGGGTAATTATAATGGATTAATGAATCCACACTTAAGTAGATAATGTTGAATGTTTGGTACTGACCTTCACACTCAAGCACACAAACATCCACACACACCTTCCCACAGTAAAATCCAGACACATTTGATGACGCACATGTTTTTGCTTTGAGAAGAGAGGTTTTTGGTAAGTTTCAGTCTTTTTTGAGTCAGTTGGTGTTGGACAACGAGAGAGAACAGACCTGAAAACCAAAGGGGGGGCAGAGCCTGTTGGCTCGTTCTTCCCCCCTTTCACGCTGTTTCTGCCACGCCAGGCAGAATAGCTGAATCGCAACTTCTAACGCAGACTCATTACCGAGTCTTTTGATTTCTGAGTGAATTAACTTAAGAAAGCGCGTCGACAAAACGCTTTACCATCAACGTGTACCGAGGGCAACTCTGGACCGGGTCGCAGCGCATCTTTGTCTTTTCTGCCAGCCAAGGTGCCCTGGATGAAACATCCTAAGGTGACGCCCCGGATCCGAAAGAGGGTCCAAAAGAATTCGGTGAGACAGAACACGGTGTTTAGCGTTTTGATGCATCTTTTCCAACTAAGAGCCTAAGTTTATTCAAACCATCACTTTTCACTCAGACACCTGGTTCTTCCTGAAGCAAAATCAGATGCACTCACGCACCCATCCCAGCTCATATCACTCTCACCATCACAACATTCTCAATCTTCATAAATTCATCAGAAGGTCTATTTGAGCCAGAACAGCATATCAACTGTTAAAGAGATTGTCCCACAAAGTTACTAATGTTGATTGTATTTCCTGTTTGTCAATTTCAAAATCATTAGTTTAATTTGAAGAATTAAAACTTTTAAACGTCAAACTGGTTTCCTCATTGAACTGAAACACAGACACTCAGATATTATCGGCAGTTTATGGATGAAAACAACCTTTGAGTCTTCTGAACAATATAAAATTTGGTTATTGATTTATTAAAATTAATATTCCGAATTAATACGTAGCATGGTTCCTCTTTCATAAAAGAGCATAAAACCACAACGCTACACAACAACAAGGTGGTTGTCCAACCCTGCAGCTGGATAAACTTTACAGGTCCAGGAGCTACTGGACTTTCCTCGTCTCCATGAAGCCTTCTTCACAAATCCAGAGGAAACGTTGTTTTTCCGGACCAAGTTCATTTTCATAACCAACTTTCTAACAATTATAATTCAGAACTGAACAAAAACTGGAACCAGCTGTAAAAACTAGAATGGATGTGAACAGGAGTGCAGTTACTCACTAGACTCTGTGATAAAACAATTTCCCTGGATTCAAAGTAAATAAATGGGCAAATAGTTGTAAAGGCTTGAAGAACTAGAAGTTAAAAATGAGAAATAAAGGTGATTATTACCCAGGTCATGAGGGTGAAGGCCTGAATGCGCACAGGAGAGGAGGTGCAGCCCAACTCACTACACACTCGTTTCATTGTTGTCTGAATCAGGTCGTCTAGGGAGTTACCTGCAGATCAGACATCACAACCTTTAACTTAAAGAGGTGTGCTACAGGTGCAGAAAATGTGACCGGACCATGAACACACAGACACACCCAGAGGCCTCTTGTTGATCAGGCCTGCGAAGCACTTGGCAGCAGATGTGTAGGACAGCAGGTGGCTGCAGCTGCAGCTCAGCTCCTCCAGCTGGAACAGCAACCTCTCCATTTGGGGCACCTCCACCTGAACGTAACGCGTCCATTTCAGAACAGCAAACTTCAAACCCCAACTCAGAGTTATCTGAACTAACATCAGGACTGAGACTCACACTGCGAGGTAAGGAACACACACATGCCATGAGCAGACAAACCAGCTGAGACCGACTCCATGACTCTTCCTGCTGCTTCTGGGGAAAAACATCAACACCTCCTTAACCATACACCTTTGTAATAATGGAGAAAAAAAAAACAACACACGGAAACACACCGTGAGAAGCTGAATGTGTGAGGGGAAGGAATTATCAGGCAGAAAGGAGACGTCGCCATCCAGGAAGAGAGACACCGCCCTCGCCGCCGTCTGTCCTGCCAACCTGGAGACATGAAACCACCCGACAGGAAACCACATGGGACTTCACTTTCTAAAGCAGACTGCACAAACAAATCAAAGGCACTGACAAAACTAGAGCAGAGAAATTATATCAGTGATTATGATCGGCAAATGAGAAACACAACAGATTAAAGCTTCTACGGCCGGATATGTCTGTTCAAATAACTCAGATTAGTTCAAATAAAGACCCTTTTCACCATTAATGTCAAACCATTTTAAAAAAGGAAAATCAGCTAGAGAATTTTCCAGGTGGGAGGGTGAAGCTTGGTTGGGAGGTGGAGGGATCTGTGATCCATTACAAGCTAAAACAATAGACATAGACAGCTGAAATAACAGGTAAATGTATGCTTAATAGTTGTGTCATTCAGAAAATGACATGAGGAGCAACATCTGATGTTATTAAGCGTGTCTGACACATCGACCACCCCTCTGATGGAGTTTGTACTGACTTGGGCTGCAGCCGGGAGCAGGAAGTGCTGATGACAGGAACCAGCGCAGACAGAAACACCTCCTCGGTCAGGGGACTTCGATGACCAGACGACCCCTCATCTACAAAGTACAGCGTGTTCATTTTACATGATGATCTCCTACTTTAAAGACCAAGTTCACTCATTTTTCTATATTTCTATACTCATTACTTCTGTGGGTCAATCTCTGTGGGGAAAAAAGCTCTGGTGCGCCTGTTTCAGGAACTAGGAGTGAACCACGTCAAAGCTGAGCTTCAAACAGGATTTAGTCTCATTTCCTGAAACTTGGACATCTCACCTCTGATTGGCCAGCAGCAATGCAACTCTGCCACTGACTCTGTTTGCTTTGAAATGTTGACGTTTTACCTCCACAAATAACACATGCCTGAAGGAGTTCTGCCATGAGGTGGAGTTGCTAATGCTAATGGTTAGCTTCTACTAGCCAAGACATGCTCTACTTTCTCCAGGGTGCTAAACCAACAACAGCCTTCCCCGTCAGGAGCCAAAATGGATGAGTCCATGAATGCTAATTTGCCATTATGACGTGTAATCAACTGGCTTTTCTAATCTGAGTGTCTCTCTGTCCATTTTCTATTGGCAGCTACTCCAGGGGGAAAAAAGCTACAAGACTATTTTCCCGTTTAGCTTGCATGTTAAACTCAGAATGACAGATCATATTTAAAAAGATGACAAGTAAAAACAGGGATCTTGGCGTTTGCAGTTTTATAAAAGATAATAATAATATTGGTGGACTTTAAATGTCTTTAGGAAGAATTTAAAGTTTATTTACTCTGCAGCGCAGCCTGGAGAGCTAAAGACAGTAGGCGTGGGATGATGTTATCATGGAAACATCGCCCCGTCTCCTCAGTGTCCTGAACCTGCTCGGCTATCCTCTGAAGGCTGCGGCACGCCAGAACCACCTCGTCCACAGAGAAACGAGCCCCATCTGAAAGCAACAACATGATCCTGATTATCAGATGGTTTTTTTGGTTTTTCAGAGACACGCTGAGAAAATGTTGTGTGTTAAAAACACCAGTCTGGTAAACATAAATACAGATCCATTAGAGCAGGGGTCCCCAATCCTGGTCCTGGAGGGCCGGTATCCTGCATGTTTTAGTTTGAACTCTGTTTCAACACACCTGATTTCAATCAGCAGCTAATTAACAGGCTTCTGCAGAGCCTGATGAGCTGCTGAACAGGTGTTTCAACCACTGAATCAAGTCTGTTGGAGCAGAAAAACCACAAAACCTGCTGGATACCGGCCCTCCACGACCGGGATTGGGGACCCCTGCATTAGAGGATAGAAAACGCCTACAGACAGATTACCTGTGTGTGCTGAACTGAGGACCTGCAGGAGGACAGGTGTACTCTCAAAGACCACACTGGGTTGGAGGGACACGGCAGCCAGAGCAGACAAACAACGTTGGCGCATTGCATGATGGGAATTCATCTCTGAATTTTCTCTGGGATCTTGAACAAAGGAGATGAAAAAGTGTATTATAATCAACAGAAAATGTAAGAAAATTTCTAATTTATTTTTTCCGATTTCTTGACATTGCTCACCAGAAAACATCTCCTCCTTCAGCTTTGGGATCAGTTTAGTGATGAGGGCTGCAGGATGCAGCTCTGCTAAAGCTCCAGCACACTCAACAACAGCAGAACTGGAAGTAGAAACATAACCAAAACAGGATCAAGTAAACAAAAAAAAACACCAAGGCATTAAAATTTGCCCAACGGGAGTTGACCTGACACTCTCGTCCTCCTCGGTCAGCAACAGTCTGGTCAGGTGATCTACAGCCAGACCAACATCTGAGTCTAACAGCAGGCCTGAGCAACAGGAAGGAAACATTTCAGACTCCTGATCAGCCCAGATAGTCAGATATGAAAGGGTCCTACCTTTATGTTGTATCAGTGAGGTGAGAACGGTGGTAGCAGTGATCTGCAGACTGGAATTACTCTCGGAGAGAGCAGAAAACACCATGCTGCAAAGAGCAGCTCTGTACGCTGACAGCACACTCTCATCTACAAACACCAGAGATGGGTACAAGTTATGTGCATCTTTATACAGACCACTAGCCATGGACGTAATCTGGGGGGGGGGGGGGGGGGGGGGGGGAGATGGGCCCCCCCCCCCCCCCCCCACTTTTTCCAAAGTCAAGTTTTGACCCCTGCACTTTTTACCATCCAAAAATATTATATATATATATATTATATTAAATTGACACTGGTTGAGCTCTAGGACCAAGCGGAAAACAACCGTTTGTGTTGAAGCCTGTTTCCCATTAGAGCATACTGTAGATACACTCCCCCGTGTCCCCCCACCTCTAAAGTGAAAATTACATCCATGCCACTGGTGTGAGATGGCTGAGCCTGATCATGCGATTTAAGTCCCATCAATCCCTGGAAGATGTCCATGTTTCTGAACTGATTTAAATATAAGAACAGATTTTGTTCATTTTAACACTAAAAGGTTTTTAACACGCTAAACCATTGCTTTCAAACTGGTTGCAGTGGTACTTTAGCCACAAACTTCAGCCACATCACATCAGACAGCCTTCTGCTGACCAGAACCAGCAGAACCCGTTTAATGGGTCAGGCTGGAACACTAGTGGGAGGTCTCTATCTGCCGTTATGGCAATAACAGTTTACTGTTGGCATCATGGAGGACCCTGAAAGTAAAAGTAAGAGAGCAAAAATGTCTTTGGAGCTGAAGCAAAGAGCTAAAACCAGAGTGAACTTTGGTGCAGCCTACGCTAGTCTGAGGGAGCTAAAGGAGGCTACGACATCACGGACTGATGGTGACCTGGCTTTGTTGCTAATGGACTTGTAAATCATAATATTTTTTGTCCAACAGGGTGGATCTTTTACTTTGTGGCTCACTTAGTGTTAGCTCGTTGTTGCAGCAGGGTTGACTAGTGCATCCAAAACTGATCCTCCTTTATGGGAGCGAGCAGTAACTCTTCAGTTACTTGATCAACATTATTGCTCAGATCTTTCTCCACAATTACAGCTCTATTGGAGATGCACTCTTTTTGGGTCTGTACAAATACATCGATTTGACAATAAAAAGGTGGGAGGGGTGGAAATATGCCTGAATAATAATCACACTGCAATCCTCTGACCTATAATCAAAGTGAATCACGAGGTGCTGAAAGAGTAAATCTAGTGATTACTTTGTGAAAATTCAAGAGTCTTATCAGTGTTTGTTATTTGAATGAAATAAACTCGGTTTCAACTTTAAATCAGAGGAATGATGAACTCACCGGTATCTGAAGACGTGTTTGTTTTCACTGACTTGATGAATCGTTGCACCACTTCCAACAACGTACGTCTATGAGAACACTGTTAAGAGAAGCTTATGACTCAGTAACCATGACAACAGCAAAGCTCTACACATGACTACGGATTCTCGGTCTGACCTGTGTTCTGCTGTTGTACTGCTCGATGAGAGAGGGCATGACAGCAGCTGTTATGATGTGGCTCGCCCTGTTGGAGGCGCTGCAGGCAGCCTGTAGCAGCTTGGCACTGGGCCATACCAGCTTCAGGTCGGGCTCGCACAGATGATGTTTACAGTCTGGGAAAATGTCACAAAGATGTTTGCACTGCTGTTAATTAGACGGTTTTAATGAAACCCTGCCTGTAAAAGGAGCCTTCGTTTTAAAGAACTGGTTCACCTGTTAGAACCAGATCCAGGAGGGTGATGAGGGTGTCTTCAGAATCAGAGTTCACCACTGAGCGAGACAGACAGGAAGTGAGTGCGGTGAGAGCGGTGAGGGCTGCTGACTCGATCTTCTCACTGGATGTCTGAAACACCTGCAGGCAGGAAACGGAGACGGGGCTGTACTGAGAGCACACACACCAGTGAAGAGGCTGGGTTTCACAGTAACGTCTCTATTTAGCCCCATTCCCACCTGTACCGGGTCGGCCCGGGCCGGGTAGCCCCAGTCGGCCCCAGCCTGGCCCGGTTGATTCCACACATCCTTGCCTTAAGCCCATGTGGGCTGATTCTACCCACCAATCAGAGGCTTGCTCTAATGGAAGGTGTGAATTTGCTGTCAGCAGTGGGCGTGTTGGCCCTGGTCGGCCTGAAGCAGTACCCCTCGGGAAGAGGGCCGAGAATGAGCCTTGGTTGGCCCGGGAAAATTCCAGGCCACCCAGATATGTAAACAACCTATGCTACCCGGCCCGGGCCGACCCGGTACAGGTGGGAATGGGGCTTTTGTTTCTGTTTATGAAATTTTATAATTTTATGTTTTCTGATGTCAATCTATTTCTGTTTTGAGATCATTATGATTTTATGACTTTGTTTTATGTGAAGCACACTTTGTGTTTCTATGTCTGTGATGAGTGCTATATATAAAAAAAATGTACTTACTTACTATTTATGGCACAGTCTGGTTTAGGGCTGGGCAATTTGGCCTAAAATCAACATCACCATATATCGTCACGTGCATTATGTTGAGTCACATTTTTACATGACTCAAGGTGGTACAGCATCTTAAAGGGACATTGCCAACCTACACACACCTTTTTCATTTTTTATTATCATTATTATTGTGGAAAAAACGATCATGATAAAAGTCGAAATTTTGATAATGATAAATATTGAATTTATTGCCCAGCCCCCGTCTGGTTGGATGGCAGCGTGAAAAATCATCTAAAACTCAATTTTGTGTTTACTCAGGTTGTCTTTGACACTGAAATGTGTTTGCTGATCTGAAACTTTTATGTGGGACAAAAAGGGAAAAAAAATAAATATGTGAGAGGTTAAATTATAGTTTTTGCAGCATTGAATGGGTGGAAAAAAAGGGTTGTTCACCGGGCCTTTCCACCAGACGTGTAAGCGTCACGCAACGTCAGCGAAGTGTAGTACGAAGCAATTAGCCGCTGTTATAGTGGATGGGTGTTTCCACCGGCCGCAAAGCGTCCCAGAAATGCTGTGAATACTTCAATTTTTTTTATACACTACGCTTCCAGAACATGTCAAGCTCAGCAGTTCAGATCGGGTCAGACAGGAAGTTGAACAAAAGCAGGGTAAAACATCCAGAAACTTTCAAAATAAAAGTCACTTGCAGATTTTCAGTTGATCAACTAGTAAAAGTACGTCATTACCTGTAACACCTCCAAAGCTGAGGCAAACAGGAAATAAACCACAGACCTTTTCGGATACATGCTGCCATCTATCTGAAATCTAATGTGTGGTTTTGCAATTTCCGGTCCTTCAGTGACTTTGCGGACCATTTGTGTGGAGCTCTTTTGCTGCTGTTTGCACCTGAAACACTCCCAGTAGGAAAGGTGCTCATGGCTAAAATGGTTATGCATCCATTGGAAAGCCAGGGTTAAACTAAAACGGCTCAAACTTTGTAAAACACTACAGACCTCTCTGCGCAGTGACGTCCACAGTCCCTGGAGGAATTCAGCCAAGTCTCTGTGATCATATTTTGACCCGCAAGCAGCCTGAAACAGATCAAATATAAAGAGATGACAAATCATCATAAAAGTCACATTTCATCTTACTTTAGCTTATTCTTCTCTAAGCTGCGGCTGTAGTCAGTCTCACAAGAGTCTGCAGTGAATCCAGCTTTGCACTCTGAATGTCCGAGTCCATCTTCTCAATGATGAGTGGCAACAGAAACTGGAAATGGACAAGAACATTTTTAGATCCTGAAATTGTACCATAATGAATAATCGTCATGTCACGATACCGCCCCACCTCTGCAAAGCTGGGAGTCCCTGTGAGGACGGTCCTCAGAGCCAGAATTAGCTCCTCTTTGGTGATGCCATGGGGGTCGTTGGGGGGCTGGAGAGGGTGAGAGGTGGTCACAAGAAGAGAGAGGAAAAAAACAAGATAATTTACAGGAAATTAAACCCAAGAAAAGCTTAAACAAGTGGTGATAAAATGTCAAATACAATCAGATGAACCAAAATGATTCACTTATTACGAATCTACTGAATATCTGAAACTAGTGTGTAGGATTTGTTTTGGCTCGTGCTCTGCTAAAGCTTCAGAGACTGGAATGCAAGTCTCTTTAAATGACGGATAATTTTCTGATTGTTTGGAGCCCCTGAAGAAAAAAAGATGAGTGCTCCCATCAGTCCTGTGTCCTCCAACAGTAAAGAATCCTGAGAGCAATCGCGTGTGTGTGAGGCTCTTTGACTCTAAACTAGTGATGCACAGATATGAACATTTTTGGGCCGATACCGATATCCAATATTAAGATCACTGCTATGGCCAATAACCGATATTTGCAGATGCAGAAATACTGACATTAATGCTTCTAAAATCAGTAATTTTGTATAAAACGAAAATTATTAAAGCCAAATTTACATTATTATGTACACACACCACACACATTTATGGTTCTGAGATGATTTCATTCACTGTTCACATGACTAAACATAGACACATCACCCCCTCACCCTCTGAAACAGGCAAACAAATGAAGACAAGATGGAAAAAATATTGGTCGTTAATATCGGCCCGGTTTTATTTATCAAACCGATACAGATATGTTAAAAAATGACTAAAATCGGCCGATACCGACATTGATGCCGATATATTGTCCATCCCTACGCTAAACGGTTTAGTTTTTTGCTCCAGAGTCGGTCTGTTCTGCCAACATCAGTGATGGTAAATGGCCTGTATTTGATATAGCACCTTCTAGAGTCCTGGAACCCCCTACGTTTGCCGACAGGGACGAGGAAATTCAGCACATTACTCCTGTGCTGGCATTGTTACACTGGCTTCCTGTGGTCTATTGAACGTCCTTTGCTTTGTCTTCTGGTCTCTATATGGTGGTGCTCCACCATACTTTGCAGCATTATTAACACGTCACACCCCTTCACGATCTCTACGCTCGGCTGAGCTGGAGCTACTGACTGTTCCTCAATCCCGGTACAGATCTAGATGAGATCGGGCTTTCTCGGTCTTGGCTCCATCCCTCTGGAATGAGTTGCCACTTGGCATCAAACAGTCACCCTCACCTGTTGTCTTCAAGAGTCAAATACAGGCCAGGAGTCACGTGAAGGCTCATGTTTATCGTTTGGCTTTTATGTGACTTGTTTTTATTTTTCTTATCCTTCTCTGATGTATATATAATAGGGCTGGGCAATAAATAAAAAATGTATCGTTATCTAAATTTCTGACTCTTATCGAGATAATTGTTCCCATGTCAATAAATTTGATAATAAGAAATTAAAAGATGTATGTAGGTTGGCAGCGTTAATGTACCTTTAAGACGCTGCACCACCTTGAGTCATGTAAAAATGTGACTCAACTAAAACACGCCACAGCTCCATCTAGTGGACAACTTTTGTTTCTGCGCATACCTGTAGTTATCGTCCATTTATCGTTATCGAGGTGAAATCCTCTATGTGGCATAGAGTATATATACATATATTAACATATATATGTGTGTGTGTGTTCCATCATGCTTTTATGTTTGTATGTGGTTTTTAGGACTTTTTATCAATCTGTTTTTATTTTAATCTATGTCATGGTCAGTGCCTTGGGCTTCCGCAGAGGCAGTGGAGGGCGCTCTATAAATAGATTGATTGAAGGTGCTTTACAACGCAATCAGTCATTCATCCATTCACACACACATTCACACCCTGGTGGGGATGAGCTACGATGTAGCCACAGCTACCCTGGGGCGCATTGACAGACGAGGCTGCCATACACTGGCGCCACCGGTCCCTCCGACCACCACCAGCAGGCAAGGGGGGTTAAGTGTCTTGCCTGACAGCAACAAACTGTGATGAGCTCAACCAGCTGAGTGAACAGGAACTTACAGGGGTGAAGTCTATGGGGAAGTAGCAGGACGTCACTTCGAACAGCTCCTCTGTGAATTTACCTGATTGGGAAAGTAAAAAGGTGAAACAGTGACAATAAAAGAGGAACAGAGGATGGTGCGGTGAGAAGATCCTCACCTAGACTGTATCCTCCCAGAATGATGTTGTTGGCTATCTGGAAGGCTAACAGGAGGTTGCGGGGATCCCTCTCTCCGTCCATTGACTGGACAAATCCAAAAACAAAGTCGGCTCCCAAACCTTTCAGCTCTGATGGAACGTCAAGCAGAAAAAAGCCACTTTGATTAAGCTTTTTAAAAAGGACATATAATGTCCCATTGTGGACAGCTTACTGAACAGCCTCTGTTCAGAGAAACAGTTCAAATCTGACAAGACTGATGGGCTAACAGCTAGTCTAATTGCAGCCAAGACTAAAGCGTGTTTCTCGTGTTAACGCCGCCATCAATCATTACATTAGTGCTGTAAAATATTGTTATTTAAAGTTTAACTATAACCAAATGCAGAAATCTATTCATATTCCTGCAGAAATTCACAGAAGCTTAAATGTTTATAAAATATTGCTGCATGAGCTCCAGAGACTTCAGTCAATTTATGTTACAAAATTTTGTTACAGAAATATTTTTGTTTTATAAAACACAAATAATACAACAAAAAACATCACATATAACTTGTGGGTTTAGCTCCCAGGAAACAGCTGAGAACGTTTTGGCTAGTAGAAGCTAACTATTAGCATTAGGAACTCCACCAGACAGCAGAACTCCTCCAGGCTTGTGCTATTTGTGGAGATGAAACATTACCATTGTAGAGCAGAGTCAGTGGTAGAGATGTGTTGCTGTTATCCAATCAGATGTGAGATGACAAATATCAGGAAATAAGAGTCTAAATCTTGTCGTCTGAAGCTATTTTCTCCATCAGCTGAATTCTCTGTGATACACTGTAGAGTAAAGAGCTCTGGAGTCCTCTGACTCTGAAAGGAGCTACACAAGTGTGGATTATTTATCAGAACCACCCAGGACTGTTCAAAATCCCCATGAGGGCTACAAATAGCCTGTGTGTCCCACTTTGGACACCACTGACATAAACCTTATTTACATTCGTAGGCCTGTCTCTACATCCATTCATGATTACGGTTGGGCAACGTTTGAATTTGAACAATTCCGATTCTAATTCCTTGTTTCAATTCTGGTTCCTAAAGATTTCCGATTCTGATTCTTTCAAGTGGTAGGATCCAAAAAACTACATGTTTTAAATGAGCCAGCTAACCACAGGGTTTACTTGATGAAATAATCTGAATTTCGACATGAATTTTAATTCTATGAACAACAACATCACCTTCATTTAGGCAAAAGCATGTTTTCAAGAAAGAAACAAAAAGACTTGAAACACAATCCGTGTGTTTGTTTCTGACCACAACCAAAGTCTGGGAACTGAAGACGCCTCAGGCTAAATGTCTCCAACATAACCAGAAAGTTCCAGCTGCTTTCACCTAAACCTCTCAGGATGATCATGTCCAGGGTGACCGAGTTCACACCAGCCTGCTGCAGCAGCATTCAGTCAGAAGGGAAACTGGAACTTAAACGTAGCTGCTGTCCAAACTAATCTAACAGATGTAAACAACAAAACTCTCCAAAGACTAAATAGTTCAAAAAAGAAAAAAATCTCACAACTTTGCATTTTGTGAGATATTTTTATTATTATCTTTATTTATTTATTATCCCTACCGGCTTCTATTGGCCAGAACCGGGTGTGGTCCACCACAGGGAAAGCTGCTCTAGCATGATGACTAATTATTTTACAGCTTATTGTTCAGCCTTCTGACGCTCACGCTCACACGGACGAGTGTTGGTGAGCGGCTGCGTTTGACTGCTGACGCTCCGTGTGTTTTTATTTCTGCAGTGAGACAAACTCACCTCACACCGCCCGGTTTGTTCTTTAAAACTTGTATTAAATTGACTGTACCGATGCGTTTTAACGAGCTTCCACTGCGCCGTACTTTTTTCTGAGGAATTAAAGTTTACATCACGCAGTAAAAGTTCAGCAGACTGTTGTTTACAGGGAGGAGGGACACGATGCTGCTCTCAGGGTCTCTGTGGGCTGCAGAGTAGGACCGCTGGTGTGATCAGCTCTGAAAGGTGTTGAGCAGAATTTGCAGAACATGTTTTTTTTTTTCGCCACAGATTCTTCTTCTAGTCTAGTCTGCAAATCAAAACTAGGAATCAAAATGTTAAAAACTGAATGAATCTGGGAAAAACTGACAGCTAGTCCCAGCTCCAACCGATGCTTGATGCACAACACTAATCATGAGAACTTTTTATTGCTCCGTAGGGTCACAGGGTGCTGGTGTCTAACTCCATGGAGTGAGAGGTGAGGGACACCCTGGACAGGGTCTCCTTTACAGAGAAACACAGAGAAAAACTCTGTGTCTCATCTAGGGACAGTTCAGAGTCTTCCATCAACCCAGCCTAGATGTTTTTGGTCTGTGGGAGGAAACCAGAGCACCCGGAGAAAACCCACACCTGCACAGAGGGAACACGCCAACTCCCTGCAGAAAGGCTGCAGCTGGGATTTGAACCTGCACTGCAGAGCAACCAACTGCACCACCAAGCATCCTGACATACCTTCTATTATATAAACTATAAGCACAATGAAGCACTTAGATAGTGAGGTCTAAGCAACATCAGAACCTAACTGTTTGAAAATGGCTTCAGCTCCCCCCTCTGATTGTTTCATAGCTTTACTCCAAACGCAACGCTTTTAGAAGTACACACACTCAAACTTCTATTGTTGCAAACCCTGCCGATAATTCTAAACTCCCTTACGTTACAGAAAACATGCTTTCAGCATTTCCTCATAGGTGATCCAGCTCTCCCTTTTCTTACCTGCTTCTCTCGTCTCCATGAGGTTGATGAGCATGTTGTAGACGCAGCCTCTCTCTGTGAGCATCAACGACTGCAGGTGGGAGACAAACTGAGGTGAGCTCGCAGCAACAATGGCAACACTTAAAATGACCTAACAACACATTTAGTAAGAAGGAACAGCATTATGGTCAGGAGTTACGCTGGTACCTGAGGTCACCTTAAAGAGTGAGGTGAAATTTAACAACACCCAAACTGGGAAGCTTGTGTGAAACATTACATAAATGCTGATACTGTTGTGCAACAGTGTGTGAGCCTCACCTGAACATGAACGTCCTGAAACACAGACCTGAGCATCGAGACGGCAGAGCCAGGAGGCAGTGCTGTGCATTTTGTCTGGGACAAACAAAAACACACACTTAACAGACCAAAAATTCTGCAACTCCTTCTGATCTAAATGAATTGATTAAAGCCAGGCAGGTCTTTGGCTACTGCAAATCTACTTCAGATGGACTTACCAATGCCTGAAGTCCCCGTAAAACAGGCGGCGTGACGACGTGATGGTCCTTCAGACGGTTTTCATAGAAGGCAATCAGCACCTCCACTGAGGGGGTGAGAAAAGTGATCAATCTTTCCTTCTATTCTCCCATTCCTAATATTCCTAATTACCAGCAGTGTGCTTTATGTGAGCGAGAGGACGACGTCATAAGAGGGGTACCTTCTCTCTCTGTGAGATCTGCATAGTTCTCCTGTAAAACGTCTGAGAGTAGCTGGACTCCTCGCGCGCGAGTGTGAGGCTGAGAACTCGTCAGGCTTCCACTACAACAGGAACAGAAACAAAACATTAATTCAGCTGAGCTGATAACGGAGCATAAGGCCAAGTAATGTAGTTTCAGTCAGCGAGCTAGATTTAGAAAAGTACAGCCTATTGTTGTGTACTGCTAGCAAAAGTGTACATGCTAGAGATCGTGTTAATGACTAAAGATTAGGAACACAAACCAGTCAGACATTTGAAAGCGACTGGTTAATATCATCATTTAGAAACGCTGTGCAAAAGTTTGTGCCTCCTAACAGATTTCATATGTTTATGCTTTTTTGTCTCACATACACATTACAGATCACCAAACACATCCCAGTAACACACCAAAACCATTTATTAAAATATATATATATACATATAACTCAATGACCCGTCTCACATTTATTTAAAAAAACTAACATCTGGATGATATTTGGGAAAGTATTCCTTAGACTGATGAAACAAAAAAGAGCTTTCTGGAAGGTGCGTCCCGTTCCATCTGGAATAAAACTAACCCTAAACATCATATAACCATCAGATAGTTGAACCTCGGATTCAGGAACAACAATGTGGTTTTTGTCGTGGCTGTGGAACGCCGGACCAGCTCTATACCCTTAGGGGGTCCTGGAGGGTGTGTGGGAGTTCGTCCAACCAATCTATGTGTGTTTTGTGGATTTGGAGAAGTAGTCTGACCGCGTCTCTCAGGGCGTCTTTTATCTTTCTTTTTTTTTTTTTTTTTGCACCGAGTACCACAGCAATTTCCTAATGTTGTGATTCTCGCACATATGGATATAAAGCCCTTCTGATTCTGATAACTTTTATGGACAGGAATTCTAGCTGCAGCCGAGTGTGAAGAAGCTGAGATGAGAATCAGTTCTTCTAAATCTGAGACCATGGTCTTGAGTCAGAGTGGAATGCCTTCTGCGGGTCGGGGTAGAGGTCATGCCCCAAGTGGAGGAATTTAAGTATCTCAGGGTCTTGTTCACAAGATGGAGCGTGAGACTGATAGGTGGATTGGTGCTGCATCTGTAGTGATGCGGGCGTTGTACCTAAGAGAGAGCTTAGCCGGAAGACAAAGCTCTCAATTGACCGGATGATATAAGTTCCTACTCTCACCTATGGTCACTCACGAGAGAAAGAATGAGACTGCAGATACAAATAGTTGAAATGAGTTTCCTCCACAGAGTGTCTGGGCTCTCCCTTAAAGTGACAATGTGTAGTTTACCTGGCGATAGGGGGCAGTACATACCTAAATGATTGCAAGCATTACTTTTGTGTTCAAGTAAGACCTTACCAATGGATGGCCATTCGGGTCAAAAATCCCTGAGAGTGCATCCTCCAGCAAAATAACAAGAACATCATCTTCCCTTTCATCATGAGTGAAGAGGTATACAGTGGGGCAAAAAAGTATTTAGTCAGCCACCGATTGTGCAAGTTCTCCCACTTAAAATGATGACAGAGGTCAGTAATTTACATCATAGGTACACTTCAACTGTGAGAGACAGAATGTGAAAAAAAAAATCCATGAATTCACATGGCAGGATTTTTAAAGAATTTATTTGTAAATCAGGGTGGAAAATAAGTATTTGGTCAATAACAAAAATTCAACTCAATACTTTGTAACATAACCTTTGTTGGCAATAACAGAGGTCAAACGATTACTATGGGTCTTTACCAGGTTTGCACACACAGTAGCTGGTATTTTGGCCCATTCCTCCATGCAGATCTTCTCGAGAGCAGTGATGTTTTGGGGCTGTCGCCGAGCAACACGGACTTTCAACTCCCTCCACAGATTTTCTATGGGGTTGAGGTCTGGAGACTGGCTAGGCCACTCCAGGACTTTAAAATGCTTCTTACGGAGCCACTCCTTTGTTGGAAGACCCAGCCACGTTTCATCTTCAAAGCTCTCACTGATGGAAGGAGGTTTTGGCTCAGAATCTCACGATACATGGCCCCATTCATTCTGTCCTTAACACGGATCAGTCGTCCTGTCCCCTTAGCAGAAAAACAGCCCCAAAGCATGATGTTCCCACCCCCATGCTTCACAGTAGGTATGGTGTTCTTGGGATGCAACTCAGTATTCTTCTTCCTCCAAACACGACGAGTTGAGTTTATACCAAAAAGTTCTACTTTGGTTTCATCTGACCACATGACATTCTCCCAATCCTCTGCTGTATCATCCATGTGCTCTCTGGCAAACTTCAGACGGGCCTGGACATGCACTGGCTTCAGCAGCGGAACACGTCTGGCACTGCAGGATTTGATTCCCTGCCGTTGTAGTGTGTTACTGATGGTGACCTTTGTTACTGTGGTCCCAGCTCTCTGCAGGTCATTCACCAGGTCCCCCCGTGTGGTTCTGGGATTCTTGCTCATCGTTCTCATGATCATTTTGACCCCACGGGATGAGATCTTGCATGGAGCTCCAGATCGAGGGAGATTATCAGTGGTCTTGTATGTCTTCCATTTTCTGATAATTGCTCCCACAGTTGATTTTTTCACACCAAGCTGCTTGCCTATTGTAGATTCACTCTTCCCAGTCTGGTGCAGGTCTACAATTCTTTTCCTGGTGTCCTTCGAAAGTTCTTTGGTCTTGGCCATAGTGGAGTTTGGAGTCTGACTGTTTGAGGCTGTGGACAGGTGTCTTTTATACAGATAATGAGTTCAAACAGGTGCCATTAATACAGGTAACGAGTGGAGGACAGAAAAGCTTCTTAAAGAAGACGTTACAGGTCTGTGAGAGCCAGAGATTTTCCTTGTTTGAAGTGACCAAATACTTATTTTCCACCCTGATTTACAAATAAATTCTTTAAAAATCCTGCCATGTGAATTCATGGATTTTTTTTCACATTCTGTCTCTCACAGTTGAAGTGTACCTATGATGTAAATTACTGACCTCTGTCATCATTTTAAGTGGGAGAACTTGGACAATCGGTGGCTGAATAAATACTTTTTTGCCCCACTGTATGTGTAAAACAACAATATTTATAAATGGTGGAAGTTTGGTAACCATTTGTTACAAATCACTAAATGCAATCTGTCCTCACGGGCTTCCGTAGAAGGAAACATGACGTCCAATATGGCGTCGCCCAGAGACTTTGACTGCTCCCATGTATTTTAGAACAGACTTCTATGGTTATATGTTATGAAACTACCAATATTTTCATCAACCGGGCATCTTTGAATTCATTTACAATATTTTAACGGATATTTCTAGAGGTTAATTGTGAAAACTACACATTTTCACTTTAAAGATGTGATGAGAAGCTGAGTTAGATAGGTTTAGATAGCTTCTACCTCCCTCAATACACACTTTCAACATTTTTGTATTTACATATGTCAATCATCTATTTTATAACATTGAGATTACAGTGTAACAAAAAGCACGAATGGTTCTGCTTTTGTTTTGTTTATTTGTGATGCTGCTGACAACTCACCCAAGCGCTTCCACAAGCTGCAGCATGGTGAACTGTCCATCTTTGACCCCTGAAGAAGAAGGTAGTTTTAGTGGACTACAACTAACGACACTGACGACACAGCAAACAACAAGCAAACACTCAGATAACTAAGTATTCATCCGAAAACCCAGCTGTAGGCTCAAAGGTTCACATGGTTCAATGAGAGGGGGTAGCTACAAACAAACAGCAGTTAGCAGGCTACACACCCCGGACGACCCGTCGTCATTTAACACAAAACACATTATTTACAGCACGTTGTCAAATTGACAAATGTGAAGATCAGCGCTGAAACGACCCTGCTTTATTTCAACAGTTCGTATCACCAGCACAGGATGTTGTGATGCTAGGTTAGCTTGGTTAACGTTCATGCCATGTTGCGCATCCAAAGCGCGTGTCCGCAGCCTCAGCAGCCAGTTTCTGGCACAGTTGTCCCCTAATAAATTTAACTAAGTATAAAGAGGACTTGTATACCCTTCGCTGCCTCCTTTGCCTTGCTGTCTTGTTGTCCGGAGACAAATTCCTCCACCAGAGAAAGTAGCAAAGGACTCTCTTCTGCCATCGTGCTTGTCACGCCGAATGAACTACGCATGCGCGGAAAGTTTGACAAAAGTCACGTTTTAGGAGAAAAAACGAGATGGTCCTAATCATTATTAAACAAGTATTATTTAATTTGAGTATTTTTTTCAGCTGTGAGCATATTTTTAAACTTAAATTGTGACAAACAATGAAAACGCTAAACGTTAAAAAATTTGGTTTTGTTCAATCAAGCCACATCCTCTAAATGTTCAGACACAAAAAGGTCAACTTCTGTGTTTTCCGATACAAAGACATTTTAGCATGCAATTTTGTGAGAAACTGTGAGAAAAGTAAAGATTCTAGCAGAGTCAGGAAGTTTGTGTAAAATTCCTAGTAGCTGATAGGTTATCACAGACTCGTAGCTGACCAATCATGGTTAAGACCTGTGGTAGAAACGCCCACCTTCTTCGCATGCGCAGGAAAAATTCCAATAAATGACTGAATAACTGAAAAAAAAGATTAACAAACAACCAAACAAATAAATAAACGCATAAATAAATAAATGAAACCGGAAATAAACATGTATTTATTTACCTGAAGTCAGGTCGCAGGGCCAATTGCCTAGAGTGGCCCAATCTTCTCTTTCCCCAGCCAGAACCCTAAAAAGGTGCTATATAAATGCAGGAAATGTATCATTAACCTGGATAACGCATGGTGGGGGCTGTTCATTGCTATACTGTGATCTGTAAAAATGTGGATGTAATGTAAGGTTAGGTAATGAACCAATAAAAATCTTGAATTTTTTTTTTGGATTTATCATTAACCTGGAGTCCCTCCTGGATGGCTGAGCTTCTCACCCTAGGGAGAGCCCAGCCACCCTGCAGAGGAAATTCATTTTGGCCGTGTGTATCTGCGATCTCATTCTTTTGGTCACTACCTAAAGCTCATGACCATAGGTGAGGGCTGGAACATAGATCAACCGAAAAATTGAGAGCTTCCCCTTCCGGCTCAACTCTCTCTTCACCACGACAGACATTGCTGCAAACGTAGCACCAATTCGCCTATTGACCATTAAGCTCAATTTTTCCCTCACTCATGAACAAGACCCTGAGATACTTAAACTCCTTCACTTGAAGCAGAACCTCGTCCCTGACCTGGAGAAGGCATTCAATCCTTTTCCGACTCAGGACCATGGTCTCAGTTTTAGAGGAGTTGATTTTCATCCCAGCCGCTTCACACTCTGCTGCAAACCGCTCCAGCGAAAGCTGGAGGTCATGATCTGATTAAGCTAACATGGCTGCATCATTGACAAAAAGCAGATACCTGATCCTTAGGCCACCAAGACGGTTCCCCTCAACACCTTGGCGGTGCCTAGAAATCCAGTCCATAAAAGTTATGAAGATAATTGATGAGAAAAGGTAGCCTTGGCAGAGTCCAACTCTCACTGGAGATGACCCCGGCTTACTGCTGGCAATACGGACCAAGCTCTGACATTGGTCATATTGGAAACTAACAGCCCGTATCAAAGGGTTCTGTACTCCTGAAGCACCCTCCACAGGGCTCTCCAAGGGACACGGTCGAACGCTTTCTTTAAAATCACAAAACACATGTAGAATGGTTGGGCAAACTCCCACATACCCTCCCGGACTCCCCAAAGGGTATGGAGCTGGTCCAGTTTTCCACGGCCAGAACGAAAATCACATTGCTCCTCCTGGATCTGAGGTTCGACAATCCAATGAATGCTCTTCTCCAGAACCCCTGAATAGACTTTACCAGGGAGGCTTAGGAGTGTGATCGCCCTGTTGTTGGAACACACCCTGCACCCCACACCTTTTTAAATAGGGGGACCACCACCCCGGTCTGCCAATCCAGTGGATCTGGCCTCGATGTCTACATGATATTGCAGATCTGCGTTAACAAACACAGCCCCACAACATCTAGAGCCTTAAGGAACTCTGGGTGCATCACATCCAGCCCTGGGGCCTGGGCTTTTAAACCATCTCAGTGACCTCAGAACCAAAGATTGGAGAGCCCAACCTGAAGTCCACAGACTTTGTTTCCTCAGTAGGCATGTGAGGAGTTTGGTGAGACCATAGAGCAACACTTCTGTACGGCTTCCAGGAGATTCTGGTCAACAATCTGGCACGTCAAGAGGGGAAATCAGTGCTCTAACAACACTGTTTATAGTGGGGATGGTGTGCAGCTGACCTCGACTTGGGAATGGGAAGTAGTGGATTGGTGGGTGAAGAACTTCGAAGACCTCCTCAATACCAGCTTAAAGGCCTAGTGGTATGAGTATCTGAGACTGGGAGATTGTGGGTTAAAACCCATGGTCGGGTCATAATAAAAAAATTGGACCCAATGCCTCCCTGCTGACACTCAGCATAAAAGGGTTTGATTGAGGGTTAAACCACCTTTGTGTACTGGTGTTATGTCAGCCTTCCGGTCAGTTCCGCTCTTGAAACGCGTTTCCCCACCGCTCCGCACCACCCAAGCGGCAAAAACGTGCAAACTCATTACAAACTCGTTCCCGCAGTGCGCTCTGGTTTTGGTTTAATACAAGCCACAGATCTAAGTTGTGTTTATTTATGAAAACTTTGTAGAAATGAGCTCCATGAGCCAAGCTCTGGTGTCACAATGAGAGGTTCAGCCATGACACTCTGTAGATCACCTGCTGCTGATGAGAGGATTTCTCCTGTCAGTGAAACAGGTGATCTGCTGCCAACCCCAACCCAACAAGCTTCTGTTCCTAGCGTTACGTCAATATGTGTTCCCCCCTCGAAATCTGTTTCTTTTGCACCCAGCTGCGAGTTTGAACCATTCACTCGCAAAAAATGTGTGTCCTTACCCTAACCATAACCCTGAAACAAACATAAAAATTGTGCTACACATAATATTTTCAAAATTTATATTTATGCAAAACATACCTTTTTGGTGACTGGGTGGTTATGGTTGGGGTAAGGGTTAGGGTTATTTTTTGTGATTGGGTCATTTTCACTTGCAGCTGGATACAAAAGAAACAGATCTCGAGGGTGGAACACATATCAATATAACACCGGAAACCAGCTGTCCCGCTGAGCCACACGTCTTTTCTGGTGGTCGGTTCTGACCTGGTTCTGACGGTGATCTAAGTTCCATCCATCCATCCATCCGCTTATCCGGAGTCGGGTCGCGGGGGCAGTAGCCTAAGGCGAGAGGCCCAGACTTTCCTCTCCCCAGCTTCTTGGGCCAGCTCCTCCGAGGGAATCCCAAGTTGTTCCCTGGCCAGGTGAGAGACATAGTCCCTCCACCGTGTCCTGGGTCTACCTTTAGGTCTCCTCCTGGTTGGACGTGCCCGGAAAACCTCACCAGGGAGGCGCCAGGAGGCATCCTGACCAGAAATCCACATTTAATTTTTTAAACCCTACCACGGGTCTCCGGAGCCCAGAAGTCCCGTCTTTTCAGCTGCACAAAACGCCCTCAGGTACAGAGATAAAGGCGTTGTTTCTCTTATCTGGAAACCCGTGGTCTTGATGTCCAGACAGGCTGGAGTTGGCACAGCCTTCACACACTATAGTTTATCCAAATGAACACAGTCCAACACTAGTAAACCCACACACTCACTGGATAACATGACCTCTCTACCCTAAAACTAGCCACTGTCCACACTGAGCTGAGGCGGCCTAGCTTCTAACTCCCTTTGGTTAAGTCAGAGGTTCAGATTTAGAAAAAGGAGCCTTTTTAGAAGCTTTGCTGAGAAAGGATACTTTTTACTAGAAAACTTTGCTGTTATGTATTTTCAAACAAAATATCCACAATAAGCATTTCAAATAGTATATGAATTAGAAAAAAATCCTCCAATTTGCTCTTTAAGCTGGACAATATCAAATATAAAAAAGTGTTCACATATAACTAATCTTTAATGAAAAAAAAATAGTAATAACTTTTAATTTTAATATTGATTTTATTTCATTTCTAAGGTGTAGATGTCTGTGAACATTACAGAAAATTCTGATTGGTGTAAAGATTACATGATATTATTAATAACAGGTCATGATCTAAAGCGGGTCCATCTGAGGTATAAAACTCTGCTCAGGGCCTAAAGCCCTGCAGATATGTGTTTCTATAAATACCAACAGCAAATAAATAACAGCAGCTGGACTCTACTTTGGTTTTGCAAGTTTTGCATGCTCACATTTACCAGCAGCTCTGCCAGTTGATTGGTTCTTTTGGTAACTAGTGATGTCAGTTCAGTTCTGGTACTGAGCGGCATGGATGCATCAGTGGATTTTACTGTAGTAGAAGAAGAAGAAGAAAATATCATTTCTATAGCGCCTCTCAAGATAAAAATCACGAGGCGCTTAAAGTCAGTGTTCATAATTAATTAAAGAAAGGACAGGGAAGCATTGTTAACTCAAATATACCATTATAATTCTGTGAACATGTATAGATATTTTATTAAACATTTTTTCCAGCCTGTAACTCAACTTTTTTTTTTTCAAATTGCATCAGATTGATGCTTTTAAATAAAATATGTCCACTTTTTTCTTCTGGGGGGCCATGCCCCCGGACCCCCCTAGAGTAGTTTAATACTTATCATCTTTTTCATGTCTGCTCTTTGGTGCTGGTGCACACCTTGTGGTGGAATAAGAGCAAACAAATTGCAACACCCACACTTAAAAAAAGCTTGCTACGCCCCTGAAAGGACCAAATAGCTCCTGAGGCGGCCATGTCTGCAGCTCACCGCTCCCCCAGGGGATAGGTCAAACGCAGAGAATGAATTTCACCAGTGTTGACTAATGGGACTTTAATCTTTAATTCATGGGTTTAATTAAAGTTAAATTTAATTAAATCCACCAGCACGTCTTCCAGTCAGGGGGCAGAGTCGAAGGGACCTTGGATTGGACTCTCCAATCTCTGGAAACAAACAAAATTGTCAATAAATAAATGAAATTGTGAAAAAATAAATATATACATTTGGAAATAAATAGTAAAATTAAAAATAACCCAAATAAATAAATAAATAAATAAATCTTGTTTTGGCAGGATGAGTCCATAAGTTTTTGGATTGTAGTAATAAAATATTATTAAAAGTAACGCTTAGAACTGTAATAAACGCGTAATAGATGTGTCCAAAAATTTCCGAGGATACATTTCTCATGTACCCTACCTGAGTGGCTTTGCGCATGCGTAAAAAAGTTCGGTTGCGCTAGCTCACCGCTCCTAGTCACCTTTTACCAACTGGGTGTTAAGAATCGATATAGGTGTTCTTTGGGAAAACGAACCGGAGACCACGCCAGGGGAGTGAAATACTTCCTCCCAGCGAGGCTTGCGGAAAACCGTAGCGACTTGCCTATCATGGTCAAAGCTCTAACATGCAGAGGAATAAATAATCTCGGAAGTGCTGAAGTTTGTTTACGGACGATGAGGTAGCTAACTCGTTAGCCCAGTTAGCCTGTTAGCGAGAAAAGCTGCGCGTTTTCATAGTTTAACAACGTTTATAATGAATTCAGCTAAGCAGGTGGGTTGCATTGAAGACAGCTTTACCTAAAATTGAAAAGTAATTGTTTGATCGTGTGCTTGCGTTTGCTTTAGGCGAGCCACAGGATTTCAAATTAGTCAAACACAAAACAACGTTTGCTTAAAAAGTCGAAGAAACTGCTCATCCAGGCTAAATCCTTCAGGTATAACTAGCCTGATCCGTGATACTGGATATACCACTGTGGTTACGAATGACATATCAGGTTTGCGGTGTTGTACCTGCGACTCCTCATCAGCATCAGACCTAAGCTCGTCGTATTGGTCCACGATGGCCCCCTTGTTCAGTTAATAAGTCCAGTGGAGTGAGTTGGACCATGGGAGGATGCGTGGGGAGATACTGGAACGGCTGGGAGGACTCACGCAGCCGAGGCTCGTCCAGGAACGGTGGAAGAGGAGGTAAGGCTGTTTTAAAGGACTTTTTGGGAGTCAAAAAACAAATGTGAGAATTACACACGTGTCAGTATTGAAACTTAAGTGGCTTTTTATACTTAAAAGTTAATATGTGTTAAAGAAACCAAGTGAAAGATCCTTGCGTCTCACTTCTGTGCCAGAGATTGGTTCTAAAGCTTGGTCCTGCTAGCTGTGCAGCTTCCCAGCAATTTTCTGGCTCTTATTCAGCTTCCAAATCCTTGGGCTTGTCGGATGGATTGTGTACATTGTGTGGAATTACTGTTTGGGATTAAGAACGAGCCTGTGGTTATTCAATAGTTTTGTTATGAATAAAAAAAAAGTTTGTGTTTTTTTTAGTGTTTCAAAACTGATTTGTCAGATCAGATCTGAATCTCCACCCTGATTTAAGCTTGTGTGTGAGCACAATTAACCAAATATACATCATCAGTGGAGCCCTAATATCAGGATTCACTGTCACAGGAAAAAAAACTACATTGCTGTTGTAGTGTAGTGTAGGAAGTCCTTCAAGCTTATTTAAACAAACAAAATGTAACATAAGGAGAAACGCTTCATGGCGGAAAATGACTGCCTGAGTTACTAACCCATTTATCCACCTTCAGATGTAGCATAAAGTTGTCAAATTTGTGGTAGTTAAGTACAATTATTTTCATTTATTCCATCAGAAGAAAAGCAGACATTGACCCAGTAAAATTATGTATCAAACACAATCCAGAATGTTAAGATGTGATTTTCTTTCTGATTTACCAGCTGTTACAACATATTTAGTGACTCTACAGAATCTTCTTTTAAAGTGGCAGTGTGTAGTTTCCTGGTGCTAGGAGGCAGTTCATATACACATTTCAGGGTGGTTTTTCATCATATCGCCATGATTGTCGCTAAAACATTACAGAAAATGTTGTTACCTGTGGAGCAGAAAACATGCAACCTCGGTGTGACTTCTCAGAATTTGATAGTCCTTCAGTTTATAGGGAGCCTGAGTCTCTTCCTCTTCTGGTCGGCTCATGGTTCCCCGGAAGAACGAAAAAAATGAATGCAAGTCAACTGGGCTAAAAGAGCGATTTTCTAATCCGCTTTGTTTTACGCCCTGGATCGCGCATATATTCTGTACTTTTATTTAAATGAAAACTAATGATGTGTGTTTCGACCACTTCAGTCACATACTTAGAAATTTCTAAGCTTGTAAAAGATCGTAATTAGCATGACTATAAATCAGACATCAGTACATTGCATAAATGGCATCACCACTAGGGGTGGGAATTGATACGTTTTTTATCAATGTCAACGGCATTGTCGATTCTGTCTGTCGATCCAATTCCTTACCAATTCCCTTACCAATCCCTTACCAATTCCCTTATCAATTCGAGTAGTAAAACAGGTCGCAAAAAACTAACTGCGTACGGCTCCTGCAAACCTGTCAGTTTCTTTATGATAAATAATCAGTTGTACTTGTATTGGTTGGAAAGATCTTTCCGAATGTTCTCCGTCATGCTTCCTGTGAAGGCAGAATCATCTTCTTGTTCGGTACAGTGTGGCTTGAGTTTGAGATATTCCCACACGTTAGAAACCTTTTCTCCGGGTGTCGTCATCTCTTTTGCATTCACCCTAGTTGCTTGCTCTGCTAACTGTATGAACTGTTGGAGCTGATAAAAAAAATGAAGCGTTGATTTAAAAACTATAAATTGTATATTTTTTGTAATTGATTTAATCAAGTTATTCAAGTATTTGTTTTAGCCCTAATGCACATAGAACAAGTGTGGCTAAAAAGATGCTGATTTGATGAGGAAGTTTGCAATATCTCCTCCAAGACTAAAGATGAGCATGAAAAAAATCACCCGATCAAAATGGTTGAATGATTCATACAATTGCTCCAACTTAACACCATGTTTTTATGTGCATTACTATTCTTTGCTTACAGAGAGAGTGGTTCTGAGTTTTCATAACACCTTTCTTATACACTCATGAATACAATGGATTTCAGAGCTGCTTCACCATGCAGCTGCTGCTTTTATGAGCCCAGCTGGAGGAAAATGCCTGATATTGCTTCATCTGTCTGCAATGCATTGCTTCATGTTTTATTTGTGTGAAGCAAGGCTGTCTTTGAATCACTCCCTTTTGTTGCCGCTCGCAGTTCAGACACAAATGCAAAACCACAATTATTCCCATCAACCTTGTTTCTTCTTCTTGAGTTTCATAAAGTAACTAGGATTTTCTGGGAGCCATAATGGTTTTAGAGAATTGTCTCTGTCAGACATTTTTGTTTTTCAAACACTGTATCTTTATTCTTTAACAGAGAAATTAGGGAATTGCTCAGTAAGAAATAAAATCACAGCACAGAGATAAGTTTCTCTGCTGCAAAAGGAGCTGCTGTTTCTGCATCAGGACCAGATGAGTCTTGTTGAGCCTTATTGATTATTGCACATTTGCTGGTTATATATGTGATTTTTGTAAACTGAAGGTTCCTTTAAAGTTAACTGAACTAAATCCTAAGTCTGGCATCCTTAGCACATAGATACCCATGCGCAAAACAGAACCTTTTAAAACTACATTTTAGTAAAAAAAAAAAAGTTCAAAATGTTGGCTGAGGCAGCTCTGCAATTTTGTGTGGAAACTGGTGGCAATTCCACTGGATTAGCAGACTGGGGTGGTGGTCCCCCTGTTTAGAAAGAGGGATCACATGGATGAAAACTACAAAAGGGACTATGTTGCATACATGAACGAAATAATAGAAAGAGGAGATGTGGAAGAAGTACACAATGAAGGAGTACCTGGTGAATAATGGTACTCCCATCATGGGATTTACCACCCCAGAAAGCCCACAAAACTGCGTGTCGTATTTGACTGTTCTGCCAAACACAGCGGAACAAGTCTCAATAATCATCTCCTCCAAGGGCCAGACGTGATTAACAACCTGACAGGCATTCTCTTGAGGTTCAGGCAACGTTCTATTGCTTTAATGTGTGATGTAGAAAAGATGTTCCATCAGTTTCATGTCATTAAGAAGGACAGAGATTATCTACGTTTCCTCTGGTGGAAAAATGGGGATATAAGCACACAATCTCAAACCTACAGAATGAAGATACACCTTTTTGGTGCAGCGTCATCTCCAGGCTGTGCAAATTATGGACTCAAGTACTTAGCAAAAGAACACTTCCACTCACATCCAGCAGTTTCACAGTTCATAGAGAGAGACTTTTATGTTGATGACGGAGTAACAAGCACAAAAACAGTAGAAGGAGCAATCCAATTAGCACAAGAAGCCAGAGAAATTTGCAGCAAAGGCAACCTCTGTCTCATTAGGGTTGTCACGGTATGAAAATTTAACCTCACGGTTATTGTGACCAAAATTATCACGGTTTTCGGTATTATCGCGGTATTTTTTAAACGGTGTTGCATATGTTCAGAAAGCATTGATAGTCCTGTTCTACACAAACTGAAATAGTTCTGAAAAGGTTTAACAGTGTTTATTAAAGCTAAAATAACACAAAGCCTTAGCAAAAGTGCAACTTTTCACAAGTAAAGGAACAAATAGCTTATTTTTCTGGAACATGTTACAGTTGTCAGTGCAGGTTTAAATTATACAAATCCAAACATTCAAAACATAAACAATATGTAAACAAATCAAAGAAACACCACTTGTTTTCTCATATACTTGTTTTCTTCATTATCAAAATGAAAATCTAAAACTCCAGTCCACACTTGACTTGAGCACTGTACAAGTCAACCTTAAAAAATATGTATTTAAAATAAATAGCCACTTTAAACAAATTACTAAAATAACTACTACACTATGTAATCAAATCCAAATGTTCAAGTATAAATGGCATGAATAAGTAAACAAATCAATGACAAGGAACTAATTGTGTATTTCTCTTCATCATCAACAAATAAGATGTTTCATCAGCAACAGGGTGTCCGTGACACGGTTTAAATGCTGGCAGAGGGCGCTGCGGCTGCAGTATATAGTGACTCGTTGTATTCTCCCTCAGCCAAAAGTCCTCACGTCATGCATTTCAGCTAAAATGCTAATGTTAACTTACCTTGCACTGGCTGTGGAGACGTGGGTGATGGTCACGCAGATGTGCCATTAGATTCGAAGTGTTGCTGCCTTCTGCAGACACTTGTTTCCTGCACGTTCTGCAAACGGGATAGCCGTCTTCTATTAACTGTCCCTCAGCATTTTTCAGAAATCCAAAATATGCCCATACTTCCAATTTAGTCTTCTTTGAGGGCTGATGGATGTCCTGGGCGCTGCCGTCGCCTCCTTCGGCCATTATTTCAGCTTCAAAGTTTTGGTGCCGTTGCAAACTAAAAAGTGCGTGTGCGCGCCGCGGGAACTTCAGCTGAAGCGACGGTGGCTGGTAAGGGTCATCGCGCCGAAACCGCGGCCACGGTAAACCCACCGAGATAATATAGTTTTTTAAAAACTGGACGGTTATTTTTATTGTCAACTTTTTTACCGGGGTTTACCGCTATACCGGTTACCGTGACAACCCTATGTCTCATCATCATCATTTCTCTTTGTGCCAGGAGGCACATAAGGCAAGGACATCATTTTTCCACAGGGAACGATTTCCAGCTGCTTCTTGTTGAGTTCCATGAACACCATCCTGCTCTGTTTCTCTCTGCCTCAGCCACTTGCCGCCAAGTTGTTTTAGGTCGGCCTCTTTTCCTTCGACCTTCAGGCGCCCAACCTAGAGCCACAGCGCAGTCGCTAGGTTGGGCGCCTGAAGGTCCTCTGTCTCCACAAGGTAAAAAAGTTGACAATAATAATAACCGTCTTGTTTTTTTAAAATATATTATCTCGGTGGATTACTGTGGCTGCGGTGTTGGCGCGGTGACCCTTACCAGCCACCGTATCATCTGCTGAAGTTGCCGGCGGCACATGCGCACTTTGTTGTTTACAGCCAAAACTTTCTTGAAACTAAAGCTGAAATAACGGCCAAAGGAGGAGACGGCAGCGCTCAGGACATTTATTATCTCTCAAA